GCCATGTTATTTAACCCGTATATCAACCATTTCGTGGTGAAACTGGTAACTACCTACTTGCATCTGGGCAATTGAGGACTTTTCCAAACATCCACGCACATAATTAAAACTAGAAGTCTTCACAATAGGGAAGTTAAAAAAGCAAAATTTTAGAAGAGGAAAGAAAACTTGCATTTAGATTTCTCTGACAAAGTGAACATCAATTGTGCTATTCTTTATCAATCAATCTTAGATCTTTAGCAATGTACATCTTTCCTTGATATGATCTTTTAGCGAAATCACAAGTGTTAATTCAAAATGGCAGTCCAATGTTAAAAGTCCAAAATTGGGGTTAGCATACTTGATCCAGATTAAAATAAAAAATATTCCTAATATCCATCGCTCTTGACTAATTGGACGATGTTGTCGTTCTCCGTCTTCTCTGCTCTTGAAGTTTGGAAATTATACTAGACTTTTAAGTAAATTAATTTCCATAGATAATAAATGGATTTTTCGTGTTCATTAAGTCTTTCCAATCTGAATCCAAATCTAACTCGCCTGTTTTTTAAATAAAAAGTAATGGATTTTCTCTTAGATATTGGATCACTGGTGATTTAGAGCACATTGTGTCGCAATAACACAGTTTTATATAACAAGTTGCCAAGTTGATTACAATTGACTGGCGGCTACAAGCATCTGTAAATTGAACCATATTACGGTCTGCATTGGGAAGCTCCCACACGTACCTTTAGAAGCACATAATACAAAATAGGCTGAAGTTAGGATATGAAAATACAGAGGAACAGGTCGCCCTTTTGTCTCTCAAATCTTTTTTTCTGAGCTGGTAAAATATGGGAGTGCATTTATGGATGTGTCTACCGATCGATTTGAAGATAATGTTTGTCAAATAATTAAATGACATATCAATCGAAATGACTTGATTTTGCAATTTAATAACATCGGTTAATATACAATTCTTATATCTGAGTTCATTAGAAGCGATAATTTCTAATATCATTGCTTTGTTTAGCCCTGTTCATTCAGTACACTAGAAATATTCATTATAGGGAATCCGTGTTAACTGTCTTCGGCAATCAATTGCGATTGCTAAATTTTCTCCCTGACGTGATATCAATGTCATTACTCGGCTTTGTCCTGGTGAAACCTGCCTTGGTCGTTACGTTATTTCATTCAAGGAAATGCCTTTGGAGAGAAAATACGAATTGGGCAAGTAATGTTCCATGCATACACTGGTTTCTAGGAAGAGTTCGCTTGAAATGCAAAGAAAAACGCTAAATGTATGAGAAAATAGCAAATTAAATACAGTTTTGTTAGAATGATATCGACAGGTGCTCTATTGTTTCTAAACGAAGTAGAAAACGGACAGAGGAAGTGATTCTAAATGAAGTGCCCCTTTGCAATTATTTTTGCGTTGTGTGCTATCTCGATTAGTGGATAACACGCATAGGTGATATATTTTATATTCCATCAAAATTAATGAAATGTAAGACTGGAATCGATACCGCAAAGGTTGAACCGTAACTAGAAGATTTGTCATTTAGGACACGCGGATTTCCATTTCGAGCTTGTTGGTTGGAATTCCACCTTCGGAGACATCCCTCATTCGTCACAATAGGAACAATCGTTCCGTTTGGGTATTCAACGGCGCATGCATAACATCTTAAACTAGCAGAAGAATTGGATAGACTTGTTGATGCGACAAGATGAGAAAACCTCTGGATGATCACCACAATAACAATAACACTTAACATGGAACCCAATTTTAAGATGAAAGTAAGATACTTACTTGTTATTTTGAACAATTGTAATTTCTAAACATATTCTTTATTTAGATTAAAGAGACAATTTGACCAATTCGGAACTATGTACGTATCTTCATATTTTTACATAGTCATCATAATATATATCGTATACGTTTAGCCGCAAGCAAAATAACCAAAAGAAAAATAATTACGAGAATGATGCTGTCTAATTTATATTTTTTTAAATACATAAAATGTGTGACTTATGAAAATGTCAGGCATTTAAGATTAGATATTGTTAATTAAAGTTCAAAGTAACAGTTTGTATGTAAAGGGTGTCGCAAAGTGAAGTTATCCGATTTGAATTTCTAATGAATTCATTGTAATCACTTACATGTTGCTGTACTAAAATCTCATTACAAATGAAAGAAGTAAAGCTACAGGGTGTCCCAAAAGTTCATGAAATCTACATGCATCATATACATATATATTAAAAACATTGTTTATCATCGTTCAGTTCAGTCAATTCCAGGATTTATTTAATATATCTAAATTCCTAGTATACAAAAGTTTAGTTTGTGATTGCTGTAGGGCTGTTTGTAAGTTACACGTAAGTGTACACCATTTTACAGACAGAATGTATGAACTTTTCGGACACCCTGTAAATGAACCATATTATATTTTGGGATGGGCAGTCACAAGAGTAAATCAGATATTTGGGTGAAAAATAGTTTGAAAGTTTAAAATCGACAGATAGTCTCTCAACCAAAAAGGTGGTTATGGATGAAGGCATATTTCAGGATATCGTTTTCAAAATGATCATGATACAGCCTTTCGCACATGGTGTCACACAGGTTCCTACAATCTTATAATAATGATATTCACTGAAAATATTTGATTCCAGATATTTTTCACTGAAATGAAACGTAATTGTAATTGTAATTGTAAAATTTATTATAGTGTCTTGGGTAAAATTATACATAAAATATCAATTAAAACGAACCCCGGGCCGACATCGGCCTATAAGACACCTGTCTTATCTATATAGAACCCGCTCCCTGGTCCTGAGCATTTGGCCACAGGCCCTGGCAACGTATAGGTAGATTCCAGGCTCACTCATAAGTATTTTAAATTGTTCTTCGTGATTTTCTGGAAATAATGTGAATTTAGATGTCACTTTATGCAACATATCACGCCTTAACACATCATATTCACTACAGTCCATTATAACATGCTGTTCATCCTCTACGAGTGGGACCTCTTCATTGCAAATCACACAATGTCTATCTTGGACAGCCAAGCGTTCATATCTGCCCGTTTCAATTCGGATTGGGGCGACTCCACAACGTATCATAACTTTATGAACAGGCTAGTTTTGCCAGTTATTTTAACAACTACTCTTTCATGTCTGATACAAATGCCCTGTACATTTTCCTGACATATCTTTCTGTATTGTTTTAATGTTTCCTGGCATTCTTAGAGATCCTTGTTGGCCTTTTGGTCTGGAGGAACCATGTAAATGTACGTGAAGATTTGAACAGAATCAATAAATGCCCCCTTCTCTTTGTTTGACATCCCTAACACCGACCATTCTACACTAATCCACGAATGTTAGTGGCTTAGCAAAAATGTAAGAGGGTAAAAAGGAGTGGTATCGATATGGTGGACCTTTTGAACACGCGTTTCTCTTAAACCAGTCATCAAAACATTCTGAAAATGTTACACATCGTCAATTTAATGGTCATCATTTGGATGGTAACATTATAATTTGAAATATAATATATACACTTTTCTCTATATTGTTTTAGAAAACACATCTTTTGTTCTTGGTATCATATGTTCGGAATGAAATGAAACATCTATCCGAACCTCATTGGAACAAAATGACATAAACACAACATGTTTAGGTCTCTCAATATTGTAATTACATAAAGGAAAGTTCGGTTGCTTTTAAAAAAGTATCTTGTTAATGAAATAAAATGTTTATCTTAATTTTTACCTATTTTGAGGGTTTTTGCATATTTTTTATAAAATCAACCAAAATTTCCTTTGTATAACTGTAATATTGAGAGGTCTTAGAAAATGTTGTATATGTTATTTTATTCCAACAAGGTTCGGAAAGACATCTTATTTCATCCTCAAGAATTGGTAGAAGGGAACAAGAAACAGTTGCACTAAAAAACAAAAAATGTTAACAAAAACAGTTATATAAGATACATATAAATAATTTTTGCATTAAATTGTTGCCAATCAGTCAACATTACATAAACATTACTGTTTTTTTTACAGAATGTTTTCAATAATTGGTTTAAGAGAAAACATTGTTGAATTCAGTTCACCATAACTCTTAAAAATGAATTACTTGAGTATTTCCCAAGTATTTCCCAAGTATAAAAATTACTTAAAGTTAAATACTTATTTTTACTTCATTTTACTTAGGTTTAACTTATATTGTCATTTTGAGTTTTTTAATTGCTTAATTATGTAAATGAGTATTACAATTACTACAGTAAGTATTTCAATTTCTCTCCTTGCATTAGTAAATTCACCATAAATGAATTACTTAAAAATTACTTAAAAATTATTCAGTAGTTCAAGATTAAGTAATTTTTGACTTAAAATGAGTAGTACAATTTCTCAATTTAAGGAAATTCAAGTAATAATTTTTAAGAGTGATATCGATACCTTTCCTTTCCGAAACTCACCTTTCATTTGTCTCTATTCTTCTCAGTCTCTTTAATGGTCGCTTAAATGTTAGTATTATGGAATCTGATTCGCATATTATATTATTTTATAAGTATATTAGCCGTAACAGTTAAAGACGTAAGTTATAAATGTTTTCCTCAAAATGACAACACATTGAAACTACAAAAATATCAGTAAAATTAATTACTTTTATAAATACGTATAATATTGAAACTTAGTTTAGCATCGCTCAATTCAATCCATTCCAGGATTTATTTGATATATTATATCATCGGATTATCAATATTTCCTGTATTAGGGGAATGTGAATGGAAATGTGATCCAGATAAGACAAGAATAATGACCTGGTAATGAGACTATTGTAATAATACCTGTCAATGTCACGGTGACATGGATTAAACGTAATGAGAAAATCCGAGCCAGTAACAATGATTACCTGACGTCGAAACTGATGGTAAGTTATTCCAAAAACAACGCAATAATAACAATGATTAACAAGACTATCCTGGCGATAAAGGCATTCAATGACATGATTTTTCATTTCTATTTTAGGATCTGATGTTCCTGTACATACGTGTGTTATTTGTTGCTGTTATACGTGAACAACATGGTAAGTTTATCAGGTCAGGCCCGTAGCCAGGGGGGGGGGGTCGATGGGTTCGAGCGAACCCCCCTGGCCAAAAAATCTTTCAAATTCATGCAGTTTTTCACCAATCTGAGAGCTTTTTAAGTGATTTTGGCCATTTTTGGACCAGAATTGTCACAGGCGAACCCCCCTGGAATTTTTCAAAAAGTGAACCCCCCTTGGCAAATCCTGGCTACGGCCCTAGGCTGATATAAAATATAGTTTGGTTCTTTTATTAACCACACAATACTATTCCAACATCGAAAACAAATCATCAAACAAGTCGGCTTTGTGAGCATATGACATTAACTATGAATAAATGCGGATCACTATCCAACGCACAAGAGAATTACATCATGAACAGTAAAATGAGTGCATTGGAAAAATGTCCCAGTAGTGTAATTTATAACACATTTTCGAATAACAATACAACCCTAGTAAACATATGTGTAACATAGCACTAGTTTTCAACAATGGATGGTCCCCCGAGAAAAAAGTTATAGCTAAAATATTTATACAATGAGAGGTTACTCTGTGTCATCTGCATGTAATGTATTCGACTTGCGTCATGGATATTTTACTAGAATATATTCTTTAGATACGCAGTGGTCGTTATGTAAGAGTGATCTGATATCTTGCAACATATTTTCCCTAAATGTTGTATTAATTCAACATGTAATTGAAAATAATCACTGTAAAATCCCTGGCGAACATCACTAATCGATTCACGTTTATCATTCTTGCTTTCGATGTTATTGTACCCTATCATTGTACAGTCTATTTGATACTTTCTATTTTTATGTGGCTCAAACAGCAAAATACCCCATTCTCACAAAGGAGTGGTATCGATATGGAGAACTGAATTCAACAATGTTTTTCTCTTAAACCAATCATTGAAAACATTCTGTAAAAACACGGTGTTTTAAGTAATGTTGTTTTTGTTAACATTTTTTGTTTTTTAGTGCAATTGTTTTTGCTCCTTTCTACCAATTCTTGAGAATGAAATAAGATGTCTTTCCGAACCTTGTTGGAACAAAATAGCACATACAACATGTTTTCAGACCTCTCAATATTATAGTTATACAAATTAATTTTTGGTTGATTTTAAAAAGTATTCAAAAAATTAAAACAAAATCCCCCCAAAATAGATAAAAATCAAGATAAACCTTTTATTTCATTAACAAGATACTTTTTTAAAATCAACCAAAATGTCTTTTGTACAATTACAATATTGAGAGACCTAAACATGTTGTGTTTATGTCGTTCTGTTCCAATGAGGTTCGGAAAGAATATTTTATTTCACTCTGGAAACATGATACCAAGTGTTTGATGTGTGTTCTAAAACAATATAGATGAAAGTATTTATATATATTTCAAATTATATCGTTACCATTCAAAAGATTTCCATTAAATTGACGATGTATTAAATTTTTAGATTTTTTATGACTGGTTTAAGAGAAACGTGTGTTCAAAAAGTTCTCCATATCGATACCACTCCTTTCCAATTGTGATATTTTGTTTCTCTGAACACACATGAAGACAGATAAGAAATCATTAATACATGCAGATCTTTAAATTGATATGACATACAGGGTATCTCACAACTAATATTAATTATACACTGTAAATTCCATTGACGAGGAAACTACAAGAATGTCAAACTTTGAGAATTGTATCTGCTAAGCTGAAACATTGATAGTGTAGCAACCGTTTTACAAAAGTAATAGCGGTTTATGTTTAAATTAAACAGTCTCTCCAAACAGTCTTGTCTTTTGAAACTTGAACATGAAAATCATGAGAACAGGTCTCCTAGACTTCCTTCAACGCGAACATCAGTTCTGACCTCGCGATTTACGTTTAGTTCCTTGCACTCGAACCACGATTCTCACATCGCGGACGTGAAATCATTAGTCGCGAACCACCATTTCCTCGCTCAAGAACATATTTCTCCACGTTCGCGATTTGAGAATCGTGCTTCGAGTGCAAGGAACGTAGTTCGCGATGTCAGAACTGATGTTTGCGTTGATGGAAGTCTAGGAGGCCTGGAGTAGGCAGCAGTTGTATGTGACTCACAAATTGAAATATTTTAGGAACACTGTTAAAGCACATCATTTGTGTATTTTATTTTACATTTTATGCTATTTAACATAATGGTTAAGATAATGACTTGTACAGAACTTTATACAATGGCAGAAATATAGAATTGCCCTCTTTTCATTGTAATTGTCTTCAAACGGACTAGTTGAAAATGGAGAATAGTTTCCAGCACTCAACTATATGTAGCATCAACTGCAAGTGTTGAGCAAAACCCTCTTGTAACGATATATGTTACACTCATATTGACGGAAGTTCCAAAAATGTTTCATTTTAGTATATGTTGTCAAGTTTACTTGCTTTATTTTATTTGTAAAATTTAATTCATAAATTTTCATTTTAGTGAACGCCATTGCTCAGATGAAACTAGTTGGAATAATCAGTGCTGGGGTAAATGACATTTTAGAATTGTATACAACAGGCCATATCACGGATCTTAACCGCTATGGTATTGGAGTGTCTAACGTTAACGATGGTTCGGTTGGCGAGGAATATACATTCCCAGAAATAGAGATTCCAGCAAACCGTTTCATATATGCCTCTCGTCAGTCACAGACCAAGGTGAAGACATTCCTCGGATGTTTCCCAATTTATCATTTTCACACTAATGTAGCGTCTTTTACTGGGACAGAATTTGTAGAACTTTTCTACAATGGAGAAATTATTGATGTGTTCGGGAGTAAGAGTGGAGAAGCACTCTCATGGAAATATCTCAAGGGATGGGCGATGCGCCTGAATGCTACTGGTCCTGATGGCCCAACCTGGACAAAATCCAATTGGAAGGTCTACAAAGAGATTTACAGGGACAATAGTTTAAATCATGCAAAGGGCAACTTGCCATATCCTATTGCTTCGTATTGTAAGTGAACCTTTTAAACAATCCATTTCTAATAACGTTACCCATAGATCATTTTGTGTCTGAAGTTTAATAGTTTAGTTTAATCATCATTTGCTTAAAGATACAGTATATCTGTCATGTAATGCGACACTATATATAGATTTTAGATGAAGAAATGTTTTGGTTTTCAATTTTGACATTAATAATGAACAAACATTACCAAACAAAAATCGAAAGTGTTGCGTATCATAATCATAAATGATTTCATTTCGCGAAATATTTATCTTGTGTTAGTCGAAATCTTACATTTATAGGGATGCATTGTAAAAATATAAGGATACATATATAATGTACACTATGAATCAAATAACATTTCTTAAATGGAACACCATGGATGCTTTTAATTGTCTTTTAACCCTCACGGAATCAGGTTAATCACAATTAAACAATGAAGCCCGAGGCATGTACAATTACTTTTAATCATTTTATTAATTCAAATTAAAATGATGAACTCTAAATTGTTTCTAATAAAGAGATTAATAATATCATTGTGAATTAAAATAGTTTTCTTCGATCAATATTTAGATCACTTGGTATGTTCTTCGTGTTTCATTTTGATATATTCCACAATATATATCATAAATTCCCTTGTCTCTTTCTGCTCCTGGATTAACGCAAATAATTATGCATTGTGCTCCCAAGATTAGTAAATACAGTTATGTATTTAGTGTAGTGTTTCCATGTGAGGTGACATCTCTCTGAATGACTATACTGATTGATTTATGTAAATCTGGGATAATAATGAAGGTCTAAGATAATTAAAAAGATATTTTCTGCAACTGCAACATTTCGGATTATTAGCACTATAAGTAAGGCAATAAAAGAAGAAACTAGCAATACATCACGAGTTGTAAGTAGAATTTTCACGACATTCTTATCACAAACGTATGTCAGTATAATCACAATCATGTGTTTAAGAAAATCTAAACGTGTGCGAAATAGTTCAGAAGGCAACAGAATATGATACTGATATGATACCTCACTTTAGTTACGTAAACGGAGTTTCAGTGTTGTCTTCTGAACTATTTGATCGCAGACATGTAGATTTTCTTAAACATTTAACACCGACATACGTTTGTGAGAAGAAAGAAAGGATTCTGCCGACAACTTGTGAAATAAGGAAAAAATAAAAAATCGAACCTTCGAGGTTCCGATATTTTGTTACCGAAATGGATCTGTTTCGGTAACTAGTTTGAAGAGTGCAAAACCAATGAAAATGAAGCTTTTTCCAAAAGGGCTGACAACCGCCTACTGCCATCAACCACTAGCTACGCTTGATTTAATTTTATGTATACCCCCCTTCCCCTACGCATGAATTCAAAACAAACAAAATGATCCCAATGCGAATCAAAAGAATATTTTTCATGAATCATATGCAATAAGTTATGCAATAATAAAATGTACCTTCTTATATTTTAGATGAGGAGGACATCACCATTGAAAATCAACGCCAATATTCATGTCAAGACCAAAGTATGTACAAAGCTGAACATTGATCCCTGAAAAACCTCTATTTTCGCAATTGTGAAAAATATCGCACCCATTCTCATAAATAACAATAGTTTATGTCAGTATGTTAAATTACAGTACTTATCTGCATGTTTACATTTGGTTTATTTTTAAGTTTTATTTATTTATCTTGGTTTGATTTCACATTTTGCTCTTACGCCTGTGAATATAATAGACATAAACAGTTATAATTCTGAAAATCCACGATCAGATTTACAAGACGTAAAATGATATGTACAAGGAAATGATAATTGTATTGATATATGAATTAATTAGTTCGTTTGTTTGAATATACTGTCACGTACTTTTCAGAACCAGTTGTCGAGTTCACTACGACTGCTCCAAATCTGACGACGCTCTCTATTCCACTCCACGAGTCATCCGGAGCAGTCTCGCTCCATCTTGGGACAACCGTTGGCACTCAAGTAACTGAAGGAAATGATGTTTTATCCCACTCGTCCCGCGTTGTAACTGTCACTGATGATATAAAGTCATCTACAACGAAACCTGACACATCGTCGATGGATATTACTCAAACTGAGACGATGTTGAAAGAAGCAACAGCAGCTTTAGGAACAGAATATATGCCAACGGCATCAGAAATGGTAGTTCAACGAAGTTATCTAACACAAGCACATGTTAAATCACCGTTTTTTGATCAAACAGAAAGACGAGATAATGAGCAAACTGGGCAACTGTCATATCTTTCATCGAGCCCCGAATTCATTCAAAATGAAATGTTTACATATTCCTCAACACCAGTCAACTTGCGAGACTCCATGCAAACATCATTCTTTTTAACTGCATCATCACACCATCCTGTATATCCGATAGATGGAAATGAAGTACAGATTTCCAATTCCATAATGTCAACAAAGGCAATGGATACTTCGCAATTTACAACATTAACTATACCAGTTATTGATACTACATACGTGCAATCCCAAATCGAGTCGACCTCATTTTCTGAATCCGTAGTGGAATCCAGATTTGTCAGTGACACCGCTACTTCCACAGATGATATATTACAGACGTCGATGCAAGCGTTTAGTGAAACCAATGCGGCTTACTTTACACATCCTTTACCTGTAGCGCAAACACTAACTTTTGGTGACAGCATATCATATCTCTCCAAGACCTCTATTTCACAGGAAAACACTTATTTTGAAACCTACAATATGTTTGTAAAACCAACAAGTGTGCAAGTTACTCCGTCTTTGGCATTCATTTCACCTGAGTACTCGTCTCTAACTATAAACTCTCCTACTTCTGTTTTTGAGCACATGAGTGTTACAAACGAAAATGTCAATCCAAATAAAGCTACATCAATCAGTGAATTGATAGATGCTGTAACAAAATCAGAACTGGCCATAAACAGTGTTGTTGCCACATCAACGTCCGAGACTTTTGTGGAAGGGAACAGCCTGACAACAGGTATTTACCCTGTTGGAACAGAAACTCAGTATAAACAAACAGATGACAGTGTTTCCCTGTCATATAGTAATCCTACCTCCACACAATATTTTGTAAATAACAATAACCCCAGTGACATGTACAATGATTCATTCACAACAAAAGTGATGCTCACAACAATTAGTACGGGTGTCCCTACCACACCTAGCACATCGATACACAATCAAATGGACACTATTTCGACTGGTGATACTTCTCACCGTTACAATTACAGTCTTGATGTCGTACTTTATCCAAAACTTGCAAAATTGAAAGCGGGTGCTTTCCAAAGGGCGAAGCGTATTCAATACGAACCTGAAGAGGCACATGGCGCAGTCGGGATAGGATCAGTTTGGCTTATTGTCCTCATTGCCACAATCTGTTTTATTTTTCTCATTGATCTCAATACATACTACACACATATCAAAACTGCTATACGTGATATAAAATCATTTATTAGATATTTGAGGAATAAAACGTATGACCTGAACGGGTCACGTTCACAGGTAATACGACTGGATATGTCACCAAAATTATAGCCGTTACATAAAAATACAAACATACAGAATGTACAGTATGTAAAATATGTCCAGTAACAAAGAAACTCGTAGCACTTCCTTTATTTTTGAGCATATTTAGCCTGTTATACATTTTGGTTTTCTATGGGCATTTCCACGTTCCACTTTTTTGATAGGTTTCTTCAAGATGAATATACCGCGAATGCGTTCCGATGTTGATATAAAATCCCCGACTACAACCCCAATTCGCACTCTAAAATCACGATACCGTACGGTACATCAAGAGTATGGTACCATACGGTACCGCTGGGGTTTAGTGCCATGCAGTGTTCCTGGTACCGTATGGTATAATTTTACGGTACCGTACGGTTCTGTTGCAGATTGACTGTACAGTAAATCAGTAAAGTGACCCGGGAATTCCCAACAAATCTATTATTTGAAATAAAACCCGCAAACACGTTTCATAAAATTCGTTCTGTTGTTTGTGTAGTAAACCTTAAATAAGAAGTGAATAACTTCCTGGCATCATTGCTTTAATTACCCGGTACTATTCCCTTGGGAATGGTTTCGACAATACTCTTCCAAATGATAAACCGTAGAAATTGATTTTCATGTAGCTTTCACAGCCATATAATATCAAGAGTAAAACCATTAACAACTTGCACTGTATGTACAGTGATCGACTACTATTACAAGTGCGTGAGTAATGACTCGATAAAAACCGCAAAATTCAAATATATTGTAACGGTTATTTTTAAATGATTTATTTGTGTTTATATTATAGGCTACTGGTGATTCAATTAGGTTTTGTATGCACCAGAAGACCCATATGCTTTGAAAAATATATATCAGTTTGATCATTTTCTAATATGTGATGGAATTTACGATGTAAAGATATAAATGCTATATAATATGTGTTATTCTATTTGAAAACAAACAAAAGAAAATTTTACACTCTTTAATTCTTTGTACTTGGGTTGGGTTTTGGGCTTCCATTTGACCATGATGAAATTCACGTTTCCTCTTAGTAACATGGAATAAATATTGAACACAAAAATTAATGAATCGGCCTATAGTGTGAGTTTCAGCAGACCAGACACCCAGAAATATTTGAATTTTGATCATCAGAAGAAAAATGGGGTTCTCCCAGAATTTATGTCCGAACAGTGGAAGTGGAACACTTCTTTAAGCGTAACACCTCACAAGTGGAGCATTTTTAAAGTCCCATGGCCACAGTGGAACACAGAAGTCAGCCAGATCGTATGTAGTACATACAGAAACAGACCTCAATAGAAAATGCGCTTATAATATTGAGCCTTCCCTACTACTAGATACGATCTGGCCAACATATGTGAAGTGGAACACCTCCTAAGTGGAACAACCACGGGCGTTCCACTTACAAAGGTTCTATTGTATGTCGAATAAGCTATTGTCGAACATACTCGCTTTCCAGTTTGATGTCATTGACAATTCCATTGGTCTATTCAATTACACCCCTTATGAGGCTGACGATCTTCCAAGTTGGAGAAACTAAAACCTTGAGAATCAAGATAGAGGTTGACTGACCAGGTTCTCTTTACCTAGTTCATAGGAAGTGCATAATCTAGGCTGAATAAGATATCTCATTCATTAAAATCCTCAATCAATATGTGACAAAATAATAAGACATGGCCAGAAGTTTCACCCTCTGATTCCAAGGTATGATGTTCTGCAATGTGGTTAATAATGTTTGGGGATTTAGGAGTTCATATTGAAGGACAGTAATAACATGTGGATCCAAGCTCTCTGAAATGCAAAGAGCATATATTATAAGAATCCAAATGGTAAACTCTCACACTTGGCTCATCATAGTTATTTTTCATAACATCATTTTACTCGGTATTGAAGGGGAGTTGGAACATCTGGTATGCATGGAATGTTAAGTTTTATGTTTATTAACCATAGGTATTTTGGTTTGTGGTTTTGGTGAAAATTTGGTGAAATATACAATTTCGTTTGGCGGGTTATTGATTTTGCTTCATTTATCAACTCAGTTCAGGTATTTCGGTTAAGCCAATCACTGGATCCTTTTGCCAAATGATTCTTGGGTCTCTTATAGAGCATATGGAATACCATTTATGGGTAAAATAATATTGCAGTGGTAAAGAAAAGAGAAACAAGTATACCTTTTCTCCGACATTTAGAATTTTGCAATTCTTGTCGAGTCATTACTCACGCACTTGTAATAATAGGCGATCACTGTACATACAGTGACTTCTCAGTAATCAGGAGCTAAATAAAAGTGCTCAGGATGATGAAAAACTGGATGATTAGCGAAGACGCGATAAGGTTACCTTTATCGAACCTTCTACTTTTGGTCTTTTTAACTGCACATTATCCTCGCGAAAGGAGTGGTATCAATATGGTGAACTTTTTGAACACGCGTTTCTCTTAGACCGGTCATCAAAACATTCTGAAAATTCTACACATCGTCAATTTAATGCCGGTTATCTTTTGGATGGTAACATTATAATTTGAAATGTATTTATATACTTTTCTCTACATTATTTTAGAAAACACATGAGACAGATCTTTTGTTCTTGGTATCATATGTTCGGAATGATATGAAACATTTCATAAAGGACCGTGTCTTTTTTTACAGAATGTTTTCAATAATTGGTTTAAGAGAAAAACATTGTTGAATTCAGTTCACCATATCGATACCTATCCTTTACAAAACGATAACTGGTTTATTTATCTTACAAATAATTTTGAAATTACACACTGTAGTGTAAGTAGACATCTCTCCCACCACATCGAGACAGATGCTTGGGTTAATCCAAATAAGTCCCTATTTGTCATTTTTAAGTTGCCTGCCCATTTTATTTGTAAAACAAATTTAGAAAACGATGCTGTGTGCTGTGCATTAATGCCAGTCACTTGTCGCCTCTGGAAAATGATACATCTACGAGAGTGAGGGATTCCATCAAGATTGATTTTTAACACAGTTTCAAATACTAACCTACTGTCACACTTTGAAAAAGTATTTTAAATCTCAAAATACAAAGTCAAACGGGCTTAGCTGCTATATACATAATATTCGAACATGACTGTATTCACGCCTTCTATAAACTGTAAACAAAGTCAACATTTCACCCGGGGTATATTCGCGATCAATACCCCTGGTAGTACGTGTAATGAGTGACGTCATAACGGTGGGTCGTAGTAATGGCGGACCATCGAAACATCTTGGTGAGTTTTCATGTTCGAATCATAATATAGACCCCAGAGCAGGGGTAATATCGTCGAATACACCTCTTAGGGCTAGGGACGTAATGTTTCATAATATTACATAATGTAACTCATGTCATATTTCCATATCACTATAGCGACCCAAAACTCATTGTTTTTAAGTTTTGATACGGCCCTTGTTAGTTTTTATGAAACAATACAGAGACACCGGAGTTGTCCCACAATACATTAAAACAGCTTTGCGCATGCGCAAAAGGTTCTTAGTCACCAATACGTCCATTGTGAGACTTGCATTCTGTGGATTAAACATAATAACAGCTGGATTTATATATACCAATTGCATCACTTATTTCACCATGTAAACAAATACAATTTTAAACTAAGATCATGTAAACAAAAGAGGATATAACATCACAATATTTTATTCCGTAATATACAGACTTACTTCAAGGATCAATTACTTAATAATACCAGCTTTATTGTAAGTATGTTTAAATAATCTTGATATGATTTTTAGAAGAGGTACTAGTGTCTTTCAAGATTTGATGTTATTCTAAATTAAGTATTGTGTTATTCTAATAAATTAATGTGATACGCATTTAGCAACAGAAACGTCGTAATCCAATCTCAATGTTCATTATTTCTAAAGAGCGTTTACAATAAACCAAATGAATGATACACAATTAAGATAATATACAGATAAGATAAACTTAATTTGGAATCGCTAAACCAATTATATAACATAGATTGAAGAGTAAAACAACTTTATACATCGAATGTAACGGCACTTAAAAACTGCGCATATTGTATACCCAGCGTAAGCGTATAGTACTGTATAATTGCATCACTGTCGCAAACATTCATATTGATTTAAGACTTCGGTCAAAGCAAAACAACATTTGTCTCTGTATAGTTTAAAACAGTCCTCGGGCATTAAAACGTTCGTCTATGACATTTACTGGTTAACAGTATACTTATCATCTTTAAGAATTCGTTAAAATTACCTTCAATAGAGACTTGTGATGTGACTAGTGACATCTATTATATATTTATTTTTATTTTGAGTTATTTGCATTTCTTCAAGCTAAGTGTCTGTTTCTGGAAGAGTTTCTTCTGGTATTGTATCCAATAAAACCGTCCTTGGATCTAGGGGTGCCCTTTCGGTAACATACATATCATCATACGATGGTTCATTATCGTTTAAACCTTCGCATTTGTTATAATCACCGAAATCTATTGTATCTGGATCAATTAGTTCAAGAGTGTCGCTATCGTCTGACAGGGCATCATTGTTGTCGCATGGTGTCATTTGTTCATCGTCTAAAAGTTGGATACTATCTACAGATTCCTCACTTGTATACGACCTCATGCTATAACTGAAGTCATTGTCAATTCTAGCCTGGCGTTGAAGTGTTCTTTTCTCTGCAAATATCTGTAATAAAGCCGTCTCTAATTGCTCACCAGCCTTAAGGTTAGATGTTCCATCGTTGTCGAAGTCATTGTCGGATGCATTAATACACTCTTCGACTTGAGTTAAATAGGCAGCCTCGTTTATTCTAGTATCCTCTTCTGTGTTATCAGCAGCTCTATCAACTAATGGATTATTTTTAATATTTGAGCTAATTGCAGATTGATGATGTGATGTCACACTATAGGTGTCATGTTTTGCTAGTGTCTCCGTTTCTAAATATTCCGGTACTTCTTGTTGATGATTTAATGTTTGGTGTTCTACTCCAAATCGGTCAACAATCGTCTGAGTAGATACTGTTGGATTCAATACATCGGATGCATTGATCAATATGTTTATCTCCCCTTTAGTCCGATCATTTGTATTAAAAGCTGCACTTTGCTCAATATCTGGTGACTTTTCCTTAGATTTTGTAACTTTTTGTGGAGATGGCTTGTCTTTGTGCACAACTTCAATTTCGACATCTTCATGCCTATCGGCAAGTTCAACTAAATATTGCATTTCTGCCCGTAACGTTGCAACATGTGCTTCCTTCTTCTTGATGACAACTTCTACCATTTCTTTTGAGGCGTTCGCTTTAGTGACGTTGTACATCTTTTTACTTGTCCGACAAAGTGTCGGGCTTGCAACAACCGTGTCTGTATTCTCTTTAGAACGAGAGGTGCTAGGTGGTTTATATGTAACACAGTCGGGTGGAGATGCATTAATATCAGCATTTGAATTACAGTTTTCGTTTAGTTTTCTCTCACATATTTCTGAGAATTCATCAATGTTAAGGATGTCTAGCAATTTATCAGAGTCGTTCCTGTTTATGCTAGAGTATCCTTCATCACGTTCATCGTCCTCACTACTTGTATGTTCTTCATGTTGTAAGTCATTAACCGCATTGTTTATATTATACAATGGCAGATCAGCATTTTGAACCACTTCATCATGGTCTTTAATATTGTTCTCACAGACGTTCACTTTATCAATTTTTCTTTCTTCTTTATTAGAGACACATGAATAATTATTTTGGTTTACAATATGGGTGTCTCTTTTGCTAGAAACATATATTTCTTTTCGAAATACTTCGTTCTGATCTTTGTTGCAAGATGGTTTGACAATAGGCTTATAAATGCCTATTGGATGAACACTTTTTTCAGATTTCGTAGAGGTATTTGTCCTTTTGGAATCTGTGGTTGCATGCGACTTAAATAGATAATCCAATGTATTTTCTTGATCTTTACAATCATTTGTCATATCATTTATTGGAGCGTCGTCTAAACTTAACGATCGTTTGACTTGTTTCCATCGCTTCAATGTTTTCTTTGCATATGCTCTGCCCCAAGAGCCGCCCTTTACGTCGCTATGAACTGCTTGTTTCACCCCCTTGCTCAAATCTAAATTCTTCAGATCGTCAAGTATTGCGTGAAGCCAGATGACCAAGTCCTCGCCCCCACGGTATTGATACCATTTGGGGATTTTAAGGGACATTCTGCACTTTTTCCGAGCATTATCCATAGCTGTGTTGCCCTTTGACTTCGTCTGTACATCCTTACAAGTCTGATGTTCCCTATCCATAGCTTTTACGAATCTGGAAACATAATGTAAATATTAGTCATGTTTATCATACGCATGTTCGCTATCTGTTATTTACATAAATATATAGAATTTATTATCATATGTCTTCCCTCTTTTACAATAATCTAATATATTATCGTATGAAAGGATTGTGGACGTTTTAAATTAAGTACACTATATCCAATAAAATAAGACACCCTGATATTTAAACTTATCTCCAATAAACACGTTTACAATGAACTAAGTCTTAACTTTGATACAACTTGTTCCAATTATTTCCTGTTATCCAAACAAACGGTATAATGATCTGTTGATATGTTTAAACGCGAAAAGAAACCAAAAAGTTCTTGTTAGTTAACGATTCACTAATCCCAATTCTATATGCTGCTTATGTCATCTAACAATGGAGCAACCGGTACGGAAACAACAGTTACCGAAGCACTAACAACATTAACAAAAGACAGACATATTTTGCTCTCTATCACTTGCTAAATGAACTTAATAGTAGTATATGTAATTTCATCATTTGATCATGGCCGCGAGCCATGTTGTCGTGTGTCCTCTTGTAATATAATTACTAGCAAAGAAGCTTGAAATTGAGTAAAACTGTCTTACTTCAGTAACAGTAACTTAATGATCGTACTTTAAAAAGCTCATAAAAAGTTAATTGGAAATAATAAGAGCCAATAAGTTGGAATGACAATTTCTGCCATTTTCAAAACGAAAATATTACGGAAACTACAGTTATCGTAACTATTACACCACAGTGTGCCCTGTAACATTCCCAATATAACCACTGCAGAAAGCCCTGTTTTTACAGATGTGCTACAGAAATATAGAAAACCTTGTTAATCAAGACAAGTTGAGATTAACTATTACAAGGCGACTACCAGACTGTATCTTTTTCCTCGTATGTACGTATGCGATTGCCTGAATATACGTCACCGATCGAGGTATCGCATTTTAAATGTATAGACATCGATCAATATTTGTGTATGAATAAAACCACGAAATCGTTTTTTATTCTTACTAAAAAACTAAATCACTAAAACTAATAGCAAGAAAAATAATTCAGTTCGGCAATATTTACAAATCAAACCAATGGTCATATACCCATTTAATACTCAGTCAGTGTATCAAGGAATTCATTGAAAATCAGATGTCCGAATACATACAATGTAGGGAACGGATATGGACAGAATCAAACTTTAAACTCCTGACATCATCAGAAAGACAAGAACAGTATGAACTGTATGAGTTTAAAATTCCAAAAAGTTTTTCTCGACAGTATCTCTGATTCTATCTTTAGTCAACATTGATTATATTAAATCAGCGCACGAAAAAGTAAAATCCAATTTCGTTGTGTATGAACAGGCAGACTGTAGTTGAACATAAACGATCTATTTCTATTTTAACAGTTGCCCTGCTTTACCGCCTTGGAACAGAACTCTAATATCAATCATAACAGATGTGAGTTAACAGACCAGTTGTCCATATGAACCTTCCTCACCTGGTCCGCTAGTGGTTAACTGCATTTCGAGGTCAAACTTTAACTTACCAATACTCTTGCATCGAGTTTTGGCCTATCTCATAATTATAATTGATGAATGGTGAGGGAAATGATGGGGGGGGGGGGGAGGTATGAACAATGTCTCTTTGTACCATAGTTTCCTTATGACCGGTTACACGTATGTAAATGTGTTTTCCTTTCTTTGTTCTTTTTTTTGTTTTCAACCTCAACATTGCAAACACTTGACTGATATTTGTAACAAAATGATGAATACATTAAATAGTAACGAATCTTCTCAAAACACAAAATTAGTTTTAGGGAGGCAGCAAAACTTTATTTTATCAAATAATTGAAATCATGCTCTCATAAGCTGCATGTTTTTAATAGTTGTTGCTTTATATTTGAATTGAGGTAGGGGGTATTGAATACGAATTATTCCATCATAAAGAACTAGAATCCTATTTAAAATAACCTAAAACCCCCCAAAATCTACTTACTATAGTTAAAAATCAAATAATTACTCACATTCTGTGCTTATTCTTCTACCAGTCTTTAGAACGTCCATCGCTATCATATTTGTATTCTAAGAGTATTCCACAACACACTTCAGACTCATCACACTTACACTGAGTTATGCTTTAGTGTTTACTATAGATAATAGATTATGTATGTACGACCTGTGTCTTATCAGTCAGTATATGAGCCACAATTCCGCCTAGGTATGATTAATTTGACTCATACCTGATCTCAACGGTAATTAGATAACTCATTGAAACTTCCTGTTGATGCCAGAATAAAAACCCATCCTCAAAATGCATCCAATTCAGTCTACTTACCTTTACTACTCCTGACCAGGCGTACCGGTGTTTCTTCTTGTATTTGAAGTTTCACAATTGTTCAGATTTCCGTAAAAATATTAATAGCCGCTAAATAATAATTACGAAATCAACAGTATGAGGATGAGTCGACTTTACCAGCCTTACCCGGCCTTATCACAGTCTTGAAGTTCGCAGAATTATATAAATTTATTATTAGAGTTCTGTTTATCTCATTAAGAGCACATCTTGACTTTTTAAGTGTTGAAATACATTTTTATTTCACTTCGTAAGTTAAGTGCACAGTGAAAATATTGTAGATTAGTCCCGGGAGATTAGTTAGGTTAGGTGGTTTTTGTAAAATAAAGTGTTGAGGTAATTCTGGAGACTGTACACAATGCAAGGGTTTAGCTATTTGGAAAAATATGGATCAGAGAAACACGTGTGAAGTAATGAACTAAAATTTCATTAGCTTATCTATAAAATGTATACGTAGCCTATCCTCCTTTGTATATCCTCGACTATCAATTGTTCCTTGTATATGAGGAAGCAAAGTCGAGGGAGCAATGCCAATCCCAGTCAATGTCGCACGATTTTCAGAAAAATCTCAAACCTTGGGAATCCAAGATTCCCTATAATAGTGTTACACAATATATCAACTTACCTTTTCTTGTTATATCCCGATTTGATGTAAATAAGAGTTTCCAATTGCTGATAACTTGTTGAGACTGAATCATATTGAAGATATCGTCATATCAACTAAATGGCGAGCAATGGTTTTGGCAGGTTATTACCAATGTATTTGTGGATCGTGGAGGTTATCCAATACACCTACAAACGTAGAGTGTGAGCGATATACTTCCCAACCTATCCTCTTTGATCCCTGCAAATCAATTAAACATCAAAATTTAGTCATGTGGTGAAAATAATGTGAACCTTTTTGAATGGTGTCGATAATTGTGACTTTGATTGTGTATTTTACAAAGGTAATCCAAGGTAATAGACTATATTGTCATGCGGTTTGGTTAATATGATAATATGGAACGGTATCAATTATTAACTGATGTTATGCATGTTAAATGTGCAGTGAGGACAAAACAGTGATACCACACACTACTCAACATTCTTACTAAGGAGTAAATTGTTAACTGGGGTTAAGCCAATTATAATTCTTAAAATTGTTAAAAATGCTGTTTCTAAATTAATTGAACTAAGATGGGCGATTGAGTGTTTCCTCTGGTTGCCAATTGTGCTTTTTCCTCCTTGGATATTGTTATGGTGATTGTGTTTTTGTGTTTTCTAATGGTTTCTAACGTCGCCCTTTGTGATTTATTTGATATGGGAAGAAGTTTATATCACAACCACATGGAAAACATTGTGTCTGGAAATGATATAACTCGCATTCAATAAGTTTGCCCAGATTTGTTTGTTTCAACGCTCTACGTGGCTTATTTTTACTTATCTCATAAACTCCAACTTTAACTTCTCACGAAAAATTATCCCCGAAAAGATAAGTGTCGAAAGTTGTGTTTGTTTGATCAGTAACACAATCACGTTCACAATATTACAGGGAAAATTTGTGATTAACGCCTAGACAATGTATGAATATTTCCAAAGATATGATGCTGGTATTTGCATGGTGGGTGTTTTTTCTTAACTGCACAATACGATGGGTTTATAAAACTATAAATCATTTCTGATATCTGATTCACACTTGCTTCAGATGTTATCTGCTTATGCTCAACAACAGGCAAAACGCCAATGTTAATTTTGAGAAAAATACGAAGGGTGGTATCAAATATAGATAAAAAAACTTAACGACCCAGACCCAACATAACAATATGCCCTCTATATATCAAGTCCATGATACTTCTTTATGACAAGATGCTCCCATCGAATGTAATAAGAAAACAGCACAATATCTTTGCCAATATTGTGAAAACAGGATTTTTTTAACCGTAGACCCATTTTTTCTTCCCTACTTTTCAACAGCCCAATCTGAAAATCCGCAAGAAGAGAAATACTCAGACATTTTATCAGTTGGTGTAACTTAGCAGCTCAATGATCATTCACTTGCAAGAGCCTGCAAGATATTACTAACCAGATACTTCTCAACAACATATATTGGGACTTGCCATGTTGAAATGTTGAAAAAGTCCACCGAGATGTGGCTCACATTATGAGCATTGATCGTCGGGGAATAAAGTAGATAGAATTAAAAATGTATTTATCAAAGTTTCAGGGATCTCTTGAAAAAATCATGATAGTATATTGTCCGAAGGGGAAAAGAAAATATAGACCATTGTGAAATTATGATTGTGACTGCTGTACACATTGTATATATTAATTAACATTTACAAACCGAAGACACTAGAATCATTGAAATGAATCCCTGTATAAGTTTTGTTTACTTGCATTTTTTCACAATTATCCTGTAGCATTATTAAATTCATATTTTCTTTAACTAAAAAGCCAACTTCACATTAAAGGTTCTACTTCACAAATCAATTAAACAAGTACAATTAAATATTTGCTATATCTAAATAGAAAGGGGTCGGTCGATATAAGGCATATTGTTACGTTGCCAAATATATATTTTAGGGGGTCTAAAGATAAGGTTTGAACAATTAAAAGACCCCGACAGAATCGGCCTTCCGCCGAGTAATGGGTAAAAAAAGTAAATGAAATACAAGCAAGACTGATAAACCTACCTAAGTCTATCCCTGGCTGTGCATGAAAACCTTTCACTAAAACGTCGCACCCAGTACTGGTATAATGGCATCACCTCTCACCCACCATTACATGTGTTCCGACGGTTCAGAGACGCGATCGCAAACGTGTATATATACATCCCTATTTTCCCACAGTTTTCCAGGATAATTTATGTCAGTATATATCCTATGCCTATCCCAGAAGTTAGTTGTAGCCATAAAGGAACACTTAGATAGTGTATACAAACAGCCAACTTGCCAATCACCAGGCAAGGCCAGGAGTAAACAATCTTCCAGGCAGAGATAACGGTAACCTTATAGTATAGAATACCCCAATTATACTCGAGGCATGAATAATGAGACTAGAAACCAAAAATAAGTCCAACAATTCATATGCTGATGTTTTTCAAGCTTACGTGCATGTGACATTTTTCATGGATAACCCATATGCCAGAACTGAAGGTACCTGTAGTTACCAGTTTTACTACCGGGTGGCTAATTCGGGTCAGATACCATGGCAGATATAGTAAAGTTCCCTCACTTGATTATTTATCAAAGTAAATCATCGTTCATATCACCATTATATGTCTGATGAATATATATATACAAGTGAAAATATGTCCAGTAAAAGAAAATATTATCTGTCCAACCCAAGGAAATATATTTCACTTTTTATTTATGATTTGTGATTTATGGGGAATCTACCCGACCTAGAAGTCACATTTTCAAAGAAAATTAAATCATGTTTCGAAGTTTTCAAACCACATTCCTAGATGTAACTTTACATGTAGATTTCAAATATAAATCAAGATTATTTTTACTTGTATCTAGTCTATTCCTGTATATGACGTATAGTTCATCGATATCAGTAAGAATGTACACAGTATGGTCTGGAGTTACATTTATAGGTTTCTCGAAATATTTTAATAAGATAATCTTTTTACACTTCTACTACTTGCAGGAAGAGTTATACCCCCGAGTAATTGAGTAGTAAGCAACCATGCCCCGAGGGGTAGTGGACGATCTCTCCACCCTCGAGATACTCGATGAGAGAACCATACTCGATGAACTGCAGGCCAGATATAAAAATGGAATATATTACGTAAGTTACGAGCCTGCCTTCTGTTTTGTTAATCAAGGCATTCATTTTATCTTGGTATTCAAATCTCAACAGTAAACTCACATTTTCACCCATTGCAATCTTAATCATGCTACCCTGGTCCGTGTCAGGTAGCAATACTAACCTCTGACAATATCAATTGGATTAAAATATTTAAATTTAGTGATCTTAAACTATCTTAAATGTAGCTATCATTTGATCTTGTATGAGAGTTAGTTACTTATAAGCAGGAAGTTTAATGATTTTCAAACTACAAAGTCTGACTCTTTGTTGTTTGGATAAAATAAAGTTCTCTTACTGAGAAAGAGTACGGATACAGATAAATTTAAACTGATCATGTAAAGGGTACAGGCCGTTGTGAACTCAATCAGACAAGCCCAGTAGTACACAATACCTCTACTGTTGTACTGTTCACTGAAAAAAAAGTTTCAAGTAATTGCAATATGTTTTTATTTCCAGACATATATAGGCGATGTACTTGTAGCCATTAACCCGTTCCATTCCCTTCATTTGTACGGACGAGAGGTGAGTTTGCGTAACGCCATCTTTTTATCATCCCTACAATAATTTACATAATTAGCTAAGATATTTAGTATAACAAATATTCATTAAGACTAGTACTTTTTGTTATTTTTCAGTATCATGAAAAATATCGCAATGTCAAGGTCAGAAGTCAACTTAGTCCACACGTGTTTTGGGTTGCGGATCAGTCATATCAGCGCATGCGCGAGACCCACAACAGCCAATGTATTCTCGTGTCTGGGGAGTCTGGGGCAGGAAAGACCGAGAGTGTCAAACTTATAATAAGACACATCACACAACTCAGCCCAAGTGCAAATGCAGTCCTCTCCGAAAAGATTATAATGGTTCGTATAGTCACAATATAGCTAAAATGCAATTATATATGCTAGCTTAAACTCATAATACTAGTACATGATATAACACTAATCACTCCCATCTTTCCAATGGTGTACCATTACTTTTACATTTTAGTCTACATTGCATTTGTTTTGTCTGTAGGTGAATCCACTTCTTGAAGCGTTCGGTAACGCAAGAACTGTTATGAATAACAACTCCAGCAGGTTTGGTAAATACGTCGAACTGAACTGCACAAAAGATGGAACATTAATAGGCGGTTAGTGAATCTTGTATTTCCAGGATAGTATAATCTTTTCACTATAAAGTACGATCGTCTGTCCCATTTTCTCTAACATCCTATCTCTCTCTCTCTCTATCCGGATATTTCCTCCTAGACCATTCAACCTCAGGTCATCATACTTGCTCTACGAAGGTCAGAGGTCAAGGTCACTCAAGGTCCAATGTCAATATCTAGGTATTTTACGTTTTGAGGTATTTGAGGGCTATTGTTACGCTTCCACACCCATGATTAGGTGACTTGAGGCCAAGGTAAATTGTTATGGGTCAAACAAAAACAGGTAGATTGCTAGTTATCTTAATCATTCACTCATATGGTCAATATGTATCTAACTTCATATACATGCATTTGTTTCGAAAGTGACACCCAAAAAAGTAATTTTTCGTTATCTTTTTATCGTGCAAATGATACATGTGTTGCCTGCATTACATTCTACATTTCATAATTCATAATAAAAACAGGAACAATCAGAGACTACCTGTTGGAGAAGTCGAGAGTGGTGCGCCAGGGACCCGGAGAAAGGAATTTCCACGTCTTCTACAACCTGTTTGCAGGCATGTCCGAGAACCGTCTCAGATACTACTATCTTGAGGCCCCTGAAAAATATAGGTATATATTGGTATCAGTGCATATTCTACGAAACAGATTTTATTGGGTCGAATTACGTCAAAAACAATATTATAACATTTCCTTTGTGTCATGTTGTCAACAGTTAAGAATCAAGATCCTATTGCGCAGAAGGATATTAGATGAGTAGCCAGATCTCCTAAAGTCTTCAAATAAAGAAGTTTAAACCTCCAAAAGGTTACCGGCTAATCTTGGTACCGTTGGAAAGATATCTTTAACTTATAAACAATGGTGGAAACTGTATGTATAATATCACCAACACGTTGCTTATTTCAGAATAATAAACCAGACTACTCACTTAAGTGGGCAAGTGTTTTCTACTGAGAAAGAGAAACTACGTTGCCAGCACATGTTCCAGAAACAGGAGGACATAATGCGACTTATAGGCTTCACTGAGAAGGTAAGCACTTATCCTCTCGACCTGTTATAATTTACATGCGCTTAATTGATTTAAATAAAACTATTCATTGTTCCCTAGACATTTACAGTTTACAACTCAAGCTTCAGTCACATTTGCCCTTCGGCGGGCGTACGGCGGCCGTAGCTTCATAAAATCGATATAGAAAATCTACAACTCCCAGGCTCGTACTACTTTTCCCTATATCTACTGTTGCATATTTCTCTCGATTTTGGGAAGCTACGACCGCCATACGGCTACCGTAGATCAAATGTGACTGAGGCAGAACTTACCCCTCTTCCCTACAGGACGTCTCCACAGTTTACACTCTCCTTTCGTCTATACTCCACCTGAGTAACATAGACTTCGCCAACAATGAGGTGACTGATGGCGTCTATATAACTGACGAATACCCTCTAAAAGTCGGTAAGTTTATATTGAATGAATGCATGATAACAATATCTATTATCAATATAAATTGAATGAAAATCCACACCTTCAAATGCAATATATAGAATTCAAATATTTTAAACTTAGTTTCGAGAGTTGTTGTCTAACCCTACTATCACACCAAACTAGTTCTCACTACGTTCTCGAAAACGGGCTTCAACTGTGTACGAACTGACTGGACCTACTAAGAACCGTTTGGGATCTATTTACAAACTTCATCGAACGTACTCGAACGGTTAGGTCCTCTAGAACTTAGACAATGCTCAAAATGTTCTCGTGGTCGTCACGTTCTACAATTAGAACGAGTGACAACGTACTAACGACGAGCTGGACGTACTCCAAACGGAACCGTCGTACTTCAATCCTACTAGGGACGTTTTAACAACGAGTTGAACTGTCTGAGGACGTGTTGAGAACGAGGTAGAACTAATTGCAAATGGGTTTAAACTGATTAAGAACGTATTTAACACTGCTTATGAACGAGTTAGCAAAAATATAGCTATCACACCGAACAAGTTGCCACTGCGTTCTTCAAAACTGGTTTGAAACTGTGTGCAAACGGAATGGACGTAGCTGCAACTTTCTAAGGTCTATTTACGAACTTTAGGAACTTTCTCAGACGGGAATGTGATTTTAGAATTTTGAATCGATTCAAAATTCGATGGCGACCATACCGTTCTGTAATCAGGTCATGTTGACCTTCTAGACTAAGGGACGCGTTCTACGACGTTGCACACCGACGTGGTGCGACCTGAACGAACTGCGAACGAGATGGACGTATTGGAGACTGTTTAAGAACGAAGAAGCTAATTATTTCAGACATATTTCCCGACCACAGCCAGATTGAGCCCGTTTTACGACGTTTTCGTAGGACTGGCAAGAACGGGTAAGAACTAGTTTGGTGTGATAGGGGGGTAAGCCGATATGCTGCCCTCTTTATTGCGTTTTACCAATACATTTCTTCTATATGGTATACTCATTTCATGCTAAATTAGACATACTGAATGAGATATTTTACTTTTTCAGTTGCCAACCTTCTGTCACTTGACAAAACTGAACTGACCACTGCATTGATATCTACTTCCACATCGACGAAGGGAGAGGAAGTTGTCCATTTCAAGAACAAGGACCAGGCTAAGGATGGCCAGGACGCTTTAGCGAAGGCTGTTTACCAGCGACTGTTTGGATGGCTTGTCAGACAGATCAACATACAGCTGAAACCAAAAGTTGATCTTAGGTTTGTAATGTACTAATAATGAATTAAAATTCAAATATTTAAACTTGATTTCGAGAGTTGTTGTCTAAGTCGATATAAAATACTGCCCTCTTTATTGCGTTTTACCAATACATACTCATTTCATGCTATCCTCTGACAAGATGTTGTCAACGTTTGTCGTCTGTAACAATTGTTCCACTTTTGTAATTATTTGCACTAATATATAACTTCTCACAAGAAGGTGACATTTTCTCGTGACAATGCTTTGTCTACTTATGTCCTTACAATTGTTCGACCTCTCAATTCTGATTTATCAGAGCCCCCACTTTATCTAAGCTTGAGAGAGGTGTGTATTCCAAGGGATAGTAAAGACTTGGTCTCACAATGTTCGTCCTCCTCTATTTCCTTACAACGCACCTACTAGTAATTTTGGTTTGTTCTAGGCCTGGGTTGATAACTAGTATCGGTATCCTCGACATGTCCGGATTTGAGAATTTCAAGACTAACAGGTTCGAACAACTCTGCATCAATGTAGCTAATGAGCAGCTACAGTACTTCTTCAACGAACATATCTTCTCCCAGGAACAGAGGGCCTATGAGGGTGATGGCATTGACTGGACTAGACTCAAATACGAAAACAACGGGCCACTTCTTGATCTGTTCCTCTCCGTAAGTTTTTATTTTGGCAATTTTTTTAGGTTATTGTTATTTATTTCAATATTATTCAACATAATTATTTACATAGATTGTGAGGGGCCGAGGCTATATAGCATCATTGGCCCCCCTCTAGAAAGAGAAAAACATAAAATAAATCACTGGAGTGTGTAGGATTGCAACGGACAGACGGTCGTCCACCAGGTCCACTGTGGCAATAGCAACCCATGCCTACATGCCAGTGATCGACGGTTCATGGATATTCTAGTTGTTCTTACCACTACGATAGTAATATGTGTTATTTGAGCGTTCTTTTATTTCAGAAACCTGTTGGAATCTTCGCTTACCTGGACGAGGATTCTAAGTTTCCGAAAGCAACAGATGGTACCTTTGTGCAGAAACTGAATACAAACTTTGCCGACAATCAGTACTTTTCTAAATCACCAGGAGACCAAGTTAACTTCACCATCAAACACTTTGCTGGAATGGTGAGGATTGTGGATACCTTTTTATACTTTCATATTACTCCAATACGGTTTCCTCCATTTTCCATGCATTGTCGTCTTGATCAGTTAATTAAAGCAAGTAACATTCATTCATCTACGTTAATTTTAACACTTAAACTCATATGTGTTACATAATGTAGTATGTCTCTTGTATAGGTTACCTACGATTGCAATGGTATATTGGAGTCGAATAGAGACACTCTAAGCATGAATTTGCGTGAATGCCTGGCAAAGAGTTCAAATGATCTGATTAGTAAACTCTTTACAGCAAAACTCTCAGACACTGGAACCATTTCAAGGTGAGCAACGTTCAACCACACGGTATATAGTTGCTATATACATCATACGTTAAGTTAACTTGTGTAAAAAGTTGTCTCGTAGAAAGATCATTTTAGTTCTCAAACTATATCGTTACATGCAAGTAGCCGTAGCTTTAATGGTTGATTAAACAAATTTGGAAAATACACAACATATTACTGCTGTGTATATTTGAGAATGTTTTCCTCAAGCTATTTTATCGAAATGCTTTAATATACATATGCTTGAAAAACTGCTTACTATTTGTGATAATAACTTCGTATTTTGTTTTAGATCTGAAACAAATTTCCCCATTAGAGCGAAGAATCCGTTTGATCACACAGAAATTGGCCACCAAAACGTTGACAGTATATCAAAAACAACAGGAGCAAAGTTGTTAGAAAAGTAATTTTAACATCGTTTACATTTAGTTAGTCTCAATCATTATACAATAACGTGTACGCATGTTAACGCAATAGATTGTCCAGATATAATGTTAGAGCCAAGCGAAGGTTCATACTATCAATTTTTGACCACGTTATAACACAGTCACATTCATATATCGGAAGTCATTAATACTATGCATTTCTTTCAGGATCAGACGAAGTCGTGAGAAACTAGATGAACCAGGATATTCCAGACCGGATCAGACACTAACAAACGCTATGAGGGTATGTCATAACTTTCTATTGATATATCAATATATATCTGATTAGTACATCCAGCAACAACATTCATGAAAGTTTCACAGATCATCAAATGAAAGTGGATTGGATGGAAAGAACCATTTAGTCCGAAAGCTAAATCACATCGTACATTGCATGCATACCATTTCCATAACACTGCTGAAATTATAATCATATGAATTATACGTGTGCACTGAATGTTCCAGAATTCTCTCTTCGAACTGATGGAGAAGATGTCGACATGCCAGCCCCTGTTTGTGAGGTGTATGAAACCTAACAGACAGCTCCAGGCTGACAAGTTTCAGAGTGATGTCGTTCTGGACCAACTTAGAAGCAATGGCCTACTTGGAATCGCAAAAATAAGACGAATCGGATACCCCATAAGAATGGAGTTTGCCGATTTCATAGAAAAGTAAGGGATATCTTCTTAATTTTCCAAGCACGTAATATTTTCAATATGCTAGATGTTCAACAAATACAATACAACATATATTGGACACCCATATCACAGTTTACAATATTTTACTTGATATCATTTGATCAGACTTTTGCAATAACCCATTACACATGTAGTGTAAGGATCTGAAACCTGCTGATCATCTGGTCCGTATATCAAAAGTAACCTGGTGATGACCAGCGGATCGGCCCTTATGGCCAACACTGTGTATTTGAGCTAACTCATCATGTATGACGATTTTTTATTTGTACAGGTACAAGGTGGTAGCATTCCAGGCGAGTCAATTCGTGAAACCCCTTCCAGTGAATTGCATCGAAATCCTGAAAAGGGTTCACCTGACAGATTACGCTATCGGGGAGACAAAGGTGTTCTTAAAGTTTTGGCACCAGGATGCTTTACACAGCTACCTATCCAGAATCACAACAGGAATCGTGGACCTTCAGGCGCAAGTCAGGGGATATTTGACTCGACAGAAATACACCAACTCAATCAGAGAGGCCAAATCAAGAGCCAGAAGACGTTTGGTGAGAGTACATGAATTGGTTGTCAATTTATTGTGTGTCATTTGAGCAATTATTCCCGGCCCTTAGCCGTGACGTTGAAAATCTAATAGTTTGTCAGATGGATGTCTCTGTCATGGCAAAACAAGGAATTCAGATAATGCTTACCTCTCGTGTATGACATTCCCGAGAAGTTTAATTCTATCGGCGATGCATTCTAAATAAATACATTTGTTATTTTGTGTCAAACAACTAACTATATTTTTCAAATACTCATGATAATTGATATTGAAATAATTATAATTTTCCTCCTAGGTCAATCGAACCCCTAGTCTGACATCAGGGGGTAGGGCTTCTGACACAACTCACAGGACATCAACGTCTAGGAAGACGGGGCGTACAGGAACTGAAACCGAAACATTAACAGAGAGAACATCTACAAAGATTGATCATACAACTGACGCAAGTCACAGCGAGATAACTGACCTAACTCATCGACACCAGATCTCCACTGGCAAAATGATCAAAGAAAAGGAGGAAGACGAGAATTTACTACCCGAGTAAGAATAATATCACGAGAATTATTCGCGAATGCATCTGTCGGCAACCGGATTAACCTACTAATGTATGGTCAACTCATTAAAAATAAATCACTATTCCATATTTAAATGAGTTGGTCATGAAATAAAAGGTTATCCGGTAGCCGACATCCAAAAGTTGCATTCGCAATACATACTAGTTTCGAATAATATGGTACCATTCTTGATATCAATGACATCGATGCATCTGTAAAAACAACATATTTATATTCATTTTAACTCTGCAAGGAAGAAGCCCAGGTTAAATATTCGTGGTGTATTAATATATTCAAAGAGGTAATTAAATCCTGAAAAATTATCATCGGAATTGTATTTTTAGACATTTGTGGAACGTCTTTCAACTGATACCAAGGGAAAGGGTGAGTGCGAGTGAAAGTTTCGCGAACGCCGTGAAGGTCATCAAGCTTGTATTCTACATCACCTTATTTGGTGTCGTCTTGGGCGGAACAGTCCTTAGTAAATCTACGTTACTGTTACTAACATCTGGACTTGGAAGCAGACTTGGACAAAAGGTTTGCTAAATATATGTTTGAAATCGTATGCAACATGAATATTGAAGAGAAAATAAGAATTACGTACTATCTCAGTTTATACGCAAATACGCACTGGCAAAGGTTATATGTTCTTTACCAAATGTTAATTGAATTCATTGTAGGCTAAAGCCGCAGTGGTTCAACGGAACTCATGCGCAAGTATGTTGATTCTGTGCATCATAGTTCCCCATATTCTGACGTTCTTGATGTATCTTGCCAAAGCCTTATTTGGAAGTCAACCTTGGCCAACTGGGAAAATGGCGTTGAAGGTGAAGTATGTCGCGAGAAGTTCCCAACTAATGATATTGACTTTATTCATTTGACGCATGAACCTTTTTATTTTACGATTGACATTTATTTTTAGATCTTAACAGTGGAGCTGTTACAGACGTTGGGAATGTGTCTTCTTATATTCCGCGTTCTTCCTGAGGTCGATATGATACGTGGTCTGTTCATACTAAACGCATGTTGTGTGGTCCCCGTATTCTGCAAGCTCTTCTTCAGTCATAAACCAGTCAATGAGAAAAGGCGTACCATCTGGCTGATTGTAAACTTCTTTGCACTGACAGTACAATTGTCAGCCATTGGAGTCATCCTAGCTTCTGGATTCAAATTGTCTAAAGATTCTCTTCTGGATATGAACGAGGCCAAGAAACCGATAACAACAACACCAGCCCCGCAATCTGAATTTGAAAGAGAAATGAGTATACTAGAAGGAGGGAGAATAGCTCGAGGTGTGGATCTTCAACTTGAAAAAGGAATGCGCCTTCAGCGATCTATCGAAGACACTGTATTGGGAGATAAACTAATGAACAATCTCGCTGAACGCATTGAAAAAAGCAGAGAGAAGCGACAGTTTGATTTTAGTTTTGGAGGGCTCACTCCGGCAAATGGATCATCTGGAGGCAGTCGAGGAAGAGGACGTCCTAAGTTTGGTATGAAGCCAATTATGTACATGCGCAAAGAGGTTGATACAAACGACTTCCTGCGAGGCACTATTCTATGGGAAGCAGCAATCGCCTCTGTATTGGTCTCACTAGCTTGGTGGGAAAACTTCGTGGACAAGAACCTCTATTTTGGGAAAAGGCTCATCCTTCCAATGCGTCAGTTTAAAGCGCAGCTTCACGAGTGCAGACAAAAAGCGACCGTCTTTGTCAGTTTATGGAAAACGGGTCTAACAATTGCATTTGCCTACATATTCGTGCCTGACTTTTCATTCTCGTTCTTCGTAGCTACAGTCACTGGCAATCATAACACGGATACACTCATCGACTACGCACCATTATTTGTCCAAATGTTCACCAGCATGGCGGTGTACTACTTCGGTAGCTTGGCCTGCAAGTTATGCATGCAGCATTTCAGCTTCTCTGTTCCTTTAGCACTGTCTACACCTGTCACATTCGTTGTATTGTGGCTCCAGTGTCACACGACTCCGGTACTTCCAGAGAATCCATACACTTGGGTGTGCTCAGAGATGTCTGGGGTAATCTTCTCCTGGCACATGATAGCTGCTGCCCTCTGGTGGATATCCCAGTTGATTATTGCTGGTCACATCTGGTTTCCCCAAGCAGGGCGTCTTGAAGCGACTGAAAGGTAAAAGGCTTTTGTAAAAAAAATTGCAAATTCTCAGCAAATCTGGCTCAATAAGAAACATGTGACATAACAGACACAGTCACTTAGCAAACAAATGTTACTTGGAAACTGTTGTGTATATCTCTTCTCACAATGTATCATAAAGACCCGCTCCTAGATGTTTGTATTGCATTAACCTTTCCACCCAGAAACTGAAGACATTGTAAAAGAAAACATTTTCGTTTACCTCTAGGTTATTCGTACTTCCCGTGTATTGTGGAACTCTAATAGAACAATGGATGATGTTCAACCGTAGGCGCGATGATAAGGAAGTGATTTGGTCGAGCACAAGTGGTGAAATAAAATACATTGATGTTGATGACAGGATGTCCCAGGTTAGATATGTGTATTCACAAGAGATCACTTACAGTAATTGCTTTTGCTTTGTATTGACTTTTTTATAATTTCCTCCATCCCCCATTTACATAAAAATGACATCACTTGTACTAATTGAATGTAGGTGTTTTTAAGGTTCTCTCTTATTTTCCGAATATAATGAAAATATCAGTAACTTTATGTATTGCTAGTCGATAATTGGACGTTGGCCGATGACACCAATGGTTGTTATTAGACTAAATACTTTATAGTATTCTATATCTCCACTATAACTACAATATAACTTCAATAGATATTACTATCCTATTATCATGTTGTAGAGTAGCATGACGGCCCTGACAGGGACCAGTAGGACATCTACCAGCAGAACAATCACCAACCACACAACTACAAACAATCGCTCTACTACGACAGGTTTCTCAAAGGTAATACTATTACTTGAGAACTAACATAGTAATTACGTAAAGAACAAGTTGGTATTGTGATTCAGAAAAAAGGCATTGAGGCCCCAAAAAGTGAGCCTTTTTGGTCATTACTGGGCCTCTCAAGGCCACATTTTTAAATCTAAGGCCTTTTGAAGAAAAGGGGCCTCAAATTTTCAAAATTAGGGCCCACTTTTTGGTTTAAGGGGCCCGAAAATCTTTCCCTCGCAAGTGCGGAATTTTTTTTGAAATCTGAAAGGGCCCCCTCCCTTTTGGTTCCCAGATCCGTCCCTATGTAATATGAATTACATAGTATAACATACTTAGAAAAACTTGAACTAATTATGGTTTGATCCGCAATAGTCAAATCTCAATGTTAGTACATGTTATAGTGTTTAAATAGAAATCATATTTTCTCAACCCCCTAACGAAAGATCAGGCCATACTCAATGGTGAAATATCAAACTATATTCCAGGGTAAAAGTGAAGATGATACTGAGCAACAGGAAGAAGAGGCAGTTCCTGTTATATACGCATGCGCAACTATGTGGCACGAAACCCGAGAGGAGATGATGAAACTTTTGAAGTCAATTTTTAGGTATATGGCAGATTTAAGAATGCAACTGAGAAGAACAGAAAAAATTAATGATACAAGTAAAGTGCTGAATTGATTTTTGCCCGGGCGCTTTAAAGACGAGGCGGGTAAACAAGTTTCATTATGTATTCAAAGTTCTTGAAATTATATCATGATGTTATAACATTAAACAACGGTATATATACAGTAAAACCTGAGTTAGTGAACACACCTCTCTAGTGAACTCCTACCTAATGTGAACAGTGAACATGAAATCTTGGCAAAGTCAATAGAGTTATCCTGTATCTAGTGAACATTGGATCAGATATAAGATTTCTTGTGGATTTTCTGCAACTGCCTTGTCTTATAATGTTAATATTTCCTGCCAAAAATAATTAAAAGGTCAATTTGGGATGTTGATCTCTTCTTTTATTGAAACAGGTGTGACTAATTATAATTCTTAATAAACTTTGTTTTTTTGTAATACAGGAAAAGTGATCGCTTTAAAGATAATCTGGTTAACTATTATTACCTATATCTGCTAAGTTCCAACTTAATCTTTTTCTCATCCACATCAACTTAAAAAACAGATTGAAATAAGAAAATAATGATCACCCTTAATCGACTCTGCCAGGTCCTTTAATTTATCCAATTACGTCCTTTAACTGAGTCTAAAGTGTCATGGATTATCATGGGTAGAAAATACAAATTAAATTGATTATTCCCTCCTCTCTTTTAGCCTTGTTTAATAACTGGTCTGTATATAATACGGCAAAATTCTCCGAAATCAAATTCTTACTGTAGTGAACACCAACCAACGTGAACGTTTTTTTCTTGGCAAAAATGTTCACTATACACAGGTTTTACTGTTTAACGGGATTTTATGTTCATTTGCGATGATTGTTAATTTGTAGAATGGACGTTGACCAATGCGCTCGTAGAAATGCTAGGGAATTCTTTGGAATCAAGGACCCCGATTACTATGAGTATGAAAGTAAGATTTTTTTCCATGTTACCAATTCATTTCTAATACAAAAAATCTCAATCAATGACAATTAGCTAATTGACAAGCTTGTACAACATTAGCGGCAATTTAATGTATATATGTATTGAGTGAAAATATTAAAGAATATGGTTGTTTGGATCCTTAATTTTCAAATCCCTGAAAGTAAGATCATTTCTATGTTTCTTTTACCGAATCCTTGTTGATTTTATTGCAACTCTGGTAGGACTACTCTAATTTATGTAGCGGCTACATTTATGAATTTACAACATTTTCTTCATTTTGTACACAGCTCATATTCTTTTCGACGATGCTATGGACTTGACGGATGACCACGAGTCCGTGCCGAATATGTTTGTACAGAGGTTATTTGAAGTCATCGACGAGGCCGGCAGTTCAGTGCACGAGAGCGCCATCAAACTTCCACCTCCTACCAAGGTCCCAACGCCATATGGTGGAAGACTTGTATGGATACTTCCCGGTGGTTCTACGCTGCACGTCCATATAAAAGACAAACACAAGATTCGCCATAGAAAGAGATGGTCGCAATGCATGTACATGTACTACTTACTCGGCTACAGACTGATGGCCCAAAGAGAAGATGAATTCATGGAGGAAAATAAAACTGAAACTGCCTCAAAGAAAGATAGCACCGGGACAGCAGGCTCAGAGATATCATCAATGAGGAAAAGAACTAAGAGTGCTCGGAATCAGAACTTGGACCACTTTACAAGAAGTGACATTTTCAAACGAGTAGATGAACGACTTCACCGACAGGTCTGTACAGGATAAGAGAACATCAATGATTAAGCTTACCTGTAATTAGATTCTACAAAAACCCTCACATTAATGCTGCGGCCATTTCTAATTATCGCAATTGGGACGTATGACCCTTACAAATGTGGATGAGAATTTATAATATCCTTTACGGTATTAGTCTATATGTTTCAGTAATCTATGATGATATGATAAATGAACGACCGAATATTTTTTATATGTCTTCTTAGCTTCCCACTTTGCCATTGTATATTACCATATACAATGTGTCCTAAAAGGGAGGAGACAGACAGTACTAATAACACTGGCATGTAGCGATTTAAGCGATACTGGATACTTTACTGAATTGTGTCGAAGTTAGACGTGTGGTGCGGAAGTTAATATGCAGATGACCATCATTTCAATGTTATATTGTTTGTAGGCAAATTGAGATTAGGCCATTGGAGTATTTGTTTCACGCATACATAAAGCCTAACGCATTCAAGGGTCACATTTATCATTAAACCAATAACTCAAACATATGACCTTGTACACCGACCACCTCTTGAAATCAATGCAGGCCGATTTCAACGAATGCAAACGGTGATATATAAAATAAACATAATCAAGCATGACCACGTCCCAACTTCTTTTGTTTTCTTTACAACTAAGCTATGACTGCAGTCTATTCAGTGTTGCGTATCGAACCTTGTTTATTATAAAAATAGTGCAACAACAAGCTGAATTCACACCTTTACCTTATACTTATTCTCAACTGAAGACATTGAATTTATCTCTTAGGTTTTACATTATAAATATCTTAACATGCAGAGTACGAAAATAGAGGCTTAGGCCCAACTTTGTATGGATTTTATGAAAATAATCTGATGTTAGAGAAATGAAAAGAAAAATGTCCACACCCTACACAAAAGATTTATGGTTCCCGGGAATACGTATGTGTTGCTAAATGTATATTAGAATCGTATGCCAGTTACAGAAAGAAGTACATAATATCATGCTAAACTATATATATATATTTATCGTCTATTATCCTTTGACAAGTAGAGTAGAGAATAAAAATAAAAAAATTCAAAAATTCAAAAAAGGAAATAAGATTAATTTTTTAGAAAACTACTTGGTATATGATAAAGCAGATATGTGCGGTCGGTTTGGATATGGGGTTTATCCCTCGTGAGATATGCACGTCTACCTTCGGTCCCTATGGTCCATCAGGTAGATATATCGTATTGGAGCGTATTGACCTATTTTTTAGTTTCCCGTTTATTTTATTTATTTATTTTATTTTTCAAACAATGTGCATTTATTAATATAACGTTTGCATTATCCAAATGTAACATTCTAGAGGGATGTATTATGGAATAAATGGGTTATTTCTGGTCAGGATTGAATATGTTTTTTGTTTTTTTATTCCTCGGAAAATATGATATTGACCTTGGGCAATATGATATTGACACTCGGTCGCTGCGCTCTCGGTCAATATTATATTACCCTTCAGTCAATATCATATTGTCCCTCGGAATAAAACCCATATTCAATCCCTCCCAGTAAATAACCTATATTTATAACATACCTATGATGATGTATAGTGCAAAGTGTACACAAGACAGCGGGCCAATATAAGTTTTAAAAAGCCTGCGCCCGCTAACTTTTTGATTGGTCAAGGCGCTGACGTCATAACCAATCAATCGAAGATAAAACTGCGCGAGCAATTTTTCTAAACTCGTTTCAATCATTTTCAAACCATTTGTTTGTCAATTCTATAAGAAAACGGTACTCTCTGACCAGTCTACATCATCATAGGTATGTTATAAATCGTTTATGTCACCATCGTGGCACATATGCCCTCGGTTCTCAGAGATCAATGTCCCTCCCAAGGTCGGGCCATATATCACTGAGACCTCGGGCATATATGCCACGATAGTGACATAACCTCTAAGTATTCCATACCTGATGAGGTTTCAGGGGCATATCAACCGGGAATATATCCCATATCCGGCAAATATTTTTCGTGTGTCCCACTCCGACGGAGCTCCGGGACATATAAATCGTATGTCCCGCTCAAAAAAATGTTAAAAATAAATTCGGATTTTGAAAAAAAAGTTTTGAAAAAAATTGAAAAAATTTTTTGAAAATATTCTGAAAAAAAAGTATGCCCAAAAAAAATTTGGAAAAAAAAATCTGAAAATAAAAATTTGATAAAATTATGGAAAAAATTATGTAAAAAAATTTTGAAAAAAAGTTGAAAAATTTTTTTGAAAATATTCTGAAAAAAATTATGCAAAAAATGTGAAAAAAATCTAGAAAAAAAATTGTGGACAAAAAAGTTTTGGAAATTTTCTTTTTCATTTTTGAAAAAAATTGAAAACAAATTTGGAAAATTTTGAATTTTTGGGGAAAATTATAACATATTTTGCAAGTAACACACCAGAGCATGTGGGAAACATACTTTAGATATCATATTCATTCGTGGATAAAAATCATATCTCTCATAAATCATAGGATATCCTCTATATCCCATGGTTGCAATGATACAGATCGAATATCACATGATGATATATTTGATATGTGACCAAGATATCATATTTTAGTAAACAATTTACAAACCATCGAATATCACTTTTAAACTATCGAATATCACGTCTTAGAAAGCGATATTCGATGGTTTCGAATTTTTTCAAAAAATGAATTTTGAATATTTGATGACGTAAATCAAGATAATTTCTACTCGCATCTTGTCTATTCCACAGGTTTGGGAAAAGTGTACAGGAAAATCTCCATGTTCAATTGATGTATGATCAATATACGAATCGAATTCTCGTGTGCATTACAATATCCACATTGAAACATTTTTGGCCTGCAATGGACGTATAATGGATTAGAATATGAGGCCGTGTTATCATTCAAATGTAAAGTCATGGTATTGGGTTGCAAGTTAATATCAGATTCAATGCAAAGTAATCATTTAATATCAGATGCGCGATCAGTCCAATAATGTAATTTCAGGTCATCAGTTCGATATCTAGCAGTTGTTTTAACGACACGGTATTACTAGGCTATCGTGTTATAAATACACACACATATAAATAAATCAAACTGGTACACGATATAAGCACGACTGTTCTTTCAATTGAGTATAAATGTTGATAAACTTACCCGGAAGCCAACACATACACGTTTAGACGATGCTATTTTCAGTTCAGTGTAAGAGTAAATGCCCGGATATCGAAGCTTTTTCGTGTAAAGTTTTAACCAAGCATGTAGTATCGGGTTATATTGCGTGTAGAATTTATCGATATCAGGGCCGCTACATGCCAGTGTAATAAGCTCCATATAACTATATAAAGTAATTACCATTCTAAATATTTCCCCTTCTACATTTTCAATGTTCCTTATGGCTATAGTTACGTCATATTTCATGAAATAGGCGTTCTTAGAGTATTTACACAGTAAACTGAAGATGATTTACTAGGCCTTCGAATTCATTATGCACTCGTGTGTTTTAGGCTGAGACAACGTTCATTCTGACACTGGATGGAGACATTGATTTCAAACCGGATGCAGTGAGATTGCTTATCGATAGAATGAAGAAGAATAAGAAAGTGGGAGCTGCTTGTGGCAGAATCCACCCAATCGGATCAGGTAAAAATCAAAAATCCGGACGCAGATACCACCACATTTTTATATAAAAATGAGAATGAATAAGTGCCCGATAAAGTATAAAATGCGCATGCGTCCAGGTGTTGATAAACTATAAATAGCGAAAATCCAGGGTTTGTCACCACAAGGTAAGCCAGGACGTGTTGAGAGAACAGCTAGTGTTGATATTGAATTTATATGTAGCCAGATAAGTTTCCTTATTGAAATTACATATGGTTATTAGCAATACTTTGTAGGTGCTAAATAATAAAATATTTAGAGTATATATGAGAGAAATTGGTCATTTCGAACCTGTTGAAAAGTTTGTGGCTCTCGGCTACACCGGGGAATTTACTTCCATGAGTACACACATAAATGTGGGGTTCCCCAAGAGGTACGCGACAAGGTGAGCTGGCATCAAATGTGCGACTAAATGCTACTATCGAGAAGATAAAATAACGAATACGACAATAAGTTATTGCATGTGACAATTCCGAGCCTTCATCTCACTAAAGTATTTTGAAGTGAAAATAGGATTTTTGTTTTGATACATGGATTCAGATGAACGTAACTTTATTCTGACAACTAATCAAAACTGAACAAAATTGATTGTACGTAACAGACAATTTATTGTTTTACAATGTTTTGATTGGCTAAACGAATGAAACCAACAAATTATGACATGTAAAATGACAATTTTGAAATGTAAAATTTAAAAGTGACAAACACAACTTCCCTATACACTCTTTGGGAGCCCTAGTAAATTAGTAATATGTACATGCAGCAGTGGTAGTGTGCAGCTTATTATCACACTACGCTTTGTATTCTAAAGCCTGTTGTTTGTAATAACACTGTTCACTCAACGTATGTTTTGTGTGTGGGCAGTCAACGATAATCATTGTTTTATCCCAGTTATATGACCTCGGCAATTATAACAAAACCGTACTAAACGAAAAAACGCAAATAAGAGAAAGCTTTCACACACATATAAAAAATGAACTAGTCTAATCCGCCAGTATAAACTCTGTGCTATACGTAGCCGGGTCAGGCGCACACTTTAAAGAGAAAAGCAGCATTCACCGTACATCTGCTAAAACAAAAAGCACGAGAGACTACACTGGAAAACTGTAGGTACTGAGCACTAGACAAACAATGTCATCTCATATATATTGATTTTGATCATTTTTCTCTATTTACTTTGAAGTCGTCGTATCTCTGTAGAAAACCCGAGTCAACCTGCTTATTGCATGTTTCACACCTAATGTCCCCCATGATGCGTTTAGAACTCGAGTTTCACCATTGAACTCATAGGCCCGGGGAAAAGTATTGGCAAGCTGAATCTAAAACATAGGTTGACAAGCCCGACTAATTTAAAAAAAACTTGCCTTCTTGGTGCGAGTTCTCCTTACTGGTATCGAATCGCATCACCAGATCTCTCCAGAATCTTCTCCAAAGTGTTTCTGAAACATATTTTTGATTATTTCAATTCTTTACCCCAACTCTTCGATAATACTGCATAAATTACAACAACTGTAGATATCTGCATTTGTGGGGCAAGTTGAAAGTGTAGCACTTATGGCGATTGACAGATACGAATCAAATCACTTGTTTAAAACGTCAAGTCTCACACGGAAATCCGGATATCTTGCTGCAAAATGCAGATTTTCGGAAATTCTCACTTCGAGACAGCTTTATTCACACCATATCACTTGACTGCGTTTCATTCATACGTAAGAGTTGAAAACTATCAGTTTTTCATTGTTTTTTGAAAATAATAGATATTATAAATATTGTCAATAAAAATAGATAAAAATCGCCATTTAAAAAGTGAAATTATGACAATACTTTTCCCCGGGCATATGATTGAACTATTGAATTCCACTTTTGAGTTATAATATGGCGTAACTATGACTTGAAAATAAAGGATTCCAAACTTATAGAGAAAGTGAACATTCTATCCAATTACGTGATGCTGTATACATATAATATCGTCCAATTTAATGCGCATAAACGGAAACAAGCACTTAGTGTACCTTGTATATAGTCATGTTTCAGCTCATTTGATAGCTTTCAAGCTAATGATCAAACTTTTTTACGTAGACATTCCAGTTTTTCCATTATGATTGATGTACAATAGCAAGTACATATCGAGTGCTAATGTATCTGAATAGGATAGTTTCTAAATAGCAGAAAAACAATGAAATCTAGTGCTGCCAATTTTTATTCAGCTTTTAATTTGGGCTAGACTGCCATTCACTTACATGTTAAAATCTTGGAATAGTGGCTTAATTTCATGATTTATCAAAAAGTGTTAGTTGAATCTCTGTAAAACTAAAATGATATTCCATCTGATGACCCTGTTTATGTTCAAGTTGTGATTTAAGCGAATGTTGGTTGACATCCAAATAATCCAATGTTTTAAAGAATTTTAGCATGGTATCAATGGAAATTTAGCCCAAGTTCTGCCAAATGTCATGGAAAATGATTTAAGTTACATAACTGTGTAAATCAAAGCTAATATGGGAGAGAACATTTCACTGAATTCAAATATGCCAATTAAAGGAAGGAAAGGTGTGTTACCAGAGGTCTTATATGCAAATCTCACGATAAACGAGATTTAGCAAGATTTCAAGAGCTTTATGGAAACCATTATTGCGCCATAATGCAACACAAAAAGTACAACATGAGGACAGTACATGCATCTCAGTTTTAAGTCAGTTAAGTCAGTTTTGACAAGCACATTGCCTTTATTTTCGAGATGCTGCAACATTTTCCTTTCATTTCTGTCATTCCTAGCATGTAATAAATCGCATTGTGAAGGGAAACTCACTCTAATCACAGATCCAGACAGGATTGTGGAGGTTATATAACATGCGAAACTTTGGAACTAAATAAAACTTCTTTATTTGGTAATATTTTCAACCATGACATGATAATATCAATATTTAGTCTAAATAATTGCTAACATAAATTGTTGATAACAGAATACAAAAATACTCCATTTTACCTACTTTGTTGAGGTTTCTATCTAGAGAGTCAGATATTTGTTTAAATGTCATTTGCCTAATTGAGCACATTTCTGTAATTGTCTTTGGACACTTGATCTTCACTCTAGATTGCATCCGAATGTATGTTTTAGATTGTAATTTCAACAAATGAACTCCATTAACATCGACTCGTTTAACCTAAATCAAATTTCAGTAAAAGTAGCGTATGATATTTAGATATCAACACAGTGAAGGGAAACTCACTCTAATCACAGATCCAGACAGGATTGTGGAGGTTATATAACATGCGAAACTTTGGAACTAAATAAAACTTCTTTATTTGGTAATATTTTCAACCATGACATGATAATATCAATATTTAGTCTAAATAGTTGCTAACATAAATTGTTGATAACAGAATACAAAAATACTCCATTTTACCTACTTTGTTGAGGTTTCTATCTAGAGAGTCAGATATTTGTTTAAATGTCATTTGCCTAATTGAGCACATTTCTGTAATTGTCTTTGGACACTTGATCTTCACTCTAGATTGCATCCGAATGTATGTTTTAGATTGTAATTTCAACAAATGAACTCCATTAACATCGACTCGTTTAACCTAAATCAAATTTCAGTAAAAGTAGCGTATGATATTTAGATATCAACACAATTCGCTAAATACAAGGGTTGATACTAAACTAGATATTAATTTTTCCAATATCATTCTCACGATTTTTTCATCAATCCAAAAGCAATTTTTAGAGGAATTATTTTGTATTTAGAGAATAAATGTACTCGTGAATATTGAATATCATCTATCATAAATTTCACCATTCTGATACTATCAACTAGCATCAACGGGTTTGCCCGGGTTAAAGGGTATTGTGTTATTGAGAGCTCATTGTTTACATTGTGTTGTAGGACCCATGGTATGGTATCAACAGTTTGAATATGCCATTGGTCATTGGCTCCAAAAGGCTGCTGAGCACGTCCTAGGCTGTGTTTTGTGTAGTCCAGGGTGCTTCAGTCTGTTCAGAGGATCTGCTCTTATGGACGACAACGTAATGAGGGCCTACATTAGGAAAGCAACGGAAGCTGCCCATTATGTCCAGTATGATCAAGGTACTGGACTTATATTATTAGTTTGTTGATATTTACGTGCCCATTTAACGGGGAAGTCATTGATATAGTTAAATTATAACAGATGAAAAGATTGAAAAACGTCTGCATACAAATTCCTGGCTAATATTCATTTTACTAATGCTCCAATTCCCAACAAAACTAATGGTATACACACTCAAAATTAAATAGATACCGAGGATACAATAAAAAGTCTCCATTAGAAAAACAAAGATGTAGAAGATCAAATGACAATTCCATATTCAAAACATAAGAGTGCACTCATAAGGCATTTGCGATCCAATGAATATTCGTCCGTATCGTTAGTAGAACAGGCCATGATTTCGTCTAGATTCAACACGGTCAGTTTTGAAATCCTGAAAATACTATTTCGATTAAAAGGAAATTATGATATGTTGTCTTAAAAGTTTCATAATATTTGCATTTCGTTCAGTAAACATTTTATTTCGTGTGTCATTGATATGCAGTTTATATAGATAGCAACCCCGAGCGATAATTCACTCACTGACATGTATTTGTTTTAATTATCTAGGTGAGGATCGATGGCTCTGTACGCTAATGCTTCAACAAGGCTACCGTATTGAGTATTGTGCCGCTTCTGACGCCTTGACACAATGTCCAGAGGCGTTCAGCGAATTCTACAACCAGAGAAGACGCTGGGGTCCATCGACTTTGGCGAACATTGTAGACTTGCTCCAGTCTTATGAAAACACCGTTAGGATCAATGACAATATCAGTTATTTCTACATGTTATACCAATTCATGTTGTTTGTCTCCACTATCCTAGGGCCCGCAACGGTAGTCATGATGATAGCGGGTTCCTTCAATGCTGTATTGGGTACCAATTTGTGGCAGTCATATTTAATGTCGCTAGGCCCCGCGATCTTCTTTACGGTAATTTGTATGTCGTGCAAGGATCAAACTCAGATTAATGTTGCCACTATAATGAGTGCAATATATGCTGTTGTAATGATGGTTGTCATCGTCGGTACCGTTATTAACGCCACAACTGAGAGTATCACTTCGCCCAATGTGGTTTTCTTGGTAGGGTTGACAAGTTTCTTCTTTACATCTGCAGTTCTTCATCCAGAGGAATTTTTCTGTATTGTCCCTGGTGCTTTGTATTTCCTTTGCATTCCTTCAGGTTATGTCTTACTTATTATCTATTCATTGTGTAACATGAATAACGTATCATGGGGAACAAGGGAGGTACCGAAGAGAAAAACAAAGGAGGAAATTGAACAGGAAAAGATAGAGGAAGATGAGCGAAAGAAGCGAAAACAGGAAAAGAAGGGATTATTGGGTTGGCTAGGGCTAAATCGCATACTATCTGATGTCAAGGACTTTTACATTCAGATGGTTGGACAGCGAGCTCCAGTGCAGCAAGGCCCAACAACAGAACAGATCCTCCTGGAGTTGAAAAATTCCCTAGACAAACTTCCAGATATGATAAACCCAAGGCGCTCAGCTCACCACTTTGATGCGATGAGCACTCAAGCAGGAAGCACACGTGCAGGTAGTACACACGCTGGATCGGTCAGTACCCATCCTCAAAGTGGCTGGTCGGGAACAACTCATCCTCACAGTGGATGGTCGAGAACTACTCACACTAGAGACGGTGAGTCCACTGACGTTGCAATGACAATACCTGGTCTAACCTCACATGGTGGGACCTCGCACGGGTACACTACTGGTCAGGAGTCTATGGGAAATACAAACACCGTTCAGTACTCTCATATTGAAGGAACTGAAACTGATTTTACAACTGCGACGCCATCACATACTCAATTTACTGAAACTGGAACACAATCGCATACCAACTTTACTACAACCAACACACACACGCAGTATTCGACTGGTGGCGAGTCAGCGGGCACACGAACACCTAGACATGAGTCGACACTGCAGTACTCCACAGTAGGCTCAGCTATAGACTCGTCAAGGCAGGCAGGTTCCACAATGGGTTCAATGACAGGCACGTCGCACCACGGAGCCTCTTCGGCGTCATCCCATCACATTCCAACATCTCTGCGCTCTCAGGCCGACTGGAGCACCACGTCACACGCCTCCACTGCAAGGAGACAGCGTAACAATCTTAAGAACCCTTTCTGGATTGATATTGACTTCCTCGGGAATGGTGCTATCAATTTTCTAGGTAAACGAGAAATAGCTTTCTGGAGACAATTGATTCGAATATATCTGCATCCTCTTGATGAAGACAAACAGCATCAGGACAAGATTGCCCAAGATCTGAAGAATCTCAGAGGGAATGTTGTGTTTGGTTTCTCTATGTTAAACCTTCTCTGGATGATCATCATTTTCCAGATGCAACTGATGAAAGAAGACCTTGAAGACATCTTCGTAGAGATTCCTAGAGCTGATGGCAAACCGGCAGAACGTTTCGAGCCCCTCGGTTTGGTGTTCTTGACCTTCTTCGCTATCATTCTGATCCTTCAATTCGTCTCTATGTTGTGTCACAGATGGGGCACTCTACTGCATATAGTAGCTATCACGGAGATAGATTGGCCATTCATGAGGAAACACTGGAAGGCTGAGGATGATATTCAAGGTGCTATAGAGTTATCTAAAAAGCTGCAACGAATACGAGGACTTGACGAAGATCCGCATCCTGCCTACGGTATCCACTCAAGTGCCCCTACAATGACTCAAACGGCAACTGGGTATACTGACAGTCATATTTACAGTGAACTGGATTCATTCGTCCACCCGTCTAACGAGTCACATTTAACAGGGGACACCACCGAAAAGACTTCTACCCACATGGGTGATACTTCGGTGACTATGACAAAGACTGGCAGAGGTGACCAGACTTCTACACAGTATGATACTGATACTAACACTCAGACGGGAACAACAACGAACCGCACTACTACTGCCTTAACAAACCAGAGTGTCACTGGGACGGACACCATGACAAGGGACTACAGTGTAACTGGCACCAACATGTCTGTTGGAGACTCAACAAAAGATCTCGATGCTCATTCACTAACGAACGCCTCTGCCACGACACCCATGGCTGATTATAGCACACATGGATATAACACAGACAACGCAGATACACAATCAGAAGGGACCCATATATTTAGGAAAAAGGACCAAGGCGACCAACAGTACAGTAGAATGCACCCTGCTATGAAGGCAAGGCAGAGGTATAGCTATGCTGGAGACTCAGATAGTAGAAGGTCATATGGATCTGGACGAGCAGCGTCTGATATCCAACCTTCTTCCGGAAGCAATACTGGGAAGTCATATGACCAACACAGCCTATCATCGCGAGCTTCGTCAGTCAGCGGTCACCGCTCACGAAGTGAATATTCAGGTCCAGGTCATAAGCTTGCGTATGGGGGGACTCTGCAAAAAGCCTTCAGGCAGAGATATGAACTGCTGAAACGACTCAGTGAACCAAACATACCACAGGCAGTCGATAGTACTGTTGTTGATGTTGAGGGAACTGAGAAGAAGAAGATGGACATTGACCCCAAAACGAGTCAAAAACAAAAACAAGTTTACAAGAACATAAAAGATAAATACGATGAACACGTGAAAAGTCGAAAAGCAAAGCAAGGAAAATTATCAGCGAGGGAGTTTTTCGGCCTCAAACCATCAACTAAAAAGTAATTAGTTGTTCGAAAATGTATATAGTTTTGCCTGTGTTTGAGTCGTGGTGTGCGGATAGTCTTATTTTAATTTTGTGTATGGAATTGGTTATTTTAAAATTTGAATAATGACGTACAATTGGTACAATTGGTGGATGACAGAAGTGCATATATCGATCTCAATTATATCACTTAAGGCATTAACCTGATGATGACATGCGCTTAGTCGGATAAGTTTTGCAAAGAAAAACAAACATTTAGCAGATAAAATATTACATGATTGTATTTTCGATTGTATAATGTTTATATTGATTCTCTTTCGTAATTTAAAAACATACCAACGGGTCTCTAAGATGTTTTAGTCTTGTAAATATTATGATTGTATCGATGTGTTTTGAATCTCTTGCTAATGTTGTCTTGTGAGAAAATATCTTGCAGGGTTAATACGGATGTATTGTCAAAATTAAAGCAATTAAAGTATTCAGGAACAAAAAAAGAAAAACATATTTGTAGTATGGGATAAAGGTTATATTGGATGTTTGGGAATATATAAATTCATATCATCATCTTGCAAACGGTTACAATACATGTAATTCTCCAAAACGATAGAATAGTGCATACATACTATTGTTTACTTCTGTTCGGAATTTATTTAAAGAATTGAAGCATCTTAAATAGATATGGTTTTATTAAACTTAAACAATTTATCACTACACATTTATAGTACTATGTAAATATATTATAACATTACATTCAGTTGCACACTATCATATGATGTTAAGTGTATCGGGATTCAATAATAAAAATATATAGGAAATGTCAAAGTTTTGTTATCGTTGTGTAATTTAATTGTTTCATCTAAATATGATAGAACATTGACCTTCAATTAGATATTCCACACCAAGCAAAACATAAAAACTCACACATCGAAATTATCTTCAGCAATAAATGGCAGGTTTCTTTTTGAGTTTCGATGAAAAACAAGATGTCTTCCTCAAGCCAAATATGTGTAGTACAATGGGGCAGACAAGGTGGTTAATAAACGATTGGTCGGGAGTTAAGATAATTCCATACTGTATATATTTGGACAGGCAAAATTTGATAATACTATTTGCGATGTGTTTGATTGATTTTATGTCCTGTGGTCGGATTTTGTTTCCATGTTACAACATTCAGTGAAATGAACGATGGCTTCCTCAATGGTTAAAAATAGCTTTTGATATCCTAGGCATGATGTTATATATTTACATTACTTTATTAAATAGTCCTGATGTTATGAGATGCTGTCCTGGCCTTTGTTTGAGAGAACCGTCTAATAAGCCTTTTGTGTTTGGTACTTCAATGTTTTCAGCCATTTTGCTTTAGCGTGCCTAGAGTTAAACTTAACACTGTAACAATACACCTCATATACAATTTATTATTGCTCGCTCATTATAAATCCATTCAGAACTAAAAATTCAAATACGAGAAGGAAACGAGATGACATTTAACCCATATTTTCACTTAAGCAAGAATAATCAAACTTTGATCACGCTAGCGACTGATCAGTTTCACAGCATTTTAATAGCTCTAAAAGAACGAACGTTGATTCTTATGGAACATCATGAAGTCTTGTTTATATAAGTATGATTTTAATACCATGTAAATGGTACTACAAGATTTTACCCAATTCGATGATTACTTTGCAAATGGACTCTTTCAGGTGCTTTTAGGTTTCGTATAATGTGAAGATAAGTTATTTTTATTTGTTCAATTGCATCTTCCATGCAGATTATCATTTCAATGCCTATGTCTGTATTTATTATTATTATATTTATTTTCCCTCCATTATTGGAGATAATTAATAATATTGTCTGACAAAAATATAATGAATATAAAATCTAATATAAGATACAGGGTGAGCAAGAAAACGGCCATATTGTTTTTTGCGATGACTTTTGTCACGGTCAATCATAAAATTGTTCCTGAAATGGCATTATTACTACTAGTTCATCTACGGCGACATATGAATTAGTAAGGTTAACCAAATTTATTTTGCAAAATCATGTTTTTTACGGGATACTCTTTGTCTCAAAACAGACTAAATAATGTGTCAACCAGGCCCTAACATCAGTTATGCATGACTTCCACAAGACGAACAATAACTAATATTATTACCACCTTGCCGGGCCAGTTCTAGGGGTTTTAGTGCTAGTTTAGAAGGCGTTCATTTTACTATATCGACCTGAGAAATGTGTGACGTCATAGTGGTGGTCCATATGGACCGGTCTAGAATATATTCTGGACCGGCAATTTTTCCCCGGGAAATTAGATATCGTTCAGTGCGTAAGATTTTCTTGTTATTTCAGCCCTGGTCGTAACGGTGGTAATAATACTAATAACGTCATTTCTGCGAGCAATATAGTGAAATATTGGACCTTGGGCCTTCGGCCCTTGGTCCAATATTTCACTATATTGCCCTTAGAAATGACGTTATTGTACTATTCTGATTAAGACAATTCTTATTAAAAAACCTTGGGACTTCTTTATCTTTGCAATAATGATTGCTGTATCTTCTTTCAACACACACAATAGCCTTATCAAAAACATTGCCAATTATATATCAACATTTTTGCCCACTCCATATGTATTGCTTCCTCAAATGGAATTATTCATACCTTGAAACCAAGTTTTAATATATATTTCTTGACAATTCACTTGGTGCTGAGTGTTTCACTTCAGTTATTAAATTAATATTATAGTGAGTAGAATAGAGCCTCCAAAAATATAAAATGCGATCTATCTCAATTTCCAAGCACATGAACTTGATTATATTGAAACTTTGTCCCATTGTAGACCAAACCAAATAAGTTTATTGTTCATCATGCCAACCAAATTCTAACTGCATGCTGTGAAAACTACCAAAAATGATATGAACATCACTTTGACACACATGTAATTACAAAGCCCGCTCATTATATCTCCTCTTAAAAAGAAAATTAAAAGTTCCCCAAATCAATATTCGCATTACGAGATAATTGAACCCAAAGCAAGGGTTAGCAAAAGGGAGGACATAGAGTCCGTATGTGAATTTCTCTCAAAGCATTTTACTAACCAGATTTTTGAAGAAGCGGGTAGCCGGCTATTCAACAAGTTCTTTCATATGAACATCCGGGAATTGTGCAACTAACACTTCACATGGCAGATGGCAATAAGTCAGGTCACATGGCTGCAGAGGAGTCGCTAAAGGAGTCAGTTATTGATCGATTCTACATATATATACCTCTTGTCACAGTCAATCACTATAATAACTGATGTTCTACGTAGACAATTAATGTAGGGGATAAACCAATCCATGAGGTAGTCGTAACCACTGATGCGCGGGAGAGAGAGAGACTAATAAAGCCTGAAGTGGAACCAAAAAAGGATTAACAGCATTTTATCAAAAAAAGTTGATAATTGTAAACAGATATATAAAGCCACATGCCATAATAAAGCCAAATTAGACTTTCAGAGGATTAATAATGAGACACAGCATTTCTGAATGATTGATCACAACATATGACATATTATACAAACACGAGTTATGGAGAATACAACAGAGTTGCCGATGTACGGATACCCCGGGCCTGTGTTCAGCGGAATACACGTATCTGCGGTTATATCTTTATTAGTTAGTCTGTCCTGCAGTTTGTTCGTTATTCTCGATTCCACATGTTTCGCAAGACCAAAAACAAAATTTTGGAAAATGAAACCAGCGCAGAGATTGGCAGTTTATGTATCACTTAGTGATGTTGTATATACAATTGTGCATACCACGGATCATATTATGATGCTTGTTACAGTTGATCACGTACATCCAGAGGCCCTATGTGCGGTAATGGCGGCGCTTATTCATTCCGCAAGAATGACTAAATCCATCATCGCCTGTTATATGGCTTTGAATGCATTCTTTCTTGTTGTTAGGGGGAAAAGAATAGAGCTGGGTGAATATGACTGGATCCTGCACGTATTGTCAGTTGGAACCCCATCAGCTCTCGCAATTGTGTTCTTGGCTTTGTCATTTTATGGCCCGAGCGGAGCCTGGTAAGCCATTCAGTTAGTTATGCAGAATATCAAAATTGTTCAAATACTTTCATAAATACGATTTTTAACCATTCACGACCGATCGGTAGGGACCTCTTGAAAGTAAAATGCAAATGCCCCACTTTTGAAAAACTGTTTTCATGACATCCTAAACTTTTAGTAATACTTCAATCTTGATGGTCTGACTGTCAGAGTCTATATAACAAGTACCCTCTTTTAGCAAACGTCTATAGCTATCGCCCTAAATACTAAAATAACTTCTTTCCATTTTCAAAAAATTGAAAGTCAGTATCAATCTTATTACAACTGATAACGTTTCATTTCTCAAAGAAAGCGCAAAATATGGCAGTGTCAAAACCAAACATACATTTTTTTCTCAATACTGGTTAAGTTGTGGGTAGGTGTTCATTAGATTCCCAATGTATACATGTAATATAAAATTAAATTAATTGCTTCCCCATTTTAAGTTCAAATGTAGTTATGCAGGATTAAAGTCAATTGCAATGACACCCTTACTGATTTTCTCAGAAGAACTCAACTTTCGATTTTCAATAGTTAACGTGTAGGGGTGCTTTAACAGAGTATCAAAGCTTAAATAAGGCATTTTTGTGAATTTACTTATCAAAAAGCGGCTCACTTTTTCGGACACACGATAGACTATTAAATTCAAGAATTGAGTATATCTACTATTGCCTGTCACATACATCATCAAATGAAAAATAAATTGAAATCGTTGCCTGTATGTATAAATTGTAATATCCATTAAATAATCATCTTTTAACATGACAAAGTGTTGTTTTTAGTAAAATCGGGTTAATTTAGAATAATATTAACGAATGGGCGGGCAAACAAGTAGTTAATTCTCTGAACTACCTGCCGTGCCTTTCAAGTTTATTGGGAATACAATAGACAAAAGAAGTGTGATTAATGAATAATATTTGTAGATATTGACTTTGATGGATGTTGCTATGGATGCCATGTCCTTCATCAAGTTCATGTCAAATGTTGAAATCGAGTTGTATCAGAAAAGGGATTCACTCGAGGCTGAATTGGCAAATAAACAATTTGAGAAGCAAATGTTTACAATGTCTGTTTGTCGACATTGAGCAAAAGTTTGTTCACCTTTAACCATTAAATTGACAATGTCGTTAAATGGATTATTTCCATAAAAGTATGATCGTCATCATTTCCTGTGTATCATATATTGCTTAGCAAGTAAACCCTATAGCCCGTATAGCCTTTTTATTTTTTCGGAAGCCACTCAGTAAAATTACGATTTCTCGTTTATTACGTCAATTTCTCGTGCACGTTTTGGGTAGACGTTGTTATTCCGGGACGCCCAAACGTATCAGAAACACATAGATACTCGAATGATGTTGATTGGACATCAGGGTGCAGAGAAATCGTAATTTCACGAAAAAATAAGCAGCATTATAAGCCACCTTACGTTCCAGATACAGTAGCTTATTTGTTTAAATAATGCCCAGACCATTTATAAGTTTTATTGTTTTATTTGAAACGCCATCATGGCCATACTATCAACATGTTCAATGATTATTTTATAGCAAATAGCAGAGTCCATAAAAGAGATATACAAGAAACAGATTTGATCTCAGGTCTAATAATTTTAAATCAGTATTTGGTCAAAAAGCCATCAAACATAGAGGCCAAATTATATGGAATGAACTCCCAAACTCCATAAGAGAAATCAATAGCAGAAATAAATTCAAATCGGATTATAAAACATTACTCATAAGAAAATCAAAGAAGTTAACAATTCTAATCTAGTTGGTGTAGACTAAAAATTATTAATGCAAGTGAAAGAGCCCAATAAACCTAATTCAACTTCGGATTGTTATGTAAATACCATATGCTTTCAAACCCTGCAACCTTCTCTTCTTCTCTTTCCCTTTCTCTCTTATTTCTTCTTCTTGTTTATTAAATGTTTAATGTTCAAGCATCAGCTATCTATTTGAATATTTATATAAAAAAGGCTATATGCATCCAAGATCATGTCAAGCCGAGAAGTGTAAACTATATAAGTGTAAAGTATAGATGAATAAAATATATATATCTAAATGAGATTACAGCATTTACGTATGGAGTGTATTTAGTTGACGTGCCTTTTAAGATGACGATTGATGATGTTGATAAAGAGGGGGGGGGGGATGGGGGTCAACAAGACAGTATACACTAGGAAAGTTCTATTCATGTTCGTTACGACATTTTAGTAATATTGCAATTTGTTCCCACGTGCATGTCAGTGAAATATACATCGTTGTATTCACATCAATAAGGCGTTGTGGAGATATTTATAAAAATGAAAAGTCATCGAAATGCTAGCATGCTAACATGTCGAAATAAAGACATGTCCAATTGCTAACAAACTCAATTATTTTTACTTGGATGCAATGCTTGATAGGAATATAATATAGCTTCTTTGTATACCGTGATTGAGATTTTCTCTTCATATTTGCCTAGTTTCATCTTTCGGATTATCGAGCTGTCTCACCTACCAATGTACTTGAGGGTTCTTAACTCATTTATACCTTCTTGAAAATCCCTTTAGCGTCCGACATCAGTTTACACAACGGTTTCCGAAGTATCATTTTTCCCAAGTGCTTGTTGCGTTGAATTGATAGACTGTTTGTACAATGTCCATCCAATATTTCTTTTGAAAACAGGAATCCGTTTAGCTTGCACTTTGTCAGCTTTATGAACCAAGCCAAGGGGTGTTTATAATGAAGATAGCATATAATTGGTTAAAAAGCTATTCGATACGAATCAATTGCTCCAACGATAGATTTTAAGGATGATTGCATAAGAAAGAGAAGAAATTATTTTTAATGAATATATGGATCATCTAATTCCTTTGAAGTCTTTCTAAGAGTTAGCAAGAACTCAAGAAGCCACTTAGTATTGCACCTTGAACGTAGCCTGAATTATGGTAGTTGATTGAGGAATGTAATGCAACCAATAAAAATCAATCAATCAATCAATACCAATAATTGTGGAGGTGTAGTAGTTTTCACAGTTCATTTACAAGTTTGCTTATTTGATCCATCATTCATATTGGAAATTTTAAAGTTCATGATTTTTCGATTTTATGTTCGCAGATTAACATATTAAACGACCATTTTAAGTAAAATGTCAATTTAGCAATTCGTAAATGACCGTGTGTTTCCTGTTTTTGTCGTTGAACATTACGTAAAACGGCTTTTCCGTAATTGCAGGTGCTTTGTAGATGCTAGGGACCAGGCTAGGGCTGATGCAGTAAACTACGCCCTCTATGCCGTCGTCATCGTCTGTTTCATCGTCATTTGCCTCAGCTATGTCGCTGTCTGGATACGGATATCCCGATCGGCGAAGGCGTTGAAATCTTCAACAGCGCGGAACAGCCGAACAAATCGATCGGCAAAGACAATGATGCTGTTCACCCTTGCGTACTTTGGGGAATGGATCACATATTTGTTATACGCTATTTGGTCGATTTTTTCAACGCCCCATGTTGTATCAGTATTCCTCGTGGTGACTTTGTGTAATATGGGAGGGGTGTATTACTGTATGGCGTATCTTGTGTTTAAAAAGAGGGAATCAAAGACAGACGCACAGACGATAGAAAACGCATCTGCAAATATTGTTCACAAGTCTCCATCTACACAAGAATCATAGAACATGTAGTGATTATGTAGTTTCCATACATAACCATTTGAGAAGACAAAGACCTAAAAGCTACACTGTATATAGTTATGATCTACTTATCTTAAAGCAGATGGGTATAATGTCTAGTCCCGCACGTGTACCATTCAAACGTCATGTCCGTCCCATAAGTCCATATCCTCTCTTTAATTGTATTTGCCCGATTTTTTAAAATATATTATGTTGAAGATCCAATTATTTTGTAAACAATTATTTGTCACTTTTGCACATTTTGAAATAAAAAATGCCGTTTAGGTTTACTGGCCTTGAATTGAAAAATATTTGCTATTTTTTACAAAAAGGATTATTGCTAATTACTTTAAAAGTTAGATTTTCTACCGCAGAAATGATGTTTTGAGCTATGAGCCTAGACATTCTTTTTCATTACTAGGCGTAACTCAAAATAGCCCAAAGCTTGTGTATTGTTGCTAAGTGCTCATCGATCAAAATATAGTGCGAGGGAAGTTTGAATCTAGGTTTACTGTCATTGTATATGTATGTCAGAAAAAACAAACACAAAACGTCGAATGAATTAAAATAATTTACCCTAGGCCTGACATTCTGTACTTTGTTGCCATTGAATTAATTGAAAATTGATTTAACACAATTCGAAGATAGCTGTAGATAGCTTCTAATTCCTCTAGCTTTGTTTACATGTTCATAATGTTGAATTAATTTGAGAAAAGTTTCACCCAAAACTACCATTTTGAAATTGGCGAGAAAAAATTTGATGTTTCATTTCTAACGAAAGCAACACGTATAGCTGTTTTAGATGAAGTATATTTCACATATGTTTCCACCCGTACCTTGTAAACATATTTTAGATTCGTCGTTACTTGTTTTCGTTTGGATAACTTCTTCATTGATTGGTCATTTCTACTTTTACAATATGAAACATGAATATGCTACGGTAAATCTGAACGTTAACGTTTTGATAAAAAAATCTCTATCATCCTTTTCGATCAATTCTATTCATTGGATTAGAGATAAGCGAGACCTAATCACCATGTACTCGAAACCTCGTTAATGGATGTAAAAGGGGCTATGCCTCGTAGCTCAAATAAAAATATAAATGACAATGCAATTTGTTTTTATTTCTCACACTATCTCTTGTTCGAGATATAGATGGTTGCCGGCGAAAACGTATATAAATCAATATTATTTTTCCCAATTATAACTATTATTGTATTACCATATCACAATATGTATATCTGTCTTGGACAAATAAGAAAATAGTTCAGAATATATGTGGTTTACTTACAATATAAATAACAAATGCAAACGCATCTAAAAATAGTTTTGATATTTGTTTGCTTTGGCACACTTTTTACATTTTTCTCATAAAAACAATTAAATGAATTAACTGATATAAGTTGATAAAAATGTTATTTAAGAAGTTTGATTTCTGTACATTAAATGTTTACAGGTAAAGAGCTTTTTTTGGTTTGTATCTCACCACATTTTTTTAACGGGCGTTCTGCAACCGGCGGTTGCCACTTGTTACAAGTAGTAGGCGTCTGGAACAATTGGTACACTTTTGTCTTCATTCTTTCAAATTGTCATTCACTAAGAATGCACAACTGGAATGTGTTGATGACTCTGTAAAGATTAGCTTAAACGATTTTATGCACAGCTTACAGTTGTATACGCAGTACACATTTGTTGCATACATGTAGCAATTGAATTTCAATAAATTAAATATTTATTATAATAATATAGTCAATAATTTAATATCAAACATCTATTAATGTTGTCTCTCATTAAGAGTACAGTTGTTTGGGAAATAAGATGAGATAGATTGATCAACTTATGTCGTCGAACTTATGTACGAGTATTGACGTCCTGTGTTACGCGGTAAACACGATACAAATTCCGCAACGAATATGGCATATTCACTTGCGTTGTATGACAGATTCACCTGCGGTATATGGCACACACATTAACCAATGAGAACGTGATACGGAAGTACGAAATTGTCAATTACATCGATTCGACGAACGGGTTAAAGTCTATAAATTATTATGATGATGACTGAATCAACACGGGTCAGTGCATTGAATATATGAACTAATACAATTGAATAACATACACCGGTGGTACCTATATGTGTTACACGAAAAAACACACTTCAAGGGAAACATTATTACGCTTAAATAAACGAACCTACGTTCGTGAAGCTTGTGAGTGACTTCTGCAACCAAATCAACAGTTTACCAAGACCAGATAAAAACCTGAAAAACACGAGTATATGATGGCGATTAATACGTTACTGATACTTTCAGAAGTATCATTTACCGATCACACGTAATAAACTTACCCAATCACTCCAGAATATGAGGTATTCACTATATCATATTTCAATGCGGAATATGCCAGATACCGCGGGTGAGTATGCCATATTCACTTGTATCACAAGTACCTCGCAACCATAAATGTATGCCATATACCGCGTAACGTCCTGTGCTAATAAGCAATATTTTGACAAAGAAAAAGAGTTAAGAATCGAAAATGTTAATCCAGATAATTAATTTGGCCTAAATTTTATGAAAAAATCAAAAATCGTCTTGTTGCGAAGAACAGTAACAAAAACAAACAAAGTGATTATTGAAGTATCAAATGAATAAAGAAACTCATGTCTCAGGTTTCTTGTTTTGAAGAACATTTACGATTCAAGTAAAGATGGCGTAAATGATGTGTGAACGTTGCAGCAAAGACCATGATGTTTTAAAGTTCCGTTAATGTTATGGTATTCCGTTCAGACTTCGGAATCTTAATTTTATCGTTTAAAAGGAATGATCTGAAATATCTGTTTAGAAGTAATTGAGAATACAATGATACAGTATTGTCCAAATTTACTATAATCGAAGAAGGGGACTTCCACCTTTTCATATAGCATTTTGCAAATAACCTAATAGTCTATTAATAAAACAAGGATGGCAAGAGATGAACTGTTGTCCAGCAAAAAACGTAACAATCTGACATGTTGTATTGGTTCTTCTTATCGACATGTCAAATACGATTGTAAGTAAGAAAACTGTAGTATTTTTGGACGTTTAGTAAGTCTGGCGCTCCATGCCTTCACCTTTTTGTTTTGACTGGTACTTGTCTTTGGTTTCACTAGGAATATCAAGAATTCATATCAAAAGTATGAAATCGAGACAAGTCAGTGGATGAAAAAAGACTGATAGTTTTAAACATTTATAAAGTACACGTTACATGTTTCATTTATACTCAAACAAAAACTGATCTATGTTTGCGGAAATACTTACAAAATAAGGATCGTGACACAATGCATATATCAAAGCGACACTACTTAAGAAAGCACAAATGCTAAAGTAATGTATCAAACACTACTTGACACTTTAATGGTATAAAGGTGAGTGTGAACCGGAACTTTTAAGGCATTCGACTACCTACCAGTTAAAACATAGTCTTGAACCTTAATTATATTATTCAATAAAACAGCTTTTACTGAAAGTGTATCATAGACTCGTTGGAATCACTTGAGCTCTGTACAAAGTTTTATCAACTAAACATAAACAGTATCTGCAAAAAAACATGACAAATAAGTTTGACAAGTAATTGCGTGTCTTTCAGACGATGCCTAAAAGGGAAAAGATTATAACAAAAAGATACATAATTTAGACTAAGGAGATCAGAAAGATGCTCGTAAAGTTGAAAAGAGGCCGTCTCACATGTGGACATCTCCCTTGAAAAATGAAGCTACGATGTCATGAGCTCTATCAGACGATTAATTTAAAACGATAAAGATAGAGAAATACCTTTGACTGTAAGATGTATTGCCGATTACGCATGGAAAATACTTCAATTTTAAAAAGGAATAATTTCAAAATATACCTAGGGCCGATGTAAACAAATCAGAGCTCGAAGGATTATATCCAAAATAAGCCGAAAAGGTTGTTCTTACAGTTGTAGGAATTTAGTGGAGCTAATGTTACATCCCGATACGACCACAAAGACTTGAGATGGCAACTAGGATAGCTGTCCTATTGATGGTAAGTATGGCAATTTGGATAGCTGTTTTACTGTTTATAGTAAGTATGGTAACTAGGATAGCTGTTTTACTGGTGGTAAGTATGGTAAGTTGGATAGCTGTTTTACTGGTGGTAAGTATGGTAAGTTGGATAGCTGTTTTACTGGTGGTAAGTATGGTAAGTTGAATAGCTGTTTTACTGGTGGTAAGTATGGTAAGTTAGATAGCTGCTTTACTGGTGGTAAGTATGGTAAGTTGGATAGCTGCTTTACTGGTGGTAAGTATGGTAAGTTGGATAGCTGCTTTACTGGTGGTAAGTATGGTAAGTTGGATAGCTGTTTTACTGGTGGTAAGTATGGTAAGTTAGATAGTTGTTTTACTGGTGGTAAGTATGGTAAGTTGGATAGCTGCTTTACTGTTGGTAAGTATGGTCAGTTGGATAGCTGCTTTACTGGTGGTAAGTATGGTAAGTTGGATAGCTGTTTTACTGGTGGTAAGTATGGTAAGTTGGATAGCTGCTTTACTGGTGGTAAGTATGGTAAGTTGGATAGCTGCTTTACTGGTGGTAAGTATGGTAAGTTGGTTAGCTGCTTTACTGGTGGTAAGTATGGTAAGTTGGATAGCTGCTTTACTGGTGGTAAGTATGGTCAGTTGGATAGCTGCTTTACTGGTGGTAAGTATGGTAAGTTGGATAGCTGCTTTACCGGTGGTAAGTATGGTCAGTTGGATAGCTGTTTTACTGGTGGTAAGTATGGTAAGTTGGATAGCTGCTTTACTGCTGGTAAATGGTAAATAGGATAGCTGTTTCAGGCCTCCTAGACTTCCACCAACGCGAACATCAGTTCTGACTTCGCGAACTACGTTCCTTGCACTCGAACCACGATTCTCACATCGCGAACGTGAAATCTTTAGTCGCGTACCACCATTTCCTTGCTCCCGAACATATTTCTCTACTCGTGCACATAGATCCGTGCTTGCGAACAATTTGTTCACAGTGCATCTGGGTATTTGGGATTTTTTAGTTATGCGTAATATTGCGAATAACATTACGGACTTTTTCGATCATGTGTGTGGTTCGCGAGCAGTGTATGCTGGTCATATGGCTTATGAAAGTGCAGTGCTAAGTCGATCTTATTATAGCGCAGTGTACACTTATTATGATGCTTATTATTAGAATGCTTATTAAAGTGCAGTGCTAAGGCGAACTTATTATAGCGCAGTGTTCACTTATTATGATGCTTATTATAAGAATGCTTATTAAAGTGCAGTGCTAACTCGAGCTTATTATAGCGCAGTGTACACTTATTATGATGCTTATTATTAGAATGCTTATTAAAGTGCAGTGCTAAGTCGAGCTTATTATAGCGCAGTGTACACTTATTATGATGCTTATTATTAGAATGCTTATTAAAGTGCAGTGCTAGGCTGTTCTCATTTAGGTGCAGTGTTATGCTATGATTTCATGCTGCGTTTATTAAAGTGCATGGTCATGATGTACTTATTATTATGCAACTTGTATTACGCTGTGTTTATTAAAGTGCATGGTCATGATGTGCTTATTATTATGCAACTTGTATTACGCTGTGTTTATTATTATGCAGTGATATGTTGTGTTTATTAAAGTTCATTTATTACTCGTTGGTTTTAATAATGCAGTGCTACGCTGAGCTTTCTTCTACGCGGTGCTTATTATAGTGCCACATGTCTTCTATATCTATTTTATGACCCTTTTCGTGTTCGGAGTCACCATGCCCAACCCCTTTGTATAATAAATCATCGAATTCCCATATCAGAATTAAAAATCAATTCGAACGAATCGAATGGGTATAATCATATTTTATAAATGGCCGTTTGTGGAATTATTTTTTGATTCGAAGTCGGGATAAGAGTAATAATAGAAACTAAGTGTCTATCAGTCATTAATCAATGTCGCGTTCATTGATAACTCTGAACTTGCCGTTTCTCTTGGTCTCGGTGACCGTCTGCGTATGGATAGCCTAGCAACTCAAAATCGCAATGGTTCGCAAACATAAAGTATATGTAACCCATTAGGCAGCCGTTAACCAATTACCAATTAGTCAAAGTGAACTAAATAGGCAAACGCCTGACCTCCAAATTGTATAAAGAGAAAATGAAATTAGATACAAACAATCATATGATACCAGAGAAATTGCAAGAGTAAATATTGATGAATAGCAGTGTGATACTTTAAACATGGACCAGCATTGAGATCCAGGGTAACATAAGGGTCACTGCGAGTATTTTGATATGTGTTTTCGACAAATGAAAAAAAAGAAATAAAAACTCCGAGGGATTAACATTTGACTCGGGAAATAGCACCAGTGTTTACAATCAATAGATTATTCAAACAACAGTATTCTTTAAATACACAGTGACAAAACGTCTACAACAACCTTTGACACCACCAGGTGAAAATAACACGCTGGGGTAAGGTGTTAGGCACGTAAAATTCGAAAGGTATACATTCTTACCAATGAATTATAGCTCATGCCATCAATCTTTTCAGAGAAATTGTAGGAAAACGTAAACTCTCCCAGTCTAAACAAATCTACATATTTTACTAGAGGCATGTTAAACGATTTGATCCCAATTTCTGTTAATTTATTAAAAACATGACTTCACTTTTAGTTTCATGATAGGCATAAGGCACTAACAAATTCTGCCACATACCAGTTGAGGGAAGTGTAACAAATAAATACTAGCGGTGGATTGTTTCTGGTGTAGGATGAAGAATTACGGTGCCTATTAGTCACTTCAGAGTACTGAAGGTCACTGAGAATTGTTCACTTTTCACAATTTTAGCTAATCAGCTGTAACGCATGCCAAAAAACATCACGATTAGCATTCTTCAACCACAGAACAGGAAATACTCTGTGGCAATACGCATTTCGCAAGTGTTCTACCTTCGTGATGTACCTATAGACTTTTAACCGAGCGGAGACAATTTAAAGTCGATGATTTCTGTTTTGAATAGAGCAATGCCATATCTGTCCATTAGATGCAACCACAAATTCCTAATAAGGTTAACATTCCAAAGTAGTGTGGGAGTTTTGAAGATTTTAAAGACTTAAAATGATAAAATTACCTCGACAGAGAGAACAGAGCACCTTGGCGGGAAGTTTGTGATGAAAGCTCTTCAACAAGTAAAACGACAATGTTGGATTCAACTTGAAAATAACACTTGGTAAACACATGACTCAGACACATAACAAAACAATTTGGTCACATCTGGAATGCCTAAGTCTTAACCTGAAGTCTGGTGAAGTCTGCCCGACACGATTACCAGTAACAGAAATAGGATCTCCATCGTATAATAAAGCCCTTGTTGGGTACGACTCCAATTAGAATCGACATATGGCAAGTCGTTTAAGCGAACAGAGTTATGTTTTATAATTGAAAAAAGCAGGGATATAAAAACAGTAATCATTACGCCTAAAAACTTGTAATATCTAAATGAATAGGCACCCTTAAAACACAAGCAGATATTTAAGTTAACCACTAACAAGTGAATTATAAAGTGATAACATCAAGTTAGAGTGACACAAATGCCGGGCTGGGAGACATATAAATAGCTTACCAAAACAACTAGTTGCATGATAAGGAACAAGGCAGATTTGTTAAAGCTGGATATCTTATCGTCCACTATCACGAAGTTCATCAGGAAAAAACATAGATTAACTGAGTCCACTTTGAAGAAGTCTTGGCGTAACAGATTTTTGTATATTGATAGTGTAGATTGATACGATGTTTGATGAGAATCTAGCCACGAGCGGAACATATCTTTAACTCTAAATGATAAGGAAAGCTTTAACTAAATTGAATCAAGCTGCCAATTTAGGGATAATTTTGCACCTGAGTACTGAGAGCTCTAATCAAGTTTCCAGTGCCTGGAGGACCGACCTGTGTGACAGGAGATATTGGATACGCTTGTCATTTAAAACAGGATCTCGTAAGGGTTCTCTTGGAATATATACCGCAAAGTAATTGGCAGAGACCCGTTTGACTTGGATATATCAGAGACATCAAAAATGGAAAATATTGCTGAATATTCTGGGCTTGTGATATGTCTTCTACAAATGGTAAGTGGAAATGCTAAGAAATAACTCGTCGAATAGATAATTTCAATTAAAGAATACATCGACGTCTTTTTTCTCCTTAATTGGTGACATAGCGTTTCTTTGATAATTGGCTATAAAGATGGTATTTTGGCCAATAGACTATGATGAGCTCTCTACTTTGTATTTTAACATCATTACCACTAATATCCTATTACCCTTATGGTGTGTAATGAGTATGGGGTATACTTCAAGGGATATGGGTATGGAATATACGCCATGGGATATGGGATATACATGTACGCCATGACATGTATGATTTAATTATAACATTTTATTGGAATTTGATCTTTGGCCATACTTTAAATGCTTTTCAGCATGTCGCAGTGCCCCAAAATGTCTCAATCTGAGATGGTTTTCCTTTATTCCATCGCCAAATTATGATATCTCGGGAATAATTGTGTCTCTTTGGGCTAATGCGCCCTGATAGTCTTGCTTCAATTAGTTACCGGAGTAAGAAAGATAAATTGTATTAATAAATACCAGAGGGATTGAGGGGATTGAGGTTAGACATAATTTATCTCGCAAAAATTCTTCTTACATGCCTTCGTTTAAAAAGACATTTTACCAGCAAGGTTCTTATATCCAGGGGGTGATAGGATATATGATCCATGTTTTCGTGTTCAAGAATGATGCTCTCAGGGGAAAGAGGTACCTCTCAGAATAGACACGCAATTCTTTATTGATTCAGAATTATTTAAATATTCATTATAAGTAGAAATCCATAGCAGTATACTGAAGAATAAGGATAACATATTTGGATAAGGGAATGGCCTTATTTTCCGTGCATTGTCGATTAATAAAGTACGAACGGCCGGCGAGTCTCGATAAACTCTTATTCTTATTTTAAAAACTTATCCATGACCAAAATTGATGAATTTTTATGTTGAATTTAAAACGTTGTAGTTAGCATGTGCTGTAAATTAATTAGTGTTTAACTATCATTCATTGAGGGTAGTGTTTATACTTAACTCAATTCCCTGAATGTTTGAGAAAATGTGGTCATTGTTTAGTTTCTAGGATACTGAGCAAGGTCAGAATCTCACACAGAAAGGAATGGGACTGGAAATAAACTGGAAACTATCTGTAGAGTTATTATTAGAAAGTTAAACTAATTCAGTTGAATGTCCTAATTTAGACTTTTCATTTGTGTTTTATTTGTATTCGTGGCATGAATCCTAATGACTTTTATGTGTTAATCAGTCATCTCTATCCGACCCTTTAGCATTTTGATCATCTTTCATGGGAACCAAAACATGCTGCAAATTAATCGTTTTATACACTCTCATTTATTACCGATATAGGCATCTATAATTTGAGAGTCGTGTAGCTGGGAATTGTCGGATACACAAGCATCCTGTCTCCACGTTAACGTAGGATTTTGTTTCATTTTTTGTTTCGAAATACCTCACCTCCCCATTCGACGTGCTCAGATTCAATTAGGGTTACTGCGGTTCGCCATGGTAACCATACAGCACATGTCATGGTTAGTTGATCTCCTTTACTTGTTTTTACTGGACCACATGTCCATTGGAGACGTTTCCTTACAAGGTATTCTCGTTTCCTACATAGTTTATTGAAATACACATCATGAACTAACAGATGTCACCAGTTCATTTGTGTTTATGTTAATATTTTATCTAATATTCAAATTATCTAGTGCATTTAACGCAAAACGTTAGCATTAAATAAAGTAGAGACATTGCTAGGAGGACCATGGGGCAGACTCAACCCAGTAGACACAATAATGCACCTGATAACCCCATTTCTTCATCGACTTTAACCATAACGCTCATATTACCATTTATCTGTGTCGCACACATGAGAAAAGATCTAAAGGTAAAAGAAACATAAAACATATCCGTTAAAAGACGAATACAATGGATAGCCATGGGTGGTAGGTGTACATGCATCATTCGCTTGTGTTTATATTTCCTTCTGTTTTGTTATTTGTTATTAAACACTTGTTGACGGAGTCAGCTGCCGAATGTCGTTCATTCTTCTTAGATCGTTTGGTTAGTGTCAAATCTTATTTCAGTTACATTTACCGTGACTGTGGGTTCCTCTACACTTATTCTCAACATCAAAGTAAAGGTGTTCTATTTCGATAGAATATTTTTGAGCTATTTTGGACTTGAGTAGTGTAGAATTTTGATAGCAAAAACCACAAAGCGTTGTACCTTACCCGTTTGAATAACAAAGTATAAAACCGACAGCAATAATCTCTAAGTAAATATGCTGTACTTTTAATTATTAAAAAACTCTCTTAAAATTATCTTATGCACTCAAAAGTGGCTCGTTTGTGACTTATTAGCTGGAATGACACCAAACGCTAGCTAGTATATAAATATGCACATAACAAATATAGTAAGATAATTTCTCGATCGTGGTGAGAATTTAGCCATTTCATATTGATCAGATGTAAGCAATTGTATATTACTGAGGATATGGTAGTTCTGCCATCTCCCATTACAATAGAATAAAAGAAAAGCTAAATTCTGTTCTGATTTTTTAAATTATGAGAACATCTGTTAAAGTAATTCGTTTGATTTTTGCCATTTTATTCAAATCTTTTTATGGCTGTATATGAGGACTGTCGAAACTGCGAATTAAAAACGGTGGAAAAAGTTCCCAGCTGCTTTCAGCCCCCTCGCCAAGAAAACTAACAAGGCAGTATTGTCTGATACATGAACATCCGTTACGCCATATTCGATACGTGTGTGTTTGTTTATGTTACTTAGTTAAAACAAGGTGTTTAACAAAACATGAAACGAGTTAAGAGAACACATGGTTCTGATTTTGACTATTAAGGATAAGATCAAAGAATAGTTTGACAACTTGAACACGATCATTTAGATGTTCAACCAGCTCTGTTCGTGTACGGTGGCATAAAATCACACGTACCAACCACTTTACCTAATGTTTATTAGAATTTCATAGTGCAAATTATGACATTGTCTATATTGGTGCGCATTGGCATTTAGATAACTTGACCCTACTGAATCTGAGAATATCGATACACAGTTATACACAGTAACTGATTCCCCTTAGGATAGATCAGACATAAAGTAAACCCTCAAAATAAAACGCGCTCTCTTCGTGATGCACATATAAAGATGAAATATAAGGATACAATTCAATGCATTGATGTTCAGGCACACCCCTTTTAATTTAAAACACATTTGCAGTATATTGCATATTGTAAAATGTAAGTACACCCTTGAGACTAGGTTATGATTTTGAAACATAACTGAGGTATTTCGTAGGATGAAAGGAATATCGATAAAACAGGGCGCCACATTGGAGGGCGTCCATAATAAAAATGTATTTAGTAAACGGTACACATGCACTGGTGATCCACTCGATTACGCTGGTTACCGAAACGGTTCGTTTCGGTAACAAACTGTCGGAACATCGAAGCTACGGTTTTTCTTTTTTCCTTATTTCACACGTTGTAGGCAGAATTCTCACGACATTTTTAACACTTTTATGATTCAATACCATCAACCTCTAAACAAAACTGGGCCATCAACAGTATGCCTCTTGCATCTTACCTTCATGTTACAACATATGATACTGATACACGTTTGTGGGAAAAAAGTGGTGGGGATTCTGCCTTCACCGCGTGATATAAGGAAAAAGAAAAACCATACCTTCGACGTTCCAACATTTTGTTGCCGAAACGAACCGTTTCGGTAACCAGCGTAATCGAGCGGATCACCAGTGACATGTCTATCAGAACTGTACTGTATATTAAGTTAAAATACTAATATTATCGATGTAATTATTGAGAAATAGTTTTTATTTTGTATCGCCAGTGCTGTTTTAATATTATGTAACGTTCGGAGTATTTGATTTATGTCTGCATGTTTTGTGTTCTGATAAGAAATAATGAGCTGTCTTGACAGGATCTTTCAACGTGATATTGCTGTGAAATGTTCCATGGTTTGCAACCACTATTGACTTGACACACGATTGGGTAGTATTACGTATTTCTAACATTCCCAAACAACAAAGAAAAAATTGCCCCAAAATGTTAAAGGAATGCATTGACATCTGTAAAAGCATTGCTATCAGTTAGACATATTAGCAGTACTGACAAATATCTTGAATGTGTCTACCGAATTCTTAACCTTAGACTAGCTCAATTTTGATTCATGTATTCTTTGTTCATTTTATAGATAAGATAGAATAAACTAGTTCAGATGTTTTTAATATCACGTGATTAGTGGGATGTCACCCAATCGAAGCTTCTCATCAAATCACGCTTTTTGAAAACATGAGCTTTACACTTGACGTGATTTTGAATAGCACTTCCAGACATCACTATCCAAAAGTTAGTTAAAATAGAGAGACTGTACCATAGATCCACCACCCGCCTTGTTGCTCCGCTGAATGAGGGTTATCAATATACTCAAAGTATCAACATGAACTCAACTGAGAACATACCAAATCCCATTATTTAGTTGAATCAGCAGCATGTACATGGACAACATTTGACGAGGTCGTAACGCTCTAGTAATCAGAAACTTGCAGGATCAGTTTTTTGCAATTTCTTGATTTATTCAAGTCAATAATATAAATATACAGGCGATTGCCAACTTTTTAGGATAAACACCATTCAGCATGTGCGATAACTTTTTAACAACTCATAAATTAGCAACTATTTTCCAGGATGCATGATTTACATGGCTTCAGCTATGAAGGATTTTAGCATGGATTTAAAAGAACGGTTTGAAAACTTTCTGAATACTATTCATTCTACTCGCGTATCTCAAAAATAACAATACTCTTGGTATAATCTTGAGAAAAAATATTTAAGTAAATATCCAAAAAATCTCTATAAACTAAATAATCTATTAACCTCTACTAGTTTATTTGCAACTTTACGCAGGGGAATACGTAAGACAATGTCTCAATTTCATATGTTTTAATTTGATATTATTTCTGAAATCCGAAATCCGAATTGAGTCAAAATAAACAAGGCCCTGGATCCCAAACTAGCAGTGGTTGTACAGTATCATCTCAACCAGAAAAAGAACCAGCTATCAATGCCATAATTTGTTTTCTGTCAGCACTCTCCCCGCTAGAACAAATGGGAAATTTTAACTTGAAAAAGCGAAGTAACCCAGTAAATATTATGATGGATATCGATAGGTAGATATTTAGACATCAACGATAAACACCTTGTAACATCAAGGGATCGAAAGTAGTCCCAAGGACAAACACCGAGTAATATTTCTGTTTATATAGTAAGTCTGATGTAATAGTTTAGCCTAACGCTAAGTACGCATCGCGTAAATAGATTCATTTGAACGTCAAGCCTTGCTCTATTAGACATGACAGCTCCCTGTTAGGCGTTTGTGGCGCTCGTTTCAGTATTTAGAATAATAGTAGGCTACATGGGTCGGCTTGAACAATTTTTGTTTATGAGATAGAACAGTAGAATATTGTACTAATGTCAATGTTTAACACAATGCTTTGGTTTTATTGCGTTGGTGTTTTCTAAGTATAAGCAATTGCTTTATCTTACATTACAGTTTAACGTAGATGGTATAGAATATATCCTAATAGAAATAAACTAGTAATAACAGTTCGAATAACAACGAATCGACTCTTTGATAAATGATATTTCGCGTTAACCAAGTACTTTCTTGCATTCCCGTCACGTTTTATGGCCAACATTATCGATGTATAAATGGAAATCCTCATTCCTATATTCCGAAATTAATTGTATGTTATAACCCTGTATGGTCGTTCAAGGTTCAGGTGAGGTAACTCACTTCATCTCTCCGTATCTATGACATCCTAATATAACACACTATTATGACATCCTAATATAACACAGTATTGGAAGAATTCGAATAATTCAATCATGAACGTGATTGTTTGACAAAATCTTTTTAGTCAGCGATACTATTTTCCTAATTCATTCTTTAAGTACAAAGCAGTTGGGGCCCGGAAGTTGGGGTGTTGGGATTCTGTCAGTGCTGAGAAAAAGAGAAATCGAATGCCTTCAATAACTTAACAAAACACGCCTCTTCAAGTCTAAGACAATGGTTGTAGCGTCCAAATCTCCCCCCCAAAAAAATTTGATTTGTTCTTTTACGCCATTTCATTGTTGATATATCAATGTCAAAATCGAATGTGTACAACATCGATATCTTTAAAAAGTAGTACTCACGATTTTAAGTTGTATAACATATTTTGCCTTAATTTATTTTCTTTTAGTTTACATAGAATTGATTTTATTCCAGATATGCGGGCTGACTGCTGCAGAATGGTCCGATTGGTCGAAATGGAGTGATTGCAGTCGTACATGCGACGGTGGCGCCTCCTATCAATTGAGAAAGTGCACAATAGAAGGCATGTGTGAAGGGGATGATATCCGATACAGGACATGTAACATGAAGGTAAGTTGCAAGAGGCATACTGTTGATGGACCAGTTTTGTTAAGAGGTTGATGGTTTTTGAAGCATAAAAGTGTTAATATCTACCACAGTATCAGCGCCGAAAACTAGATAAATTAAATTATTACTAGGTTATTTAAGAACTTTTCTTCATGTCATCATTAGAAACTCGACAAAATTATAGGTTATTGATCATTCGATAACGTTTTTATCGTGTGATCCTCTGTATTGCTACTAAGAATGTCCCCTCTGTACCAATATTTTCTGTATTGCGACGGAGGTGTTCAATGGGGACAATCTCAGTAGCAATACAGATTGGTACAGCACAAGAACTGACCAATCAGAAGGCTTCATTTTACAGATCATGCGATAATAAAATGTATTTTTGTACATACATGTATTATCTAATGGTATCTCCTATATCCTCACCCGTCTATAAAATCTATTCAAATTAATATGTACAGCACTGAATTATTAGCGATCAATTGTGTTTGCATACGTCCGGTATTTCAAAAGGCATCATAGAGAATTATTCCACCCCTTCCCCACTGGTTTTCTTGTAAATGATTCCAGGACTGTCGAGGCTACTCCAGGGACTTCAGAACAAAGCAGTGTGAAGCTTATAACGATGTTCCACACAATGGTGGCATTTATAAATGGGAACCCATAGAGAGCCCAGAAGACCCATGTGCTTTGATATGCAAAGCGCGCCACTCCTCCGAACTAACTGTAAAGTTGGCTCCAAAAGTATTAGATGGAACGAGATGTGAACATTCCAAAAATATGTGTATCAATGGAAAATGCAGGGTAAGCGCTATTAACTATGTCTATGAAACGTACAATATGTCAACAAGACCTTTCCTCTTTTTTATAATTGGCCTTTGTATTCCTTTAGACAGCTATGATTTTATGAATATTATTAATAGCTTATTGAGACTTGTTGAAAAGCTGATCTAGGTAACATCTTGTGTTGCAAACATCAATTCTTAGGAAGTTTATTAAATCAGTTAACGTATTCAGTGGTGTAAAAAATATACGAAAGCAATATTGTGTCTGTGGTTATTCATTTGATGATGATGATATGATAACACATAATCAAATTAATATAAGACAGCATAACCGGGGCATAACCCCGATCTTTCCTTATAGACTATTAATATTGACGTTTATTTCACAAAAGTTCTACAATATCAAAAACTAAAATAAGAATTTGACACTGGGAGAAAACCTTTTTATAACACTGCATACGTGACTGGAATATAATTGATTCAGAAACTTGGCTGTGACGGTGTTTTGGACTCACCAAAAGCTGAGGATGAGTGTGGCGTATGTGGCGGGGATGGGTCATCTTGTGATAAAATGAAACCACGAATTTATTGGGAGGAAACTGATTATTCTGAATGCAGCGTGTCATGCGGTGTAGGTAATCCTTTTGTTTTTATAGAATAATATGCAGTGAGAAACCAGTGAGAAATGCATGATTAGAAAACAATAAAAATTCTGTCTCTTTACAACACGTGTCAAAATGATCTTTACAGTTCAAAGTCCTAATCTACAGACTTCATCCAATGACTCAATCAACGCACACATTATGCAACAAAAGACCCTGATAAACTAGTAGCAATATCTCTAGTAAATGTATTCACCATTGTTTCAATCATGCAACTATATTTCTGCCAATATTAGATAGGTTACGAAGTAACGTCCACAATCTGCAAAGATCGCTTCAACAATAAGGTCATCAATATCGCATACTGCAAAAATCTTGAAAGACCAAAACCGAAGGAAAAGATGTGCAAAAGACTAGCATGTCTCCCTGTGTAAGTATAATGTTCAAATTGAACTAATATGCCTTGATGTCTTGCGAACAAATTCACCAACTAAAGATCAATGTTTCAGTCAATATTTTTTGGGGCAAACTAGGATTAATTAATTTGGACTGCCGAATGTATTTTTGTCTTGCATTTGGCAATATGTTTTAAACAAAAACACATGCATGGCGTTTTGGTTCTCTTATATGTTTTCCTCGAAAACACATTTCAGTCGACACCTTGTCTAGATCTATAGATACTCGATTTTAATTGATGATGATGTGACCTTTTTCTTGAGTTTATTCTTATCTCATTTCGGTCAACAGTATGTCACGATCTACACTTTGTGTTTTAGTTGGGTTTCTGAGCCATGGACTGAGTGCTCTCAATCTTGTAATGGTGGAGTCACAACACGAAAGGTTTACTGTGCGCAAGAGAAAGAAAATGGCGTGTTTCATCCAGTGGAGGATGGACGATGCGTCGAAGATAAACCAACAAATAGGAAAGCGTGCAACGAAATCCAATGTCCGATTTGGATGGAAGGGGCTTGGTCGATGGTGAGCTATGTTTCTACGTCGTCAATTTCTAATGTGTGCTGTCGGAATGCTTTAATGTGATAGCAGCTTTTGAAGAATTCAGCTTATATATTCAGCTTATATTGTTCAAAGATTTAAAATTTGAATCACCCAATATGGCATTTGCTCTCTCTTACATGTACACATGGTTAATCAAGAATTAGTTTATATTTTCTACCATCCGTATGATTTAGAGGTTGCCCATTTGCCTATTTACAGTGCAGCGCCACCTGTGGTGTTGGTAAGCAGTATAGAGAAGTCGTGTGTAAGCAAACCAAGGGACTGAATTGTCGCATGGACTTGAAACCAATTACTTCTCGGGAATGTCACACATGGACGCCATGCATCAATACTATGGGTAACTGTCGATCCAACTGACAAAATCGTTTTTAATTACAGCTTTATTACACAACTGGCTTTATATAAGACGTCATTGATAGGGATCCTGGGGTTTGATTCCTAATGACCGTACCTAATTGTTAATTTTTTATCTAATACACGATTGTTTCTTCTGTACTAAGTAATGCACAATTTGTTTGTTATAAGCCGCACTCTTTGCAATTGTTTATATACGCACTATATGTACCAATTTCACTACTTTGTAATTTGATAATGTTCAAACTGACTCTGCACCTAAGATAAATCGGAAATGATTCTCGGAAATCCAACCTCACAGGTGTACCAACTATTGCTATTGTTTCCATCTCCGTCCAAGATGACTGTACAATTTGAAGTGCCCTCTTCCTTCCCCATTCTCTGAATATTTAGTACAAAGGGTAGCCACCAGAACTGACTCATTGTTGACTATACTTTAAACATATACTTACGTATTTTGAGATAATCTGGAAACTAATCAAGTTTAGGTGTAGAACGGATTAATCATATGGTTGATATCATTTTTACATTATGAGTAATATGATTTTTATCCATGAGTGGGCATAGTCATATCACCTGAATATTCAAATTATTTTCAATCCATAGCCAATGGAATTCTGTTTTACAAGAAAAACTGTACACCTACTTTTTATCGCACCTCATGAAAAGTAATATTTAAGTTCATTATCAATAGTAACAATAGAAAATCATTGGCCACATGACATTGTGCTTTGTGGTCGTGTTCATCATCCACACAGGTGTGAATATGGTATATTATATGTTTGTCTATGTTTGTTCTTATTTCCTTGTTGATAGTAAGATAACCACCTTAAGAAAGTCATCATTCATGTTCTCCATGAAATAAAGCTAATTTATATTATTTGTACTGTAGAAACTGAAAAGCTGGAATCTGGTGGTCGCCAAGTAGCTAACGAATATGGATTGTCCGACCACAATTCCCTCAGGCCGGGTGTCCGTCCTGATTACACGCTAGAGGGGGACGAGACTGTTGTAGATGTCGCGAGGTAATTTTCAGAGTGCTTATTATCAATATTTGACATGAAATGGGCATGAAATCAAATGCTTACTTCTACTTAAATAATATATATATAAAACGGAATCTTTACAGTTTTCAACGCATGTCATATAGTCAAAATAGTAAATCAAAGCAACTAAGGACGGAAGCGCCTACATACCAAAATATATGTCATTTCGTTAAATAGGCAAGAACATTGTGATAGGGCGTTTCGGGGCCTCTAAAATGAGGATAACGCATGTTTTCTCGCAAATCACGAACGGAATTTTACTGTTAGATCCTTTAGGACAGCATTTCAAAAGATTTTGTTGATTTTCCAGTTTTGTAGCAGAGCCTTGGGGCCCGTGTGCTGCAACGTGTGGCAAGGCTATCAGGATCAGGAAGGTGCGCTGTAAGATATATCTAGAGTATGCAGACGCAGTAGAAGACCTCCCCGATGAGGAATGCAATGGTATGTTACGGTTTGGTAGTCGCGATAATAGAATAAGTTGAAGTATGAGCATAGTCATAACACCTCGTATATGTTAGCAGTCTCCTAGGTTATCTCATAAGCTCAATTTTTAGGCAGATTATCCGCTCCAAGGGTTTCTCATGAAGAACCAATGTTTTAAAAGTTTAAAAGAATATCAGATTAGGACGTGCTTGAAAAATCAATAACCATAAAAGTAACTTACCAAGGGATAAACTAAATTAATGAATTCTAGGGACTAAGCCAGCCGAAATAGAACCATGTCTGCTGAGATACTGCCCTGGTGAAATGCCAAGACACGAGGACAATTTGATACCACATGGTCGAGGGAAATATGAATGGCAGTATACTGGTTTTACTGCGTGTACAGCTTCCTGTATGCCAGGGGGTGAGTCGGAATTTCTATTCCTTAAGAACAATAGTTGTTAAATAGATTGTTTTTCCTTTTCACACCCAAGAAAATTCTGTGCGTCGTCATTGGATGCATTTTATTTTGGTTAAGTTGGTATTTTATACTCTTATACCCTATAAGGGGTGAATTGAGAAATCAATCAATAAAAAATTTAGTGGGACTATATCACTATATTGTAAGTTCGTTCTTCTTTTTATATGTAATTGATATCAAGTATTAATACATTATTTTAATATATACTGATCCATCTCACGTGCACATGCAGTATAGCTACAAATTAGGAATACATGGCAAATTTACTTTTTCAGGTTTTCAAGAATCTATTTCACTTTGTACACAGTCGTCTGATGGGGAAATTGTGAGTAATGAGCTATGTGCTGATGTTGAGAGGCCACCTTCCAGGATACAGATGTGCAATCAGATACCGTGTCCACCGCAGTAAGTACGAATAAAAATACCAAAAAAATACCAAGTCAGTAAAAATACCAAGGTTGGTCGTGGTCATGGTTTTCACTTTAACACGATTTTTTGTATTTAATGTATTTTGTTATGGAAGGTTTATTCTTTTTAAGTGTACTAGCCATGTCATCGTTACCAATGATCATTTTCAATCTATAAAATTTCTGTTTTATAGATGGCGCACTCATCAGTTCGGACAATGCAATGCTACATGCGGATATGGTGTAGAGACACGCAAGATTGAATGCGTTCAAGATTTGCACATTGGTAAAACTGTTAATAAGATTGTTATATCTAACAATTTCTGCACTGATTCACCTCCGGAAACGACAAGAACATGTAAGGCAGATACGGATTGTGATCCAGTGTGGGTTCCAGGCCAATGGAGTGAGGTACGTATATCAAGTACTTATTAGACTAGTACATATTTATTACACATACTGAAGATCCTCATTCTGGTCTGTAGATTTAAGGTCTCGCTGATATTGAAACACCATTTTCTAGCATTACTTATGTTCTTTAAACTTGATTATTTTCTCCATAACAACATTATTCTTGTGCATAATTTCAGTGTTCCGAGAAATGTGGACGTGGATTGAAAAGTCGGATTATTCATTGTCAGCAACAGTTGGCTTCTGGTTTTACAGTTAATGTAACTGAGTCACGATGTTCAGAGCAGAAACCATCAGAAAAGTTACTTTGCAACAACAACCTTTGTCCAAGGATTGTCCTTGATAAATCAGAGTTTGTTCAAATCTTACCAAGGCGTGTGGTAGATATTGGCGTTGGTGGAAAGGCAGACGTTTTGCCGGGAGTAACGATACGAGTGAAATGCCCTGTGAAACATTTTAACAAAAAGTGGGTTCTTTGGAAAAAGGAGGAACAGAGTATTCTTAAGAAAGGCCGTGTCAAAGTGTTAAAATCTGGAAAACTAAGAATAAGAAAAAGTAGTTATAAAGATGGAGGCACATATACTTGTTATGCTAGAAACGAAAGTGCAACAATAAGGATTTCATTTCACTCTCGGGTACAAGCCAATCATCTTATCAAATACAGAAAGAAATATCTCAAAGACAAATTCAAAAGTGAAAACAGTATATTTAAACACAAACATAAGGGTAATCCTAACCTTGTTGACGATACGTGGAATGATAACTTTATTCATTTCAACCAATCCGAATCTCCATTTGTATTTATTCCGGGTGATTGGTCACGCTGCTCTGTCATGTGCGGCGGATATGGAGTGCGCAGGCGCAATGTCACGTGCGAACTAATTAATGATGAATTCTACAAAGTTGTTGAGAATGATATATGCTATAATGATCGACTTATCCTCCCTCAGCTGTTACAGCGATGTGGTATTCCAGAGTGTCCTTCCTGGCGGGTTGGCGAATGGTCAACGGTGAGTAGCCATGCAACATTCACCATCGTCTCTCAAGAACTGATTCTTTTTTCTCGTTTTATGAAATAATACACTTGAAATACTTCATGCCTCTGGTAAAATAGGTCAATATTTTTAGAAGCAAATCTCATTGTGCAAGGCTCATTTTGGAAGAGAACGACGAAAATCTGCATTTACGAAAATCTGCATTTGATATTGTAGTATTTTCCTTTGTTTTTCAGTGTCAAAATTCCCCATGCCACAAAAATAGTGAGGCGCTTGTTGTGCGACCTCTTGAGTGCCTACTGTCAAACGGTACAGTGGTTGATAAAATGTACTGTCAGACTCGGACACCCCCAACGCATGAACGAATCTGTAAGAAAACTGAATGTCTGGCAAAATGGGTATCTTCAAACTGGGCAAAGGTAGATATTATTGTTGTTTTAGAATTAGCATTTTCCCGACTCTGGGTTATAATATCCAGAATACTTACAATTTTTGACGAAGAAAGGCCTTTCTACAGGAGACAAGAGATGAAAACTAATACGAAACTGGGGAAACACTCAAAGAAACTTGTATATATACTTCTGCGATGCATATATCCTTGTATAATGTTGATCGAGTTGAGTAAATCCTTTGTTTTACCTTTACTTGCCATGTTCATTGGTTCTGTTTTTTTTCTAATCTAACTTTTATTACCATTTATAAACGTAGTGTACTGGTCGTTGTGGCAAGAAGGGCTACAGTACACGATGGATCCGGTGTGTTTGGGAGGGAACTGGTCTACCAGCTGGCGTGAACTGTAGGGGTCTCCCTAGACCAACAACAAGAAAGGCCTGTGTTGCTCCGGCCTGTTCAAGTACGTGTCACTGTGATGTTATGCTGTTATTAGACTTTTTGCGTAATGATATGAGCATGAACTAAAATATTAAAATATAATTGTCAAAAGGCAGTCCTGCAAAAGGATAAACGAGTACCCTGCGTGCAGTCTAGTAAAACTACGAAGCTCTCTTTTAAGAAGTGAAGTCAAACGAATGCGCAAGGGGGTAGATAACGAGATGCTCGGTTATATAATATCAATGTTATGTTTCCAATCGGACTCTGAAAAAATCGGAATTTTCAATTTTATGCTCTTTCTTTTCCAGAATGTAATGATAAATCGCCATCATACTGCAGTCTTGTTAAAATGCTGCATATGTGTCGACATAAGGTATACAAAGCCCGGTGCTGCAGATCTTGTGGGGCAATAAAAAAATAGAATTCGTATATGCTGAAAAGAAGTCACAATTCAGGCTAAAAGCTCCAAGGCGGAAGACCGATTGTATGCTTGCGTTAACACTAAACACGCACCTACCAGAGCAGTTTGAGAAATATCATACCTGCCCAGCCAATATACGTCGTTGAAGCGCGTCAACGTCCATCGGCATTTAAGACAGTTGACCCAGTTAAATCAGCTATTTAATAGATTTAGATTTTAATGTGCAGACTAGTGTGGCACAACTGTACTTTATTTAATTTAATTAATATCTTTAACATTTCCTAGGTACGTAGTATTTAGACATATTTCCGAGATAATTTATATACACAATGGTTTGCTGTTTATGGCATAGGACAAAATCTCTGCAACAGCTAATGGATGCTGGAATCGTCTGCCTAGATTGGATTAGACAAGTTATGGCAGTCAACACATACAGCATTGGCTATTTTCATCTTTCTTTTAATATATATAATATATTACTATAAGTATATCAATACATCGATGTGTAAATAGTCTTCAGGATGTACATAGTTCCTCAAGTATAAATAAATTGAATTGACAGTTTGTTTATAAATATATCAACGAGCACGTCTATTGACACTTCTTATAACATTAAGAATACACGTCTGCACATATAATTAGCGCATTTTTATTTTGCCAATTGCAATTTTAGAAATGGCAAAATGTATTATACCAAACTTTAGAGATATCTAATAAGTAGGGAACTAGATAACAAAGTATTCTTCCAGACTTAACGATCATACAACAAGTGCACATTTAGCTATAGAATAGTTGAAGTTTTGTGATTTAATATGATATTTCTTGACACGGTAACGACACAAATATCATAGCATAAACGTATGTGGTTATTCCAATAACAGTTCGAGTACCACTTTGTATTTACGATTATGAAATCAAAGATGACACATCTGTATAATTTGCATTTAATTTGTTTCATTTATGAATGTGATTTATTTTTTATTTATATCACTGAAGCCATTTTACGAGTTAAGACTGAACTGTAGTACATGGTGATAACAAAAAATTAATCCACTACTTTACAATAATCTATATAACTTAGTTGAAAACATGGAGTCGTTTTATTTTAATATTTGATAGACAGTTTGCAAACATTTTGTAATTTGTGAAATGAAGTATGTTCATTTGACATACAAGTAAGGGATAGATAGATAAATCATAAAGATAAGCTTAGTTCACACCTACAGGTCTTCTGCTTTCGACAGACTTTTTAAGTTATCTGGGGGTCTCCACTGAGATCCCGGATGAAGGCCCATAGTGTCAATTTTGTATCAACGGTGTATAAATGGGCACTGGTGTATGTATAAAAATTATTTAAGATTATAGACTGGTGTCACATCGACGTAGTGCTGCAAAGGGATTGTAACTTTCCTGGATGATCCGGACGTTTTCATGTCACGTGTTTTGTCATTTTTGTTGCACCCTGTATAATTCTTATTTTTGTACTATTGAGGTAGTTCAGTAATGAATGGCATTTAGTACTAGTATTAAGAGTGCTTATGATTATATAAGTTATCAAAGATTACTGTAAGTACGACGTATTATTAAATATTTTACAATGAAGTTGTATTAAAATTATTTTAAGAGTGTAGAAGTCGAATATCAAACCGACATACACTAGTAAATAAAAGCTTTACTTCAATCAACCTAAAATTGCTTTTTGTAAATGTATATTTGATCAATTAAGATCAATTGCACGACTCCCAGGAGTAATTAGATTAGAGGAAATATATGTTACATGTATGTAGTGGACAATTCGGACAATACATACAGTTTCAAAGTCTACAGACATCCATTGGCTGAAAAAATCACGTGACTATTCACATCGTATTAGGATAAAGATTAACCTTGTGTTAAGTTTTTTCTGATCTTGTTTTCTGTAACTGTTGTTATGTAATTCAGGTCAGACCGCGGGAGGTTGCTTTGTTTGACAGACTCATGCACTTTAGAACTCTATACTAGTTTACTGTTTACAACTGGAATTCTGGAGTTATGAAAGAGATATAACCATTAAATAAGTTTAGCCTCTGGGGGGTCAATGTGACTTATGAATGTAGTGATGACAAGGCACGAGAATGGATCTACAATATTTATGTGCTATCTTTCGCATATTACAAAGATAAAATGAAAATGCATAAATAAAGAGTGACAATTCATGATAAGTGAAAGCACAATTATACTATTGATATACGACATGGACATACTTAACCATGGTTTGGAATGCTCGAAATACAGGACATGGTGTATTTAAACAGGTTGGATATGATAGTTATTTAATGATCATTTTTATTCATAGAAAGTGTATACCATTCGTTGCAAATCCAATGAACTTGAAAATGTACGTGTACACATATTGTCATCCACTGTTAGTAAGCCTTTTAACAGATTTGAAACCCGAGGCTCTGGAATACAAGTTAAGCGTTTAAAATCTTGCATTGTCTTAATTAATTAACTGCATTGGCATATAATCTAGACATAACAAAGCTGAAATTAATCATTGTATTGTGTACATAATTCAAAATGTCATTTACAGGGAGGGAGATTGTATAAAAGTAGCCTTGCAGCATCCCTGCCCCCTCTCAAGCATGAACCACAACTCATACAGATAGACAAACAAGGGGCGATGCCACTTAACAGTTACCAGTCAATCCATGCTGTCAAACAAATACACTCATATCAGCCACCAAAAGTGAGAACAACACTACCACCCATACACAACAGTGATATTTATCGAAGCAAGTTGAACCCACTGCTCCGTTATGATATACCGACAATGAATAGAAATAGATACGGGTATCAATGTAGAAATGCAGGTTTTAACACCCCCCAGAGTGACTTCAGTGAATCCCCATTGAGACTAGACTTATCGAAAACACTAGTGGAATCAAAACAGATCCACACTAGGCACGATGTTGTGAGAGATGATAAAAGAAGGACAATGAAGGCACAGTCCAGAAAACGCTGGAAGGTGAACTGTGCTTGCTTACGGTGTCGAATGATGCAGGATAAATGGAAGTCCAAGGACAGCGACTATGCAATATGGGGAGAATATCCTTGTGAAAAGGAACTTGATAAATTATTTGGTGGAGACAAAATAAAATGAAATACTCCTGCTTATCGGCCATGATCTGATCATCGAAAATAATAAGCAAGAACACATCCATTAACATTTCACATTCTTAATGAAACCAGTAAGAATGTTCCTATGTCAACGTTGGAAATCATTTGATTTATAGTTACCATTATTTTGAAAATGAGAAGTACAGGGTGTCCAAAAATAGGACCAAAAAGTTGAGTCAGTCAATTTTGCATATTCTGCCTTGAATTCGAAATGTCAGCATTATTTAGTCTATACAATGTGTTTAGTTTATTTATTGTTTATTTAATATGCACACGTTATATATTGAATACAATGGGAAGATGTACCTGCTTTGAGTATGTTTTGTAAGGTTTTGCAGTTTTTGACTCAATAAGTAGATTGTCATGAAACGTTTACAGCAAAATTCACATTAAATGAGCTCACGGTTGACAGAGTACATCAACTTTTCTTTGGCTTGTTTTGGGCACCCTGTACATATATTTGTACTTAAATTAATAACAATATCTTTTACATATCTTCTTATTTAAAGCACGGTCGTCCGTCTCTCTCTCCGGACATCTCCTCCTAGATCGTTCAACCTTGGGTGTGTCAACATACTTGGTAAACATACTAAGTGGGCCAATGGGTATTCTGCGAAGGTCATGGGTCAATATCTAGGTATTTGACATTTTAAGACCCTTGGGATTACTGTAACCCTTCATGACCCATGATAAGGTAGCATGAGGTAAAGGTCATTCCAAAGTCAAAGGTCAACTATTTGGCGTTTAAGGCATTTTGGGGTGATATATCTTTTACATATCTTCTTATTTAAAGGTAAAGGTCATTCCAAAGTCAAAGGTCAACTATTTGGCGTTTAAGGCATTTTGGGGTGATATATCTTTTACATATCTTCTTATTTAAAGCACGGTCGTCCGTCTCTCTCTCCGGACATCTCCTCCTAGATCGTTCAACCTTGGGTGTGTCAACATACTTGGTAAACATACTAAGTGGGCCAATGGGTATTCTGCGAAGGTCATGGGTCAATATCTAGGTATTTGACATTTTAAGACCCTTGGGATTACTGTAACCCTTCATGACCCATGATAAGGTAGCATGAGGTAAAGGTCATTCCAAAGTCAAAGGTCAACTATTTGGCGTTTAAGGCATTTTGGGGTGATGATTAGGTGACCCGATGTCAAGGTCAACATTTATTTGGCAAAGTTATTTCAAGGTCATCTAGGTATCTAACGTATTAAGGCACAATTTGACCGTGACTTGTTCTCTTTTTTGTCATATATTGCACTATAAATCGCTGGATCTTCTAAAAATGCCTTGTGGTAACTATCAAGAATGTGCAAAAGTTTTCAGGAGAGTTTGCTCTTATAAGTGCATATGCTAAAAGACACGATCACCATCTAAGCCAAGTACATATGGTTCTCTTTTTTGTAAAAACATAACATCTGAAGAAATATCCATGAAGTCAATAATGTATGTTTCTTTTATAAAATCAGGTCAAAATAATAAACATGCATGTAATAATAAAAATGAATAAAATGTTAAAAATACACTATTTGTGTCTCTTTGTCTGATTATACCTACGACCGAATCTAAAGATCCACAATCAACGTACAGATTGATTGCGTCAATTTGTATACCAACTCACGGTGTATCAACCGTGTTGGCACGAAATTTTCAATTGATCAATCAAATTTTGTATTCGGTGTGACGGGGGATATATTGCTATAAAACAATAACGCAGATGCGAGTAGGTAGTTACCATTGTCACCAACAGCTACGTTGTATGACTCGTTCGGGTCAGATAGCATGGCGGGTTTAGTAGAAAGTTCCCTTAAATTACATCTGTTTTAGTGGTTCAACTTTCATATATCCCTTATGTATCTAATAGTTATGCAAATTAAAATAAGTCCAGCAAAAGAAATTGTTATCTATTCAACACAGCAAAAGACATTTCACTTTCTGTGATTTTGTAACATGAGGTCTATGGGGAATCAACCCGAACTAGAAGTCACATTTTCCCAAAAAATAAATTTCCAAAGTTGATAAACAATTTTCGAAAAATGTGACATCACTTTGACTGAATTCTGAATATTTAATTAAGTAAATCATAAATCATTATTTCTACTCGCATCTACTGTAGTCTATTTGTTTTGCCCACCGTGTATCCATGCCGCGCCCCACTGTCTGCATAAAGTATTCACACGATGGCGAACGGTGAGGCCACATAGCCTAAGTGTGAAAACTCTAATATGACTGATAAACGAATTTCTAAATCTAGAAATAAGTCCAATTTAATTAAATAGCTCTACTTTTGTCGAATATTTTCCGCATTGTGATGCAATGCCATTTTCGTTCGCTCGGCTCAATTCTGTCGGAAGACGGAGTGTGGGGAGAAATGATGTAACGCTAAATGAGACTTGGCCTACCACGATAGCTTAGACCATCAGACATTCCTGTGAAACGTCGGATTGGCCGGATTGTCTGATATCTTTGGAATTACAAAGCCCAATCGCATGACTGACAATCACTTTCTTATGCTATTTTAATGAAGTCACGAATTTAAGCTTAAAGCCGTCTGTCCTCAAATTATTGGAAGATTATGAACGTTAAACATACAGTAGCGCTACATGGATATATGGGGTTTAAATCCGAAATGAAAAGGTTCACACAGTTTCACATTTCATATCAAATATAAGTTGTTTATTCAACATAATGGTAAATAAATCTGTTAAAGCCGTAACTTTTATATAGTGCGCACTTGGATCATAAATTCTTATTGGTTTTTGTTGACTTTGAATGGCACCTAAGCGCACATTTAACTTTCAAAATAGCAATTATATTGATCTGGGAGCAAATCGATCGCATGCTCTTCTAAGAGACACTTGTAGAAATTCTAAATTGTACTCGGGACAATCGAAATGATCTTGATTTAATTATTGAAACTCTGATGCATATCTGAAGTGATTTATTACGTATTGATAGAGGCATGGTTTCTTGTTTGAAACACGTTGTTGACATATAGAATACACTAAAGGAGTTTAACAGACTGAAACAGGTAACTATAAATTATTTTACTAGACTATATGTGTCAAAAAACAATGCATCATGGGAGGACCATAGATGAGAAAAATAATCCTCGGACCAAGATTTTTCATAAGTTATAAGTCCATGGACAACAAGGAATAATCAATTGAATTCAAAGAACTGCAAGGGCCTTGGAAGTCTAGGAACGACGAGGGTCGCACAAAGTTTACGGACAACGAAGACGTCACAAACTTATGCATGGTCACCGAGGGAGGGGGTACCAACTATCTAAACTAGTCCAGAAACGCTCTCGCACACACAGAACAGAATAGTTGAAGGTAAAAATCTTTACCGGGAATTTTGTTAAGCTAGTGAACCGCTGAGAACATGATATGTTCTTCTTTTTGTGAGCATTAGAATATAAAAACGAGTAGAATTAGGCACATGTTACAATGTGTATTCAATTCTTGACAGGGGGATGAACATCCAGTGACATTGATTGAATTGGCAAGGGATTGACGTCATTATCCATCAAACTATACAGGCATATGCATTCACCCTCCACACCTGATAGTTGTTTTCTTAAATCACTAGACATAAGAAATTAATGGCAACGATTTTAGATTCTTTAAAATTGCCAAAACACAGGGCCCTCGTTGGTTCGACGGGGCACCTAACGTAAGAGAGTGTAGGATGCTTATAAATGAAATAAGAGCAATAATGTAAAATACTTTAGTTCTTAATCATATTATATGTCACTATTTAAGAGTTGGAAAAATAGATTTTCAATGTAATGAAATAGACCTTTCAGTTTTTTTTATAAATTCTACCAGGCTTATATGATTGAAGTTCAATATTTCCACCGGGGAGAGCCACTGATGTAAAATACACATCAAGAGATAATCATAATTATGTCATGGAATTTGATTAACACTCGCATCCAATATGTTTAATTACGCTAACCTTATCCAGGGATTACCATAGAATTGATTATAATAGTTTTAAACCTTTAACGATCGAACAAAAACTACAAGCACAATCTTGAATATAGTTCGATAAATTGATCAAGCTTCTTGGGAGCTTTGCCCAAGGTTAAATCTTACATCATCTGACATTCAGTTACTACAAGCCTAAATCACTTGTGTACATTCATGACATGTATAATTATGATGAACATGAAATCATATTTAGCAATTTTAACCTGGGGTGTGCTTGAGAGCTATTTTTAATATTTTCACAGTTAAAAGGTCCCATAAGAAAAGCATGTATGCTGTATAATGTGACTAGTTTCAGATCAGAGAATAGACATCAGAAAACATAAGATTCATCACTGCACATTTCCTTCCAGGAACCACATATCACAAGGAATATCACAATAAGGATAGGCTGCAATGGAATAATCAGTACAAACTCTAGATGGGCTTTCCATAAATGTTTATATTCGCCACATTAATTGAATCATGAATACGGATCGTTCAGATACAGATACGGGCAACCTGACCACGGATACAGAGGCATTTTCTGTAGGATCTAGTTCAGACCCTTCTCCCGGGGGACTTTGGCTGAAGCAAAAGATTCAGTGTCGCCAAACTGATCGGGATTTACCAAAGATATTAAAGGTACGTTGCCTGTTCCAACCAGCCCCAGCACAGCAATCTAACCACGGTATCTTAAAAGATGTACTTATAGAAATGTATATTTAAAACAACATTTTATAAAATAGCTCCATATGAACATCCTCCGATCACAGGGCTTCAAAATCCAGAATATATTCTTTCTTTTTACTAATTAAAGAAGGAGGTACGGATTCTGGATGCCTGCTTAGGAGGATGCATATGAACGGATAGAGCTGCGCGAAAAAATGATGGCGTAGTACAGAAACCTTATAAGTTTTAAACATAGGGCTTTATAAACACGCTATAAGTGCGTTATGAAATCTCTGTAATGTAACTGATGTACGTATTCATTATAATAACTTACTCAAAAAATTTTCATCCAGTTTATTACAATATCTTAAAAATGAAGGACATTGCTATTTTAAACTGTCTGTAATCATATCTAAATTTGTATACTCATTTTACTTTTTTATGTACAGGTTCTTTTGAGCTTCCTTTATTAAATTATCGAAAAGCCTCTATCTATTATGAAAGCTTTTTGTAAATATGATTCGATTTTGTTTGGTTCTCACGGCCTGTAATCAGTATGATTAATGAGAGACTCGTGTAGAGTCATCGTTGTGTATTTCGATTTGTTTGTGACAATGTAAGTGTACCTAACAAATCATTTTACATAACTGAATGTATCTTATAGAGAGAAGAAAGCCATTAAGCTATGTGTAACGCATACTTTTGACCAATATAACAAGAGGTTCCTTAACAAGGGCCCAACACCTTACAATAAATCGTGAGGCAATTTACTCCCAAATTGAACTTAATGATAGCATTAAAGCTAATTTGTCATTTAAAGGTACACATCGTGTCAACATTTTATGAATTTATGCGTACTTATTTTTATGCTGTTCCTGAACAGACAGTCCACGTGAGAGTTGTTTGGTTGTCGATAGATTGCATGGATGATGTGCGTGGTAGTGTAGAGGGCACTGTTCTGATCCAAACCCGTTGGAAAGACGCTGTATTGGACAAATTAATGAAGGTACATTTCCCGACATGCCTGTATATGTCTCGTCAGCTTAGACAGCGAAAAATTGTGAGAATTTTAAAAGGGAAGTTCACATTTCAATTATTTTGGCACAGAATTTAACTGAAATAAAATAAGACTTTTTGGGAAAAGGCTTTGGGATGATATTGAATAATCAGACCAAAAGACAGATATTGTGTAATTTTTTTTAAAAATCATTTAAAACAACTCATTCCTTGTTTGATTGTGGATTATTGCATATATGTATGTTTTGGTTTGAGTAACCTAAAAATCACCATCTATGGTTTGTGGGGAAACATAAACTATAACATAAGTACACCAAAATTAGAAAATTGAGTTATAAAGATCATATGCTATTTATGGTATGGTGAAAGTCACAAAGTTTTAAATACCAGGCATTATAACAAAGGGGACTCCATGCCATTTCGATTCTTTGTGTCAGTTTGGTAAAAGGAATCGGGAACATCGTATTTCCAGTAAGTACAATGATAGATTCTAAAATTACATCGTTTCCCATTTGCACAATCACTGCATTATTTGCAAAATCTTAAGTAAATTGATTTTATTCCTAGAATGGACGAATGAAGCCAGAGAGTAGACAAGATGCATATTTCAACCCAGGTCTCCAAATAGAGAACCTAAGCTCCCTACAAGAGGAAGCTGTCTGGCGCACAATGGTACACAACAATCGTGGGCAGGCCGTGGTCACTGAGCATAGACTAGTCACTGGAACCTTCAACCAGGACATCTATCTGAGAGATTTTCCTTTTGACATACAGGTACGATATATGGTCATGGGAATTTTGAGTCAGGCGTCATAGCCGAGGGTGTTTCGGTTTTATCTCCGGGACTAGCCTAATGACCGATTAAGTTTTAATCTAAAATGTTTTAATGTGATATATGATTCTGAACGCGCATGTGTCATGTAAAATTGCCCTTTATGAGTCTTTTAAAGTTAGAGACCCCTTTGTAAAAATCAAATTAGAAACCAACACCAATCTATTCTGTAATACTCCCAGGTACTGAAGCTCAAGTTGAAGTCCAGTTTATCAATAAAAGAGGTAGACCTTATCCCGGACAGAAACAAACAATCGACACTTGTAGACGATGCTCTGTCTAGTCGCCTACAGGCAGACTGGCAACAATACAATGCTATGGAACTCAGACAAACAACCAAAGCAAGCGCATACCTCGATGCAGAACACACATTTCCACGTTTAGATGCCACGTGCAATATTGCTAGAAAGTCGAGCCGTCATGTCTGGCCCATCGGTATAGTCATGGTACGACTTCGTTTTAGGATTTAAAAAATCTAGCATTGTGGTATTCCCTGTATAAAAGATCCGCTTAGCTTTAAAATTGAGAAAGTATGCAGGTTAATGATTCCTTTTTATTGTAGTGTTTTGTACTTGTGTTTAAAGTCTATGACCATGTTGCTGTCATCTAGGCTATATGAAGCCAGAATTAAAAGCCACATACATGAATTGTACTATTCCATGCATGTATTCTGAAGCCTCATAGCCAGATAGACAGTCTTGTAATATTTTACAATCAACCGTTTCTCCATATGATCTTTTTCAGATGTCCATCATCCTCATGAGCTTGTCCCTGTTCTCGTTGCCGCCGACACTCGAGCATGTCCAGGCACGCTTACAAGGAACGTTTCTATTGGTCACCTGTCTGATAGTGTACCAAATCGTATATGGACAAATTACCGGTATTCTGCATGTAGTCCGACCTAATATAATGGTACGTAGGCCTTGTGCGTATGAAAACGCAACAAGCTGTAATCTCGGAAAAGCACAAAACCAGTGATAACAGCATCAATTTCATTCAACATACCATATAAAGCAATGTGTCTCTTCTTCCCAATGGTATGTCATTTATTGACAGAGGGCTATTGTTGGGCGAATAATCATTCATTCATCATTCAGTGGGCCAACATTAGCTTGAGACGAAGTTTTAAACATCGCAAAAGTAATTACACCAGGCTACCAGGCGCTATTGGAAGAAACAACAAAACCAATGGTGACTGCATCGATTTCATCCAATGGACCATAACGCCTCATTTCTCTTCTTTGCAATGTTATTGCATTTATTCACATGGATTCATGGTTAGCCGAATAATCATTACTTTTGCACATATGGGCAAAATCAGGTCGGGACTAAATTTCAAACATCTCAAAAGTCAGTGCACGGAGCAAAACGCTAATAGAAGAAGGTGTGGCATATTTGACAGTGTTTATACTCATACTTGTGCAAGATTACATCTCATACCCCTCCGTTTGGCTGCCACTTCTTTCCACACAGAGATAGGCTCATCTCCCCATGTCATGCATGGCTGAGCTCGGAGTCATCTGTGGACAGAACAGTAGCCAGTTGGTGATTCTTTCCCGAGTTGTTGCAAAATCTGGTAGAGGAATGGTGAACACTCTGCTCCTGAAAAAGCTCCAAAAGATTCAGGTCAGGAAAATTTCCATATGCACCGAGCCATTGCACTGACTTTTGCAGACTTGTCCAGAGCAGACTTTGAACCGCTGTGCAAAAGGAATGATTTTTCGCCAAACCAATACCACGAGCGAATGAATGACATATCATTGCAAAGAGGAGGGGCGTGGCTTCATGGTACATTGAATGTAATCGATGCATTTATCACTCGTTTTGTGAGAAAACTGTTTGTTGGTTTTTTAATACGCACTGTGTAGAGATTTGTCTAATAACGATAAATATTCAAACATGACCGTGCTCTATTCGAATTTCTCAACCAATCAGAATGCAGCATAGCCAATATAGAACGTTCTCTAATTCTCCATAGATGCACGACCATGCTCTATTCAATCTGCAATTTACATTATTTTGAGTGACGTCACATCTCAGCTGCACATCTGGGGCTCTGTCCGGGGATAGCTGTTCTTTTTTACTCCCTCCGTAACTACTGTAACTATTTAACTATGGCTGACTTCAAGTTTTGCATACACCGTATAAAATCTAAAACGGGGAGTAAAATAGAACAGCCCAAACAAATTCTAAAATTTTTCCGGCCGACTTCAGAATCTTGACCGTGCGTATTCTTCCTTCATGCCCGTTCCACAGACACGGCTTTTACTAATTTTTATGTTTGAATCGGAATAAATAATGATAGGCCATTCAATATGGTGAAATTCAGCACTCGTTGGACAGAATGTTAGTACAAATGCACTCACCTTCGGTTCGTGCTTTGTACAACATTCTGTCCAACTCGTGCTGAATTTCACCATATTGAATGGCCTATCATTATTTATTCCTTAAACCTAGTACTCATTTGAAACGTTCAAAGCACGTCGCACTTGCTGTTGTCGCAGATTCTGAGGTTATACATGTCCACTTCTATTTCAGGATAAATATGCAATGTTTGTTTTAATCTACTTGGTACTAAATGGAGGATGGCACTCCATGAGTCCTTACGTTTGCGATGACAGATTGCCAGATATATACGTCCTGATAACTCTAGCTCTATTGGTCTTAATGGCACATATCGCCATCTTCATATGGATACACTCTGTGGTAAGAAAAATGTCATATTCAAGAAATTAAAATGAATCTGATGGTAAATTGATAAAAGTAGTAGAGTTATATACAATACTTTAATTTAGTGAGTAACTGGTTTAATGTTTTGATGTTTGTCCAGTGTATATTGTTCTGGTGTCGTATAATTACGTACAATAATATCGTAAACTATCTTATATTTTAGGCTTTAAGAAATCGGAAAATGCTAGTCAGAAAAGATTCAGAAGCAAAGGTAATGGTCAAATGTACATATTATAAAACTTGTTTGTTATGTTAATAATGACTACTGTCATTTATGTTGTATGATGTACAGGGTAGTCCCAAAAATAACCCCCTGAAATGAGCCATATTTCCCTTATTACCTGCAGGAATCCTTTCATATTTCCACATGTTGTAGAGGAAGGTGTAAACATTTTGTTGGTACCATACATTCTTCTTAGTCTTGTAATTTGCAGAAATTATAAGCCCTAACCAAATATTACTTAAAATGGATAGAATGTGATTTTCAACATCTGGAATGCTTCAACTCTTCGCGGATCGACGCCCCTCCCCTGACATTCTCTTAGCCGCAGTCTTAAAGAACTAATACTTTCTAACTTTGTTTTGTTTCGAATCACGCACATTATGACATAAATACTAGCATCCTACCACTGTTAGTTGCAAAGGTATTGTGATCCAAAGAAATGTTCTAAGTTTCCATGGACGAAAGATTTTCCCAGTGAAATCGCAAATGATCTTGAAATGACAATATCTTCATTATTGATGGACCAATTCTCATGAATTATGGCTCAGAACACTGAATATTAGATTTTCTTATGATTTTCGAAAGATATTTGATGAAGGGCTTCTCAGATCCCTGGTGCAGGGGCATTAATTGTTGAATGGTTAAAACTGCTTCAAAATGATCAATGAATGTGTGAAATGTGTTTTCTGCTCAATAATATCCCGTTTGTTATGTGGTAGGTTTTTAAACATGTATCTCTAACTGAAAGCAGAATACCCAATGTGTTTCAAGAATTTCTGTGAATCACATTTAGTAAAATATTTCTAATATCCAGGCATGTTTGTTTAAAGTCTTGTAATTTCTTCAAAATTTAAGACTGAGAATAAATTATGGTATCAACAAAACCTTTCGACCTTTCTCTACAACATGTGATAATATGAGGCAATTCATGCAAGTATTAAGGAAAATAAAGCCTGTTGGAGGGGTTCACTTTTTTGGACCCTGTATAACCGCAACAACAGCCGAGCCAGATAAGGCATATCATTATTGTCAGTTGTGTTCATACTGCAATGTATATCAAAAGAATGAACTGTCAAATCATAACATCTCGCACTGCCATTATATACGATATTGTTTATAAGCGCGATTTCAATCTTTTTCAGCTCCATACACTGAACAACAATAACCTTCCTCCTACTCCCAAATCGTCAAGACGTCAGATTTATAGCCATGTGGCTCAAAGAACTGGTGTCAAGGGCAGCACTGTTGAAATTGAACATTTACTATAAGTATTTATTCGATGCTTGTCCGTCTACACATTCATCATATACAAATGAGCTCATGCTTTGGAAACACACACGAAATTGTATCACTTTCAGAAATGGGAATATGAAATAATACAATATAAAATTTACCATTTGAAACGACATTGTCTAAGATAGGTAACAAATAATGTGTCCAATGAATGCTTTGAATAATTATTTCAATTTTCAAATATATGACGCACACTTGGATTGAATGCCATAACTATTTGTTGAAATAAACATGTTTTAAGTTTTGTGTATATGTTCCACTTGTTCAAATGATTTTGATTAAAGGCCCACTATGCATATTTTCAACATTCTTTGGCAAAATAAAGACCTACTCTTGAACTTCATAGTATTTCCAATGTATTAATAAGTACTTTATCTTTCATTGAACAGCACAAACAGCTCAAACGGCCCACATTAAAGCTTTCAATAAATTATCAAAAAATAATTTTGATCAGCCAAGTCTTATACATCAAGTTTTTTACCAATGTCATTGAAAGATGGCGAAGTTATTTGTATCAAATAATCCCTTGATATTTATAGAAGTGTCGCCATCTTTTAAATCAAAAACTATTTAAAACATGCACTTTGTCAAAAATGTGCATGCACTAACAGGATCCCAGAATTTCAAACGTTGTTTTCTATGTGAGTTACTTTTTCCTAATTCAATATTAATGCAAATCGAACTTTGTATCATATTTAAATTAGTGTGTAACATGTTTCAATGATTATTTTACCATTTTTCTTCTAAATTAAGCATAGCGGGGCTTTAATAATGAAATGGTACTATTGTCTCAACTTAGCAATCTAACCAGCCCTTATTGAAAGTGTTACCTTTCCCTGTTTGTAAATAAATGGAAAATTCGCGTATGTCCCAAAACGTATATCATTGTTTGAAAGCAACAAAATACCACGTTTCCGTAGAAAACATCTTTATTTCTACATTAGAATTTAAATTTTATATCTCAGATCTATTATAACCAAACCCTCTGTGAAAGCCAACTGCAGTTCTGCAATATTTACATCGTTCAGGTAGAAAAACAACGATAACAAATAACAAATCCTCACAAGTGCATGCATACGTCAATATTTAACGTCCGTATAACATGTCAGCAATTATATCTGTCAGCTACAAATGATTTAATCATCTAATATGTACAAAAAATAACTAGTACTTTTACATTGTGTATAGCTCAATCTCATATGATATATTTACATTCTTAAATAAATGAGACAACTGTTGCATTGTTTTGTTTATTGCATCTATATCTGACTAGAGTTGTACTTATTGTTTTGACACATTCTAGGACTTCCTAATATACCGAATGCATACAGAACTTACTTTAAATTGCTATGTACATACTGTCTGACAAGGAGATGTCAGAGTCTCTGTCACAACTTATACTATTTTCCATGTGTGAGTCGAATCAACCCTGTTCCTATATTATTGAATACTAAAAACAAAAATAAGTTATTTGGAAATACAATAGCGGTTTAAATGAATTGTACTTCTGATCGAAGTTTAAATGACATATTGAGACACAAAATGCTTTAAATTATCACATTTGTGTCAAGGAGGTAGAAACTTTAGGAACGAACTGAGATTTGATATAGTAAGATCCAAATCCATCGCGGATGTCTTACTGCTAGGCATACCGTACTATCTTAGTTACGTGGAATGCTTGATACGTGCTTCTATATTACTTAGTACTTACAACTAATGTTCTTAAAATGTGGTTTTGATTATATCTTATAACTCTTTGATTATCCGTCGTATTTACACTATAGACTCATCTTTATTCTTTGATTGTCGTTGAGAATCCATAGATTTAATAGAATGACTACTTCCCCTCCGACTTCCGCCTAAAAAAGCTTCAGACAGAGATTTTTTAATGTTTAGTTTCATATTTTTGGCTTTCTTTGAGGCTCGTGATGTTTTATCATCGTCACTAAATGCCGGTTCATCTTCACTGTCTTCGCTTCCACTTCCAAACGGAGTGGTTGACTGTATAAGATCGTTCAGATTTTGTACATCTTCTTCAAAATTGTCCCTATTGCTTACAATACTAGGATTCTTTCCTATTTTGTTGAGTCTTTGGGCAGCAACACTTTCCATAGTTCGTCGCATTACAGGGTAACTCTCTAGTACTTCAGCAAAGTGTTCTTTAGAAAGTGAAAATAGGTTGCAGTATGTCTCAGCACGTACACTAGCCACCCTCTTCGCGTTCGTTAGCAAACAGATCTCTGAAATTAGATCATATTTTTTTATATTATCCGATTTAACAATTAACATAACAATTACTTTATTACAACGAATAAAATAAGTTAGGCATTGTCTACAATGGAATACTAGATTATGTCATCACAATTGTTTTTTCTTCGAAGTACGTTTACAATATTCATTCATGTTATTAACAAACATTCACCTGGCATTCCACAAACAAAAGTGTTAAATCAACCATTTGAGGGGCAAGTATTATTATTATCAGTCGTGGTTTAAAACTTTGAAAGCAACGAAACCAAAGATGTGTCCAGCATTTTAATTGTTATATTTAATGGTGAATGGCTTCGTATATTTTGTTGATCATATGTCTTAAAAGAACGTATCCTGACATACAACATGCCTTTGTCAAAGTGTAATAGTTTAAAGCGAACGCAATGTTGTGATTCTATCCATGCAACATGCACACGTATTTTGTACTGTTTTATCTTCCATACACGTTTAGAGCAACTTAATGTAAACTGTAATTTCTCCAACATAGCATAATTAAAATCTGTATTCGTAGTTTCTTTTTTATACAAAAGTTGTTATTCAACTAATCAACTTGCATATAATAATTGCATGCCGAATTGAATGAAAGGCAGTTATTTGTTGCCATGGTAACATATATTTGCGGAAATGTGTTAGGATTTTATTATATGTTCATATATTTTGTCAGTAGGAATGTGAAGTCAGTCTAAACAGTAATTGTTAACTTATTGGAATACGGGCGAACGCCGTCCACAAAAAAGTTGGAGACTAAAATGTCATCAACAATTCTGGTGGTGACATAATATACATCACATGGAAGTAATTGTCATTTACAAGGGTTGTTCAAAAAGTTTTGCACAAGTATATATAATTGTGAAATTAATGGACCAATCTTGTTCATAGTTGGTAGGTATGACCCTATATTTTATTTCCTTTCACTAAACATTTTACGGATGCTATAGTAACCAAGGTGATGGCGCTATGGTCCATATCATTTTGTAAAAGATAACAAGTAATACAATGTCATAAAGATCAATGTTACTAAACATGCTAAATTAACTTGACATAAACTTTCACCTTAAATGTAAACAATTTCTAGTGTTGTTCTCATGGAAAATGTGAATCTTATCTCAATATTTTCCATCTTGTTTTCTTTGGTTATGCCAAAGAATGACCGTAAACATACTCTTCAGACATCTAGAACAAATCACCTGCTTTTATGACCTTATCAAAGTTATCATGAATTCAGGAAATACTGGAGAATATGGCTCGAAATAATAAAGTTGGAGCAGAAAACTTTGATCGAATACATGATAAAGAATGGGGAAACAGTATTACACAAGTTATATTCATTCATGCATATGCATATTCAATGACTCCAATAGGCATTGCTAAATATTCAAAGATGGAATTAGAGAAGGGAAAATGTATTGAGGGTAGCTGTAGTTATGAGAAGGCTTGATATGCTATAGGTAGGATGGTTCAGACATTTACTTATGGAAAAGGAAGACTACGTGTTAAGTACTATATATTTAGGTGAAATATAATAAAATTAGCTTTAACATAGCCTGACTAACAGCTGAAAGAACAAAGATTAACTGAACCATTTCAGCCTATCAAGGCATTCACAAAATCAATTCAATTTAATGACGTCTTATGGACCATGGACCCATTCATGGTACAAATTTTTAAATCACTTTATCTCAGGAAATATTTTGCTTATGGTCCTGAAATGTCATATAAGTTTGTAAGAAGGGTAATACTATATCCGTATTTCACATAAAAATGATAAAATCTCTTCTCTTGAGAAGCTTTTGTGTAAAACATTTCGAACGACCCTTGTATGTGGCAACGTAGCACAACAATAGACAAATGTTATATATAATATATAACAGAGTGGTCCAAAAAATCATTTACACTTTTTATTGCATAGCATTTTCTAACAATATAAGAATTTCCCATTTTTTCATAAACATGTCCTACAGACATGTACGGTTTGTGTTGTGTACGTTATATTATCATATATCGCTGTAAGCACAGATTAATAGTTTGTAATGTTCTCAATCCAAGCCCCTTGCATACACTGTAATATCCCTGTCCATATTGTCATAAGGAATTCTCCTGATCTCTGTTTTAATATTCTTTAGCTCATCAATAAATATTGATGGATATTAATGACGGAGGTATTCAAGTGAAGCATTGGTGTAGTGCAATGTTGCTTCATCTTGCTGATAGATAACAGTATCCATGTCAACCCATCACTTCTGTCCCAGGACCGGGATGAATTTTCTTCTCATAACTTAAATGTATAAGTCCATGTTCATAGGAAATGAACGTCTATTTGCATCCTCAATCCAGCATGACCCAGTATAACCATTATGAACGTTCACCAGTCAAATTCAGTACACCACCTGTTTAATGATGATGGTCAGAAGGCCAAATCTGAGCAAATTGTGCATTTTCTATTTGTTGAAGGTCATTACATACACGTACTTAAACGTGCAATTAACTATAGCGATTCAACACCAAAGAGTTTGGATTGAGCAGATCACAAACTATTGTTCCATGCTCTCATTAGGGTGGCATATCAAAACAAAACTACATATTATCTAAGACAGGTCTATGAAAAAATGGGAAATTTTCCTGTCGTTAGAAAACGCTACGTTGTCAAAAGCGTAAATGATTTTTTGGACCACCCTGTGTATTTTACACTCTTTATCGATCATTACACATTACCAACCATTATTGTATTACAAATCTTAAACGTTAATGTATTTTAGTATTTACACGTTTTTTTGTAAACAGTCAAGTATTTGACGAATTATCCTACACAAAAAATCAACCCAATGATAAACCCAACTACGTTTGTGTTAATATCCCATCTATATAAGAAATGTAGACTACACTTTCATATTCCAAGACACCATCACTATATATCTAAATGTTGTTAAAATCGATGAAAATTTCTTGTAAAATGGAGTTAGTTAGTACAGAAGAGCTACAGTACTGAGATGATACATAAATAGTGTAAAAGCCTAGGAACGTGATATCAGCTGCAGTTAACAGGAAAGGATGAATGCAGTGCTTAGTATTTTAGTCAAGGAATGACACACATCCATGTCCAATTACCTATTTCTGATGCGTTGTATAATGCGAATAAAATGACAGATAATGAAAGTCATGCATGTTGTCAACAATTATGACAACAATAATCTTAACAAATGTTTAAAGTGTGATAATTGTACACCAGTGACTTTTGACCAACTCATTCAATGATACATTTTTAGTATTATATGTGTGTCCATAATAAGAACTGGAGGATGCCATTGCAATTTGATCAACAACTGTTAAGAGAATGTTTTTGAAAACACAAAATTCTATATAATTCTATATGTAATAATAAACAAGACAATGATTTATAATTTAGTACTTTACAAAAACTTTACAAAAGCAAGTCCTAATATTTATTCACTAAACGTAATTTCCTCGGTACTAAGCAAAATGGGTTCTAGTAATCAAATATCTACTATCTATAAACATCATATTACCTCCAAAATATGATCCATCGGAAAGACTAGTAGCCACTTCTCCATCCTTAGTAACAATATCTACTATGCCTTCCTGAATGAAGAACATCTTAGTACCCATGGTGCCCTCTTTAATAATGTAATCCCCTGGTTGGAATACTTCATACTTAAGCTTCTGAACTACTTCAGACACAAAGTTGGGGTCAGCGTGAGTAAAGAAGGGTACCGATGCTACCAAAGCCCTGCAGTTGTAGTTTATAACCTCCTAAAATGTAAAACATCGAGTTGTTTCTATTGAACTGTTTGGCATCATATGAAAACAGGTTTTGGATATGATTAGTTATCAATCAAGTTAAAATAATTATTGAATGATATATAAAATAATAGGGGATGAGTTTATTTGACAATGAATTGCTCTTTTTGGACATATGATGCTTCACAATGTTTCCATTTCTTTTAATGTTATTACTCATTAGCTAATGTATTAGATAGTTAATTACATTACTATTTCTGCACAAGTTATTAGTATATCATATATATTGGCACTATATTGGCATATCATTTGTACATACCTCCTTAAGGCATTCTGACAGCTCATCTAGGATACTTTCTTCGTCAAACATCTTTCCTTGAAATCTATGCTCATAGTATTCAAGGATTCGCTGTCGCAGACTTCTTGGTAGTTTGCGGTAGATCATATATTCTTCAACTTGCTTACACTAAAATACAATAATGCGACTTTGACTCATGATGTGATCTTTTCAAATACAATACCATGAAATGAACTGATTTACTTCCAAATATAAAATAGGTGAAACCCTGCATCAAAAAGTCATGTAAATGTATGCATTTTGAACTTGTGCATGTAGTGTTGTTCGTATATCTTTAAACCCTGTATACACTCAAGAATGGCTTGTTTACCATAATTTTGATTGCACAAAAATACACATACAAGTACATTTATTGTAAATTATGTAGTTACAGTACTTTGATCAATGGTTAATAGGATTGCTGAGAATAAGTTATAAGTATAAATCATATCTATAGTTGGTCAATTTTTTTACATTTACTCACCTTTTCCCGATATAGTCTTTTAGATGTATCGAACTGTTGTATAAGTGTTGTTGCATGACCGACAAAGAGAGCATAACATGTGGCACCAGTCAGCATGCTTACCATAGTCAGCCATACATCAGTCATACTTTTAGGAGGAAAACGACCATAACCTATGCATAGCATATGTGAGAGAGCCTTGAACAATGCCCATGTGTATTGTTCCCACCACAGTGCATCCTGGAAAAAATAACTTAATATTGACTCTGTAATTTTGTAAATGAGTTATTTGTTACACTTATGATAAGCTGTGATATACAATATGTTTTTCAGAAAACTTCAAATACATGTATGCACCCTCCTCCGCATGCACATTGGAAACGAAATTCTTCAAGATATATTATTTTCAGAATTTTATTTTCAAAAGTACAACTGTATTCCCCATGGATTTTGACTTATTTGAATCTCATTGAATCATACATAGATGAAATTGCAAAATTTGACATTCCTATTTAACGTCTACTAAGTACCAACGGAGTATCAGATGACGATTTTAAATATGGTATGCCAAATGATTTCTGGCAATGGCGTGGAGATTCTGGAACTACACTTGAATACTATTTGAATACTAAATTTCAATACAAACATTAAAAGTGACAGTTTAGATCACATTGCCTCATACAAAAAAACAAGCAATAGTGCTTTGTTGAATATCTACGTTATGTGTTTAAAAGACTTAATCTACATCTGTTTTGTCATAACATCCCTTAGTATTTCTTGGATTAAAATTACAACATGTATAATGAGGCGTTTGTACATAGCTTTAATGAAAGAATTTCGCTTTCAAAGTTATAACAGAGCAGGGTGCATACGTAAATATCACTTAGAGCATTTGTTGTATTCAATGAAGTACAGTACAGTTTGGACGCTATTTATCTTGTATATACATTATAATAAAGCAAACACTATCATTATACTTTTAATACAACTATATATAGTTGCATAACATTTCATTGTCAACAACTGTTTGCTGACAATGATAAAACATGTAAGAACCATCTCTGGCATTTTCTCTACTCAAGTCGAAAATAATCACTGATCTCTACACTTACAACATTAATTTGGAAATTATATTTATCAACATATAGCAACAAGAATAAGAATAATGTCTATAGCGTTACTACAATAATAGGGGTTATATTAATTTTAGTTTTGTGAAATAACTTTTTTATCGTGCAAGGGACGGTGCCAAACCGCTATTTATGTTAACAACATTTATACTCTTTCATAAGACAGCATGCTTCAATAGAAAATGTTCTTGCATGTTCAATTGCCTATTGTTATTAGAATCAGAGTTATATTACGTACTATTATTAATTTTCATTACAAAGCAACTTGAATTTCTTTCTGCAGTCTGAAATCATCACGACTCTCCCTGCCCTCTCTCTACTAGGGAATGAAAAGTGTATATGTGAGTATTGAGACCCCTTATTTTCTTACTTCTAGGTGGCATTTGCGTGAAGACATGCTAACACATGCTAAAACTTACGATTTAGAAAATCAAAAAATCTAGTAATCAAGGATTTGAATCACTTTTAATGTAACTAGCGTTTAAATTTGAGATGATACTGTGAATAGAATTCAATATTCTAATTTAACAAGTTTTTGAATTAATGTCCTTAATGTTCGTTTCTGGACAATAACAGGAATCTATATGTGTGAATATGACAGTTTGAAATCTGAAGCATGATAACATCGACCAGTTTCAAATTCTTTACTTAGATGATATTATCACTTATTGCCCGTATGCATCTTTGAAGTCAACAGGGGAAAAATTGAAAATAGATATAAGAAATAAATGAATCTTCGAAACTTCTCAAAATGCCATAGGTTTATATGGTACATACACAGTTCATTCAGATTATATAAAACTAAGTGATCTGATGATAAATGTTATCATATACTTAGATGACATCATTTATTGTAAAATTGAAAATGTCAATGAACCAGAAATGTTTTTGTATATATACAGTATTTTCAGACACTATTAAACATACTGATCTTATGTACAATGTTTTCATTTATTTAGATGGCATACTTTATTGCAAGTATATGTCTGTAAAGTCAAATGGGAAAATAATTCAATGAACCTTCTTCAATGCTTCGAAATGCAAGGTGAATATAATCGGATTATTAAGATGGTAGTCTTCTTTTCAGGATGAATCTTGTGAAAACAGTAAGAAAGAAAAAAGAAATCTAATGCAAATATTGATATACATCAAAATATATATGTATATAAACTGGAGAATTGGAAAAGTTAGCACATGGGTACATGCAAAATACCTTCAATTGTAGCTCGATATAAATTATACGAAAATGTCCAGTGAATAAAAATTAAGTGTAAGTTATTATAAAAATGAGGAAAATGTAAACGACCAACATATGGCATAATGTACCTTCAAGTTGGTAAGTAAGTGACAAACTTAAATTCTCTTCTGTGGCTCTGTGAGAGGTAAATATACATTTATTAATTTCAGTCGTTTTTTACAATTAAATTTACAAGACTCAAATAATTCAGCTGTATCTATTATATTAACTATTTTTATCTAGGGAATTATTCTCAACTAGTGGTTATACTGAGCATGTACATACAAGGTATCTATAATCGTGTGTACCTCATACACAGTCTATACAAAGGCAACTACTACCGTCTGGCCTTGAGCAATAGTCTATTTAATGATCAATTTTGCCATGTTTGCAATTTCATTCCTGAAAGAATTCAATTGCTACATTAATGGATCACTAATTGTTCATAGTGTCCATAAATAATGAAGTAGAAATTGTAAGATCCCTGTATAGACCTGCAGAGATGGCACAACCAAAATCAAGTTCAATTATGTCAATGAAACGTGGCTAATGATTTGGCACAACGAGCACAGCAGTGGGGTGATATTCTGGTAGTCCTAACAGTTGATACCGTACCTCTAATTCATTAATGGCAACCCATGAGTTGGAGGGGAAGTCTTGGATCATAGGCACGAGGTACTGCAAGCAACCGTTCCAATGCCCCAGGAGTAACATCAGTAATATTAAGTTGAAAAATCCCATAAACATGCCTGCGTAGTTGAGAAACTGTAAAGATGTAAAGGCACATACAGTACAGACATGCTTCTACTCCGAAACAAAGGCATCTACAATATTGATATACAAAACACCTTTGCAAAAACGTAAATTACCAAATCGGTGCTACATTAGTCAGTACATGAATTGTACTGATTATATGTAGTTCAGATTTTGTGCAAAGATTTTTTGTAGGTCGTGAACATTTACTTCACCATACACCACGAATGATTGCTGAGCGAACTCGTTTTCTGTAACATCACCAGCACAGCAATGTTTCACATAATTGACCCTTACCCGAAAATTCATTTTGTTACGTTTTTTGGCGTTCTTTGGATATTCTCTGGTTGAAATACATTTTATCATATCAGTAGTCTCGAGAATATCACTTGTTCATGCAGCTACGTTGAAACCCCTTGCATCTATGTTGAACTAGCCATGCATAATACAACACTCATTAGAAATAACTCTATGTACACAAATGCAAGATGTTTAAAGCTAAGCTTTGTTTACTCTCACGTCTGTGTATCTGATGCCATGTAAATTTTCCAATTTGATTGGTTTCTACTAGAACAGACAACCAAATAGACAGTCTGTGAAAAATATTCTGATTGGTAACTGGTACACGTGTGTGTGAGTGAACTGCATAGGAACATGTTACTGATATAAGCTGTGCTGCAATGGTAGAAGTCGAGCACGCTGTCGTGACAGCTGGCAACAGGAAGAGGGAACCCAGGTGACATTGTTTTTTCAGTTACCTGTAGTTCATTTATTGCAACCCATGAATCTGGTTGAAAACCTTGTAGCATCGGCACAAAAAACTGCAGACACCCCGCCCAGTGGGCAAGTAGCAGTATCAAACATACCACATTGAAGATTCGCATAAACATACCAAAATTGATAAACTGGAAAGATAAGATAAAGCATTGTCAACATAATTGATCACCTTAAGGTTCCAAGTCACGTTCAACCCTTTATTTCATAAACTTAGCAATCATAGATGGTAAAGGTTTGACACTTTATTCTCTCCTGTTTATTTCGATTAGAATATACAGTGTAAAATGATATTATATATTTGAGTAGATTGTTAAGTTAATGAAACTAGAGCTATGTTACCGATAATATGTTATTGTATAATAGCAATAATGTATCGCTGATATGTTAGCAATAATATATCGCTGATTTGCACCATGAGTTATGATGTAATGTGTGTGTAACGCTTCAATGCAATACTGCCGCAAAGCGTAAACTGCATGAAGGAACCAACAAATGTTTCCTTATACGGCTCTCTTAATAATTGAAATCAGGGGTTTTCTAAAATATAATGTACATATATTGGACGGGGTGGGGTTATCAGCCAGCATTACATACATTCTCCAAATTGCATCTAATATACATGATCATGAATAAAAAATATATGATAAAATAACACTTTTTCAAAATGATTTATAAACATCTGTCACGAAATAATCACTGAATGAACGATACAAAATCGCATGCTTCTATATTGTACAGCTAAAACAAATAGGCAAATCAAATAGGCAAAACGAAGTCACATAATCTATAAGCAGTCATGTCCTGCAAATGCATGTTAACAAATACAGCTTATTTAGTTAAAATCGCAGGGAAATTGACAAAATGGACCCTACCAGTTTCAAGTATAGAAAATGCAGTCACAATACGGAGGTGAAGGTATTGTTAAGAATGGTTGAAGTCTATATAACTATCTACTTGGCAAATAATGAAATAAGGCCACGTGCTATAACATCTGCAAAGTGAACAAACTCAAATAACGTAACAAAATTTAATATTTAAAAGCAGGATAAAATTGGTACACATTTCTTTAGGCAATGTCTCTATTCCATGTGCCTTTCCACGACCACACTTCACTGTGTATGAAATAAATCAGAGGTGCAAAGATACATGGAATAAAATATCATATTGCAAAGGCAAAAAGAAAAAGTAATCTGATAAGTGGTGTGATAACTCCTTTATTACCAGAAACCTCAAAGCTTTAACTTCTTATGATCGTGTCCTTTTTTGTGAAGTAATAGTAACATAACAGTAATATTATCAAGGACATTTTACAAAGATAGTAAAGCAATGATGTTTTGTTATGATTTCCTCTGGATACGATGCATATTCTCGCTTATAGCATCCACTTCTATCTAACCTACTCAGTATGAAGTACCTGATTGTGCGTGCGCATGTTTAAGGCCAACTATAACAAAATTCCATATTAATATGCGCGTTAACATCTAAACTTTTAAGTTTAACGTCTAAACTTTACATATATGATTTTGACATTTAAAAAATAAACGCCAAATTTACATTTTCTGCCTTATAGTGCTTGCTATTAGTTTCATATGTCACTAATAGCCTTCTTGTGAACGAAAGGTAATTGTTAATACCGCTACGAAAACTTGACGTATATAACTGGCAATGGCAGAGAATGTACATTTAGAGTTGGTGTAGTATTGGGTGTGCACACTTTGTTATAATTCAGTCCAATATGCAAAAATATATCGCGTACATTTCGGATGAGAATATTAACAAGGAGTGATTTGTGTGTGTATTTGTAATGTTGTGCAAGTGTTAGTAGGCTTTAGATCACTAGAAAGCGTATGTTTCTGAACTTGCCGTGCATATATGGTCCTGATTTGTAAGTCATCAAGAATCAAGGTCGATTACATGACTTTAGTGAAATGACAATGCTCTACAAGCGTTCTGCCTTTTAACACATTCCAATCTCCTGCCAAAGCCACGTTGTCGGCATAATCATTGTCGTTCATTAACTGTTGTCTAGATATTTTAGAAGTTTGGCTAACAAATGCGTTTTGGAATGTGTTACATGCAGTTGAAATTAGCGATTAGAAAGAGGTGAAACAAACCTGGTCTAAACTTTCGTCACTGGATAGTCAAGGGTATTACAGTTATTTGGGGTAGAGTAGGTAGTTGAAGGTACTAACACGGTTACATAAGGTTCCAAGAAAAGGGTATGCAACTTCCCAGTTTACACATACGAGCATTGCCTGAGTTTTCAAAGTGTAAGAAAATGCTTCCTGCACACATTCCCAAAATTCCTATTTTTTGTTTTCCACACTATAATGTAAAAACTAAGAAATAAAAACAGATGATTTGCAAAATTGAATATAATGCAAAATGGTATTCGGTTGCGCAATAATGCATTTCATGTGTATTTGCTGCACAATAAAAACATGGCAAAAAGCAAAATATATGATGAGTTGCATGTGGTTCAGTTCTTCAGAACAAAGTAAGGTCAAGAAAGAAAAAACATGTCAAGATTGAGGTTTGTCTAAAAGAAAATTAGAATTTCTGCGGTCAGATGCTTTTGCAGTCACATTTACTACGGCAACCGCACGGCGAATTTTAAGGTTCTTATATTAGAAACAGTGAAAAGCATACCCTTTTCCAGAAAGCAAATCACGGTTATAAGGGTTGGTTAGAAGGGATAGTAGGTAACCAAGGGTATAAAACGGTTAGTAGGAGTAGAAACCGGGATAAGGTTATTATACCGATATAAAGTTATCAACACTTATATTAATAAAAAGGATAAAATATGGGAATTTAAAAGGATTTAAATGCTTTTATTTTATCATTTTAACTAAAATATTTCAAATAAAATTAGCATAGTTTGGTAAAGCAATCAATGAGAGAATCAATAGATAAAGCAATAGAATTGTAAAAGGTATTTTCTGTTATATCATCTATTTAATATTGCACATTATATACATTGTTAGATATTTCATTAATATATATTTATTAATTTAGGAATTGTATAAATAGAAGTACTAAATAGGTTAAATAATCATAAATGATTAAACATACGCATGCCGCACTAGTAATGTCTATATTTTAGTTTTATACTTACATTAATGAGTTCTCCAAAATGCTATGACTATTCATTAGCTAAGCATTAGTTTAATAATTTTTGGCATTGGTTTCTTGACTTGGCATACTATACTAAAAGCGTGCTTATGTGTGGATAAGGCCCCGTTGCAGTTTCATGTTACACATATAGACAGCCAACGACATCAATGTTGACATTATGATAGTTGAACAGTTTAGACAAGAATAGACCTGTTTTTGATGGAACACCATATTCATATTTTGAACATCAAGCAGATGAGCCCAAATGGTACGTACAACAATATGAAAGGCAGTTATACATGCTTGTACAAAATCATGACATTCTCCCATAGCACACGGCATTCAATGCTTAAAAATATGTGAATGTGAGTTTAAACCAGTGAATAAAGCATATCAACAATATTTTACGACGTTGTGAATAAGGAGCCTTATCTAGATGTTTTAGCAACCTTACTTTGATATAACATGGTTAAATATTGTTGACAAGGCCAGGGAGAACGATGACATATTAAAAGGGAATGTTCCATCTATGTAGGGTAAAGAAGGAGGTCAGAAGTGACCAGCGGGTATACTAGATATAGGATATAATGTGTTCACAACACTCAAAGCTCTGAGTATGGGTAGATCATGAAACTGCAAGGAGCTGTGTATGCACTCTCCAGTGGTTGTGACAGGGGTGTGCTGTCAGTAGGAGAGTGTGAATGCGAAAAACAGAAAGGTCCTAACCCCGCTTACCTCCTCCCATTGTGACACGTATCGCACTAGACGCGACAACCTGAGCAAACGCAGCAAACTGAGCAGTTTGACCAATCGAAATACTCTCAGAGCACGACCTATGGACAGAGATATAGATTCAAATCAAAAATAGAAAGATAAAACACATCAAAACCCGGACCATCAATTAATCATAAAAATGAGAGCTTGATGTTTTAACGCAATGTCTTAAATCCAAAGTTAGTCAGGCATTTGGAGGCCAGCATTATCTCGATTGAAACAGGCTTATTTGACTTTTGATATTGAGTGTAATGATCTATTAGATGAATTGATAGTCCTTGAAAGAGAATGATCATATCTAGAGAAAATCAAAGTGTTGCCAAAAACAACATCGCAAGCAACATATAGCCAGAGCCATTGGTGACGTTTGGAACAAATATGTATATTATTGCATCCATTGTAACTAATTTAGTATTTCCATTGTACTTTTAAGAACTGAGTTCAACATAAAGATGTCAGTGAAAATCATTTCGAGACCAATGCAATTTAGAAGAGAATCAACTGTATCGAAAATATATTTTAATCTTGCATCGGGCTCCTGTACATTGTATTGGATATGGAAGTCCACTGACTGACAAAATAGGTGATCATACTGATGCTGGGTGATCGGAGACGTTATGCAAGATTACAATGATTTTCTACGATACACAAACAAGTAAATGTCTCATCATTGAGGCAGTTTCAGAGTTGGTTCGAGTCTTTGATAAGCCTTTTTAGCATATTTGCTCCAAATTTGCATAATAAAAAGACATGCCGACCTCCTGCCAGTGAATGTAGTATCGTACAAGACGAGATAGACGCAGCAATCTTGTAAGGGGAATGACTCTTATAAGTTTGTGAAGTTTGGTTGCTCTGAGTATGGAACCTACCAATAATATGACAATCTTATGAAACGCTCTCTTTGGACAATAAAACCATTTATCAAAATATTAGTATTTGCACATAAGTTAAGAAGACATAAGCACATTAATATGATGATGTGTCAAGAAAGCATTTAGCCATTAGCCAATCAAAGCGAATAGAATCATCGCCATTACCCCAACCACTGACTTTGTGGAGGCAAAAGTTGGTGCAGTTAGTTCACATAGTTAGGCGCTAGTTCACCGTGTTTATATATTGCGCAATAAGTTGTTTAAGGAATGAAGAAGTTCCACAGTTGATCAGGGTTTGAGGATGTTTCGCAGTTGCGCCAGGGTTTGAGTGTTGCGCATTTGTTTGGGAATATTGAACAGTTCTTTAAGGGTTTGAGAATGTTGATCTTGAGCAGTTGTAAAAGAGTTTAAGATGTTGCGCGGTTGTTTTGGATTTGAGAATGCAGCGCAGATGTCTAAGAGTTTGAAAATGTTGAAGAGTTGGTTAAGAGTTCGAGGATGTTGAATTTGAGCAGTTGTTTAAAAAATTGGGTATGTTGCGCAGTTGCTGTTGTTGAGGATGGGTTGTTCGAGGACAAATGGGGTTGCTGAAGTTGTTGAAGGGTTTGAGGATGAGGTGTATTTTATTAATCAGACGCTGGTTTGTCTCGCTGAACTGCGTGCCGCGCTGGAGCTCTTGAATCATAGCTCCCATTTCCCGGCTTCCGTTTGCATATATCCTTCACTATCATAATGGAATGGTAAATCTTCGCAAGATGTATCGTAATGTAACAACTCGATATAAATCTTCAAGTATAGTGTACCTTGACAATGAACTAAAGGGCTACAAACACAGATCAAACATATATGTAATATGTATACATAAGATACTTTTGTGAGATTGATTAAATAATTATGAATGTATATCTTAAAAAAGAGCTCACCTGCGTGGACTAGTTGATTGTAATTATTATCAGGAGAGAATATGAGTAGAATATAGTCGAGCGGCAATGAGCTAACCAAATCGAGGACAAACCAAGTCTTCAAATAGTGTATTGCTATTCTTTTTGGTTCCAATATAATTTCATCTGCAAAATCGTTGGCTATGACACCTGGAAATAAAGGAAAATAGCATAAGTCAAGTCTACAGTATATCAACTCAGTCATATCAAATGACACATGGGAAACAAATCCCTTCTTTCAGACTATGGGACCAGCATCAGCCCAATTATATAAGAGACCTGAAGGACAGCATTAGCCCATCATATCAGATAGTTCAAGAATATAATTAATCCAATCACATCGGAAAGTACAAGGGCAACATTAACAAAACCATTATCAGAGAGAATAAAGGATACGTGAGACCTGTCATAGAAGATAGCATAGGAGCAACATTAGCCAAATCGTATTTGAGAGCACATGAGCAATATAAGCCACATCGTATCAGATAGCACAGGAGCAACGACCAATTTTAGCCAAATCATATTTGAGAGCACAGGAGCAACATTAACCACATAACATCAGATGACACAAGGATACCATAAGCCCAGATATATCAGATAGAGCAAGGGTAACATTTGTCCAGACATATCAGAGAGGTATAAGGAGCATCAAGGTCAGGATCAATGTTAGCCAAATTGTAAAAGAAAGCACTGGAACAACACTAGTCCCATTAAACCAATGAGACATGGGATACATTGACCCAAATATATCAGAATGCCCAACAGCAATGATAACCAAAACTTCGTAATGCAGGATTTCTAGAGGTGTTTCACAGGCACCATCTCCTTCGTTACGAAGCTATTTTGTCACAATGCTTCGTAACAAAGCACTCCAATCCTGCTATGTACCAGTTACTAATGGCAACATTAAACCCATCGTTACAGACAGCCCAGGGGCAATATTACAGGGCCCCACCAGATCGTATAGGGACAACTTTAACCCCAAAATATCGGACAGCACAATGGCAGCATTAGAGCCATATATCATATCAGATAGCACAAGGGAAACATTAGCCATATCAAATACTAGGTTATACGTTCATCTTAAAGTACATAACCCTACTATCACACCAAACTAGTTTTCACTACGTTCTCGAAAACGGGCTTCGACTGTGTACGAACGGACTGGACGTACTTAGAACCGTTTAGGGTCTGTTTACAAACTTCATCGAACGTACTCGAACGGGTAGGTCCTCTAGAACTTGCTCAAATTGTTCTCGTGGTCGATACGTTCTACAATTAGAACGAGTGACAACCTACTAACGACGAGCTGGACGTACTACGAGCGGAATCGTCGTACTTCGATTCTACTAAGGACGTTTTTACAACGAGTTGAACTGTCTGAGGATGTATTTAGAACGAGGTACAACTAATTGCAAACGGGTTTAAACTGATTAAGAACGTATTTAAGACTGCTTATGAACGAGTTAGCAAAAATGTAGCTATCACACCAAACAAGTTGCCACTGCGTTCTTCAAAACTGGTTTTAAACTGTGTGCGAACGGAATGAATGTAGGTACAACGTTCTACGGTCTGTTTACGGACTTCATGGACTTTCTCGGACGGGGAATGTGATTTAGAATTTAGAATCGATTCAAAATTCGATGGCGACCATACCGTTCTGTAATCAGGTCATGATGACCTTCTAGATTAAGGGACGCGTTATACGACGTTGCACACCGACGAAGTGCGACCTGAACGAACTGCGAATGCGATGGACGTATTGAAGACTGTGTATGAACGAAGTAGCTAATTATTTTAGACATATTTCACGACCACAGCCAGCCGTTTTACGACGTTTTCGTAGGACTGGCAAGAACGGGTAAGAACTAGTTTGGTGTGATAGGGGGGTTAGATTTACATTAGAACTACATTAATTTATATGAAAAGCGCATTGGATAAAAAATGCATTTGATAAGCAGCTCATCAGATGTCGAGTATATCAAATGCATATAAGCTTGCCTGCTTCGAGTAGATAGTGACGCAATGTTATGTAATCATGAAAAAGTACCACATCATGAAGAATCCCGAGCTCATTACTTAAATTACGCAAAGATGAGAGAGGAGCTTGCTAAAAGTTTCTATAGGAAGTTCAAACGCAGATTATTAATATATGACATCCGTTATAAGTTTCTTGTCATCACTATGATTGATATTTAAGATCAAACGACAGTTGAAGTTCTCTCTTGGTTTCTCGAACATTAAAGATAGCGCTAATCCTCCATCCCTTGATTGAAATTATGATACTCCCCCGAATCCTTCTATTTCAAGAATACTGAAATATGCTCTGAGTGGAATAAAATTACCTTCGGAAATAATAGTAGGAGTTGCTTTGCATTAGAGTATGGATGTAGGAGTTTTGATATTGAACTGTATTGTTTGCTGGTAAATAGGACTATATATTATAAAATCAAAGCTTCGTCTTCTGTCATGCTGCATTGCATGAGCTCAAAACACAGATCTTCGAGTTGGGTTCGGATAAATCGTGCGCTCCCATGCAAGCTAATGACATCCCACGTAATTCTAGTTTCTCCCGGCGTGTGGGATCAGGGAAAGAACCTCAATATGCAATGGATTCTTCTGTATTGAGACGGAAGAAGGCTTTCCAAGAAAAACGCAACACGACACAAAGTTGAATAGTCTCGATATATCGATCTCATTTCCATCAATTTGCACTATTTTATAGAAAGTTAATAACCCAAGATGGACTGACGATAAAGCTTTCACGAGACATCAAAGTTGTTCAATAGTTAATAAGCTTCTCACAACTGCCACAATGCAACCAAACTGTATTAGAAGAAATACACGAGTGTTCATTAATGGTGATTAGACAAGACGATATCCCTAATTAGTTTACTTGCATTCAATTAAGTGTCCGCATTTTATGTTTTCCGAGTTTGGGTTACAGGAAATCGTATTCATTTATCAGAATTGCTGCAGTTGATGGTTCTTGCTGATCAGTTTTATGCAGTTATAATTGGAATGAATGACCCTGAGAGAGGTGAACCTAATGATGTTTATTTGCAGTTAATGACAATTCTTAGATCGCTTGGCTTGGCAGTTGACATCATCATTTTGCTGAAAGATGTTTCATAAATCCCAATTTTGCTTGACATTCTCCAGAACTATCGATCAAAATGTCAATCACTTTGAGAATCAATGGAGCAAGGTTGGCCTGACACACAAACTAAATCGATACAGTGCATTGCATTATACGTCAAAAGTCATACAATCAATGAACATGTTGTTAATGCAGTCAAGAATGGGAAGAAACAGTTAAGAGGATACACCATGAACCCAGCATTGATCAGAGTAAGCCTTACATATAAACTGATGAAACACACATATTACTGAGGTAAACATAGCCATGTTTATTGAATATAAGACCCCTATAAGCAAAACATAGCAATGGGTGTCCGATGAGACGGTAACAGAATGACGATAAAATGATGATCTAAAGGCAAGGAACTGAGATGCAGGGCCAAACAATCGCACACGATAGTAACTCAACCAAAGAGTCTTTAGAAAACCGCCAATTGTAACTTGTCAAATTCAAATGATGTACAAAGTACCCCAGTTTCACACGTATATAGGTCAAGTTACATTTCGGAAATCCATGAGGCCAATCTGAGATTAAACTTTAAGATGTACATATCATTCAATCATCATAAGTAATTTATTCAAGTACATTTTCTTGGCAATTTGTCAGACTTTGGGGTTCTCCTGAAAACCTTTGGAAGCCGCTAAAAGCTCGAGGCAGTAATTTATAGTCGCGACCCAATAATTAATAGCTTTATTTTTCGTCTAATCAACATACGAGGGGTGATCAATAAGTTATGGACGCTTTTTTACACAGATACTTTTTATAGACCAATCCCTTTGATTTTCCTACCAGTAATACATCATTCAATTATCTATCAATTCTGAAGATTTGAAGACAAGATATATAATACATATTGATATATCCTTATTTCCGTGAAGGAGGTACAGGTACCCCGGGACCGACATTTACGTCACATATTCAGATTTTAGCCAGTTTGGTAAATTTCAGTTAGATTTGAACGTTTTATATGCAACAAGTGTTGTGTTGTTTAAAAAATGTTGCTGACTGGTAACACATAAACAGAAAGTATTGTAATGTCAGAGTGTTGTATGGAAGGGGTTTGCAGGTCAATTTGAGAAAGGATTCAGTGGAAGAAAGGGGTGGTGAGAGAAGGGAATACCCTACTCCATATGGACAATGCACCTGCCCACAGATCTCAAAATGTTCAGAAAACAATATCCCTGGACCTCAAAATTGAGCCCTTGGCCAATGCACCATATTGTCTAGATTTGCTCATATGTGACTTGTTTATTTCTATACTACTTATTTCTATAGAGAAAGGACGCAGGTTTATTGACATTGATGAAATAAAACAACCCGTGCAACTGCATCTTGCTACCATGACAGAGAATGGATTCAGCCTTGTCTCACAATCTTGAGTTAAGAGGATGAGGAATTGTGTACATGTAGCACTTGATGGAAACTATTTAGAGGGCCCTGTGGAATGAATGTGGCATGAATATCACATAGTGATGATAAAATATTCAAAATTATTACATTATTACTATACTATGGCATAACAAAATGGGTTAATTCATGACCATAATGGTTTGTTTTGTTCAGCCTGCATTCAACTGCATTGCATGTTAAACAATCTATAAAATAGCTTCAGAATATGTGACGTAAATGTCGGTCCCGGGGTACCTGTACCTCCTTTACGGAAATAAAGATATATCAACATGTAATGTATATACTGTCTTCAAATCTTCAGAGTTGATAGATAATTGAATGATGTATCACTGGTAAGAAAATCGAAGGGATTGGTCTATAAAAAGCATCTGTGTAAAAAAGCGTCCATTACTTATTGATCACCCCTCGTATACACCATTTGGAATCGTTACAATTGATTTAATTGATTTACCATTGATTTGCTCGATTTCAATACGCTCTAAGTTTTTTAAATTGTGATTTAAATTTTTTCAAAATAATGAAGCAAACACTTTAGTCATTGACATCCTTTTCTCGAGCTCACTTGTGTTGTGTGAAGCGTCCAATTTCGAATAGGGACAATAGTGGTGGTTGCAAAATATATAAGCAATGAAAAAACAACGAGATATATTTTATAATCAATAGTCAGTATTTTGATAAAAATAATAAATACTGTAATGATTTTATTAACCCTAAACCCCAATCCCAGTCAACTTCATCAAACTAATGTTTAATTCAGATATCCCCTTGCATTTGTTTTCAATAAAGGCTGTTAAATATTTGACCAGTTAATAATTGATATTTCACCTGCCCAACAATACATACATGTGGAATGCTATAATCAGAACTAGACCAATGGTTATAGTCATATAATCAACACATACCTGTCCTAAAATTGATGACTAGATCTAGTAAGAATACTGTATCGGATACACTGTTGAACACAATCCACCTCGGACTGAGATCATCGTTGAAGAAAGAAATGGCTACAGGCAGGATTATCAAGTTTGCGATAAGCAGGATTAGCATAAACAGATCCCAGTAAAACCTGAAAAGAAAATAGTTTCATTATTAATCAGTGATTGAATCATAGGTTCAAAGGATCATACTTTGTTCCCTTCAGCTATTAAGGGATCTATCAGGCATATTTTGGTTAACAAAGAATCAGGTATGGTATGGTAAATGATCTAAGAGAGTCATATTTTTAACCCTGACAATTTTACCATAAATACAACATTTTTGTGTAAATAATGTTTTCTTATTAGTCATCGGAATACTAATACCAACTCTTCTTTGTTTGAGATCATTGTTTGGGATCCCACTCGACACATTTTCAAAATTTCGGACTTATCTTTTAAAAAGTAGACATTCCAATTCTCATGCATTTTCACGATATCAAACGTTTCATTTGCACTATGGCAGAACCTTCTGAAAGGGGAACGGCGATATGTAATGACGTTGAAAACATTTCATGTTATTTTCCCATGTTCTTCATTGTTTTCAGGCTAATATTGGTCATCAAAATATGATCTTCCAAATTAAATGTTCAACTTGATGCTGTTGCGGATAGTAGTTGTGAACAGAGATAACATAATCACAAATATCTAAATAAAGAAGTAAATAACGATGTGTTGTGTGTTGTAATTTGGTTAATAACGGAATCTCACGTAGTGTGGACAGAGTAACACAAATATAATCATGTTAGCTGTGAAATGTAGAGCTTGTGTTTAGTGAATGTTGATTCCATAATATTTACTCAGAGAAAAAGTAATTTGGCATTCCAAACGAACACATCAGACTTAGCTAATATACTTTATTGTGGTATGCAATGCTACTACTCTTTCGCTATTTTTTCTGCATATTGCTAAAATGGTCAAGATACGCGCTTATAAATCAGAATGAGCGAACATTACACAAAACGATGACCCGTTTTTCACCTAAATAAGATCAAAGACTCAGGAAACTCTGAATAACATTTAAATGAATCCGAAATTCAAATCGATAACACTAATATGGCATTATTTTTGCTTCTTTATTCATTAAATTCAAATATATTCGATATATGAAATATTTATATTCGCTAAATCATTTTTCCATTAGGTAAAAACGTTTATATGTTTGTTACAGCAAATTGAGTTTTCAAAATAGCCACTTATGTGCATTAAATTGCATATTTTATTCGCTAAATGACATGTTTTTCGCGTAAATTGTTATGGTATTCCTTAAGAGACATTATATGCACAATATTGAATTTCTGTTTGAACCCTCCTGAAATAAGTTTGCCTATATTTACCAAATGGTTTATTTTTCTATGACATAGTTAATGCATTTACCGAAAGCTAATTTGCTATTTACCGAATGCAATAAAGTAATATTCGATATCTTTCGTTGTTGTTCGATACTTTGTCACGTGACCTTGAGATTTGCAAAATGGTCGCGCAGCTATTCTACATCGTTCAAATATATCACGTGACTGAAAGTTTCGTTAAGTATCGAAAAATAACGAAATTCTTCGAATGTGGCATTCAGTATTTACCGAATATAAATAATTTAAATACCGGAATGTACACATAATTAATTGAATTATACGTGCGTTATAGAAAACAAATTGATTCGGTGCATCACACAAATACATGTATAAATATCAAAAAACTTCGATAGATTGGGTAAAGGTTTGGTACATTGTTCGTTTTATTTGGTATTTATGGAATATTTAATGTACCGAAAAGCAGTTTAAACACCATACACTAATTATAGGTATACGTAAAAAACTGAAAAGTCATTTCATTTTCAGGCGCGATCTTCTTTTAATACCGAGTTACGCCAGTGTGCCATTAAATATACGTCACATAGAATTAGAACAAGTTAGAAGATAAAAAATAATTTTGAATCGTATTTCAATTCTGTTAAGAAGTCCTAGAGTAACGACGTAAGTTTTATATTGATTTGAGATATATATATATATATATATCGTACACCAATTCATTGCCCTTTGGGAGAGCTTGAGTTCGTCTTCCCTCTATCGTTCTTTGATCTAGACCCTTTGATCTTGTTTCTCTTCAATCATCTAGGACAGAATTGTGAAAAACTTGGTGGCGACTGGTTAGTTTTATACTGATTTTTTTTCAGAGGGTAGAATTGCTACTGCTAACCATTGGGTATCCATTTATATTATAAGATTATCCTGTACATTAAGAACTACTTATAACACTGAATATATCTAAATACAACACAATTCCTTGATTAATATATCTTAGAACTCTTCAAATTATTGAATGCAACATAAATGATCTAATATGATGCTGTGGGTCTCCGGGGTACATCTGTATCAATAAAAATTGATCGATACAACTTTGAAATAAATTAGGCTTCCTAAGAAGCTATCAATGGTGAGCGACATCGGGGTCTCATTAGGTTATTGACTAGTCAGTGATTCGATATTACGGAGATTCCCCTCTCTTGACGGATATGCATATGCCAAAAATGACAATTCTATGTGCTCTGTGACACTGACACTAGTTACTTTGACGGAACGTCAATGTAACAAAAGGGATGAACTTCCTGGATACGAGTTTTTTGTTTTCTCGATTTAAACTTACGTATTGTCATGTTGCAAATTATCATTTGATACAAAGTTAGACAATTTAGAACTGCTCTCGGTTTGGAATTTGATTTTTAAATAAATTTAAAGTTGTAATTCATGCATTTAGGTCATCACTTTTGTTAAATTGGCGTAAGTCGTCAAAGTAACATGCATTGGTAATATAACGGACTTTCGTCAATGTAACAAGCGAGGGGTTAAATATACGAATTGCAACTTCATTTACAAGTCAAATTCCAAATCCAAAACGGAACGTCAAAGTAACTAGAGTTGAACATTGTGTGAGTGATTCTGTCATCCAATGAATACTCCGAGAGAACTGTCAAACAATCGCACTTTCACTTGCGCTAAATCTGATTACGATCATACGATGAGATATGATAAAAGCGATAGTATCAAAAACAATTTGATTATACTTCATCGTGCTAGACTCCTAATTTACTGAAATGGTTTATAATTGTTTAAGTTTGTTTAATATAGTTTATTTTTGTGTCACAAGCAATAATATTAAAATACATTTAAAACACTTTTTTTTAAAAAAACATTGCTTCTAGCCGATGCCGGCTTATGAGACACCAAGTTGATACATGTGTGGGTAATAATGCATTTGTTCAAAATCCAACTACAACTTATAATCTCAAGTTCTTTTTTTGGGGATAAACATTAACAATATAATTATTCTCGATGTACCTTGATTCTGGAAAGAAAAAGTGTTTCATATTTGCAAGTTGCAGGATTGCCAGGGAGGGACATCTAACTACATTAATTAGCAAGGGCCTTCCTTGCCCTAGGTAAAATAGCTATGTAAGCTATTAGTAGTCCATAAAGAGGAAATTCGATTTCACATATTGAGAAAATGTAATTGATTTCCGGATAATACTTTAGAATTTTCTTTGATTAGTACGAATTTAAACATCAATGTGTTTTGTTTGACGATAAAATCATAATGTTTAGAGAAGGTGTCATTGACAGAGAGTGCTATAATTGCCCTTGAAATATTGGAGTCATATATCACAACGTCAGAGTTAATCGTATCTATAACGATTTTCCTTTCAACCCACCACGTTTCACATTTTTCCAATCCCAATCGTTAATTCAAATGCGAGGGTAGGTCGACGTGACGTCGTGAGTCCAGACATTGAACAAGATATAACAAGTGCAAAGCCAGGAATTATTGTCCCATTCCATACCAAACACAAGTGTGTGCGCAATGATTGCCGTCAAGTTAGTAAATTGTTCGACAGACTGTTAAGAGAGAGACTCCGTCAGCTACTTTGTCTAGCTAGTATGGTTGACCAGTGGTTTATATTAACTTCAGGAATACAGAACATATCATACTTTGATAATATATTCTAAAATACTTCCTGGCTTCCAAAGTCTGCACACTCGAACTATATTTAGGGGAGGGGTATATTTTATCTGAATCGGACACTTCAAAACTGGGTGACCCGATGTAAAAGATTTGATTTTTGAATTTATGTAAACCAATGAAATATGTTCTTTAAGTTGTTAACCCCCCTATCACACCAAACAAGTTCTTACCCCGTTCTTGCCAGTCCTACGAAAACGTCGTAAAATGGGCTCAATCTGGCTGTGGTCGGGAAATATGTCTAAAATAATTAGCTACTTCGTTCATAAACAGTCTTCAATATGTCCATCTCATTCACAGTTCGTTCAGGTCGCACCACGTCGGTGTGCAACGTCGCACAACGCGTCCCTAAGTCTAGAAGGTCACCATAACCTGATTACAGAACGGTATGGTCGCCATCGAATTTTGAATCGATTCAAAATTCTAAATCACATTCCCCGTCCGGGAAAGTTCAAAAAGTTCGTAAACAGACAGTAGAACGTTGAAGCTACGTTCATTCCGTTCGCACACAGTTTAAAACCAGTTTTGAAGAACGCAGTGGCAACTAGCTTGGTGTGAGAGCTATATTTTTTGCTAACTCGTTGACAAATACGTTCTTAATCAGTTTTAACCCGTTTGCAATTAGTTCTACCTCGTTCTCAATACGTCCTCAGACAGTTCAACTCGTTGTAAGAACGTCCCTAGTAGGATTGAAGTACGACGGTTCCGTTCGTAGTACGCCCAGCTCGTCGTTAGTAGGTTTTCACTCGTTCTAATTGTAGAACGTGACGACCAAGAGAACATTTTGAGCATGTTCTAAGTTCAAGGGGACCTACCCTTAGGAGTACGTTCGATGAAGTATGTAAATAGACCCAAACGGTTCTAAGTACGTCCAGTCCGTTCGTTCACAGTTGAAGCCCGTTTTCGAGAACGTAGTGAGAGCTAGTTTGGTGTGATAGTAGGGTAAAAGTTCAGGATGTAGTTCGGGATCGGAAGTACATATTGTGTTAAGAAATGTCGTCAATTCAGCTGCAACTATAAGAATAATGCTTAGCTTCTACTGGAACCGTGGTTAACTCAATTTCTATTAATTAAACGT